CAAAAATGATTAAATTTGATTGTGACATTTGGTTTCCAAATATAAACTGAGGTTTTTAAGCTTGGAGGGGGAGATTCTTTTACTCCAACATCCAATGATGTTCTATGCATTAGCTTACCAAGTGCATATGACTAGACATCAGCTCAAAAATGAATAAATAAAATTTATTTTTGCTGTTTAATTTTATTGTTTTCATCATTATTTGATTTACTTCTTTGACATCATGGTCATTTCTATTAAAAAAACAAAAACGAAACTTTTAAAATTATATATGGTGTATTTTTTTGAAGTTCAGACTAACTAAAATTAAAAAGATCTTTCTATTCAATTTATTACTTTATATAAAGATAGGACTTTCCTGTAAATTACACAATTTTAATCAATTACGTTTCTCAGATATTAGAATTTAAAACAATAACCAATTTATTTACCGACTCCACATTTAAATAATAGACACAATTTAAAGTCAATCTAACTATGGAAACATGAAGTTATTCAAGTTTAAAATCGGTGAAAATTTTAACTTGAACGTAAATAACATATATCATGTTTATCTACGCTCAGTTTCGTATTTTTATTTTTTTTTTAGCTCAGATATAGCTTTAATATTGCATTTGCAACACTCCTGAGCTGCAAATCTTTAGCTGGCTGGTCTAAATAAAATTGGGATGGACAACCAGAGAGTTGAAAAAAAGAAGTTTATATTTACTGTGCACAGAAAAGTGTTGACATATTTCCATGATTTATATACACATGTATATGAAAAAAAGTCCATCCCAATATTGTTCAGACTAAAGAACTAGTCAGATCTACAGCTAGTAACTGTTAATCCTCTACCCTCCATCCCTTCCCCCTTTGTGGGCGAGGAGGGTATTTCAATAGATGGCTCTTTGAATTAGTTTTTGAAAAAAAATCAACTGCTTTTTTTTTTCTTTTACTAAAAGTGTGAGTAAAGATTTTTCAAAATTTTCATTCATTTTTAAAGGCTTACCAGCTTTTAAACATAATTCTCCAAAAGAGCTCATGTTCTAGCTAGGTGCATAGTTTTGGTCCATTCTCAATAAAACTTGATATCAAGTATACTACATCAAGATACATGACTGTTTTTTTTTATTTACAAATTGATGAAGCCATGTTCAGTAAAAATAAAATTGTTGAATTTATTTCAAAATATTCTACTACTCTTACAGTTTTGACTAAGATACAAACTTTCGTTCATTGATTTGGTTTCTTTACTCATTGAACATTGTTTGCTACTAATTTTCTTTTAGAATGCAACTCCTCCTACCAGTGATCTGATTTCTATTAAATATTAGATGTATTAATCAAGTTACATTGTATATAAACCTGTGTATCAATCAATATCTTTTGATTTCAGGGGGGGGGGGGGGGGATTATCATCATTACTAAAATTACAGGTTTTTGGTCTGATGTCAGTTAGAATTGGTATATGACCACATTAAAAAACAAATTTATTTATGATTTTTAATTGAATGATAAATAAATGGTGTTAAAATGTTTACTAAAATTATAATATTTTAGCTTCTTTCAAAATGCTATTCCTAGCTTATACAATTTTCACCTAATTTCAGAAGAAATTAGTCTTTAAATAGATTTTACAGTAGAACATAATTTGATGGATATTTTTTTTTAAATTTCAGTGAAGGGTGTTGCCTTGTAGTGAAGTAGAATAATCTAGCTGTTCATTTCTTTCAAAGTGTGATTCTTCATTCTATTTGTCCCACATTCAATAAATGTTGTTCACAGATAGAATAAAACAAGACATAGAATTCTTTCCATCAGTTCTTTTTATTTCAGTTCATTATTCTGTTACATTCTTCAGAATGGTGCTGCTGAAGTTTTCTTGTTTGAAGAAAACATGAAACAAGCTCAGAGGTCACCTAGATACATAGTTCTGTAAATGTAAAAGAAACAACTCCAAGAAGAACTCAGAGTCTCATCTGAAAGTCTGGTTCTGCAAGATTTAATAAACTTTTCTCTCTGCCCCAAAGAGGCATGTTTTGCAACAATAAAATCACCCTTATTAAGAATACTAAAGATACATAAATAATTCTACCACCATTTGAAATAAATGGCAAACTTCAAGCAGATAAAACATATATGTTAAAATAAAAATCATCAATAAAAATATCTTTACCAAACAACTGATTACTTTATTATTATAATTAACACTTACATAGCATCTTTTAAAACATAAATAAAATGTTAAAAGAGAGAAGAAAATATTCAGACAATCGTATCACCAGAATTCAAACCCTTAACCCTTCGCTTTTTACTGGGCCCCCAATAAAGATATCAGAAAATATTTACATTCTATTTGAAATTTCCTTTTAAAGGTGTGTTGAAAGGTATGACATTTATTCATAACACAGAGGGTAATGATTATATTTTGATGTCACAAATGTTGAATGCTATGTAAGTGCAAAATCATAATTTTTCATCACTAGGAAGTGGTTAGGTGATGGTACACTGGTAAATGAGCAAGCAAACCCAGTATACATGTACAAGAAATTTCTTTTAACCAACTCAGAAAAAAACAGCACAGAATTAGAAAATATCTAAAACAAAATTAGAACATCTAAAACATAACATGTATAATCAATAATAATACAAGTAATGCCACTAAATTCATAAATTACAGTTGATAAAAATTAGAAAAATATATAGATTTTTACTCAGATTTCTAAAAGTGCTATTCTATTTCTTCAACATTTAATAACACTTTCTTAATAAATCTCATGTCTTCCAGGGTCTTCTCCCTTTGTGTATGTAGACATTCTCTTGGGAAGGAGGTAGATATGGTATAATGTTTCTGACTGAATCCAAGGGAGGTCATATAGTCTAAAACATGCTGTAAAAAAAAATTAACATATGATAAATGACAGCTATCTTGAAGAAAATATCAAAAGCAGTGTATCTTTTAATTTCTTCAATAAAAGTTATTGTGACATTATTTTTCCCCTGCTGCTGGATATCCTTTCCTAGTACACTGATGAACATCTATATAACACATTAATCAATTTACAGATGAAGTTTGTTTTCTAAAGATGAAGGAATTAATAGATTATCCTTTGTAAATTGGAGAAAGACCATCATTAATCCAAACCCATGAATTTTCATATACATTATAAAAAAAATAAACACTTAAAAATAAATTCAATTCAATTCAATTCAGTTTATTGACATCACCATGTTGGCATACTGTCAAAATAAATGAAAGAAAATTTTTAAAAGTCTCAAATTTTTTTTTAATAAATCTACCATGAAAATACAATCTATTTTATTAAATTTTCCTCTAAATAAATAGTAATCTGTTGAATTGTGACAACATTATGATATCAGGATCATCACACTGCAGGGAATGACCTGACAGAGATAAAACAGTGTATATAAACCAAGTCCACAAACAAAATCCTCCTTTCTCAGCTGATACAGACGTAAGTTACCATCACCCATCCTCATCATGAGTTTTCCTACCCCCAAACTTTTCATGAATATCATACAATATTTGTCCTTGGGATTCTTCCGAAGATTTCAGTTCATTCAGAGAATAAATGGTCAGCAAGGTTAAATTGTTATAATAAAAATTTCCGTTATGACACATTTCATGTGACACCAAAATAGATACCTGTGTCACTTCAGATTTCAAAGAACTTTTGCTAAAACTGGGAATTAAAATCCCAATCTCTGATTCTTATTTATTGGTACTTGACTATTTTCATTTGTCTCTGGTATTTTTTGTTTTATTCAAAGAAATTCAAGTTATCTGTATATATGCAGTTTTCTCTCAGCAAAACTACCTTTAAGCATAAGTTGTATCTAATGCTACATGATGTAATATCCATCAAAACTCCTCCTCCCCATTTTTTTTTTATTAAAAATGCTATTATTATTATAGCAATTACAATAAGATATTTAATGTAACATTAATGCAACACAATTCCTTCAACCTGTCACTTTCCCAAATTAATAACCTTAAAAAAAGTTAAAGCATTCTTCTAAAATTAATTGATTTCAGTGCATTAATCTTAAGACTAAAGCACTAAATCAAAGTTACAATGTTTACTTGTACTAAATTCTTTAATCTTTTTCAAGATAGTGAAGAATTCAGGACGATGATTTATCTACATGTAGAGCAGCAACCTTTAGCATCTGATTGTAACTGTACATGATGACGGATAATGGACAGGGGTCATCACATGACCGACACCACTGATACGGAGCTGGAGATAAAAGAATGGCCTACTTTACTCACCTGTGTCCAAGACTAAAAATAAGCAGCGATCATGTGGAAAAATTTCCTCCTGTATTTTCCTTGGGGAAAATTTCAGATTTCTGCATTCATGCACTGTGATACTTTGTGCTGTTATTACATTGGAATGACAGTGTGACCTAATGACCAGAGCAAGGTCATGTCAGTGTGGTCATTGTGAATTATAACTGTGCTCTCAATGTTGGCCAATTTCACCCCCCCCCCCCCTCAAATCCCATTAAATTTAAAAGTAAGGATTGATGGAAACTAAAGCATGCTGATAACCCAGATCTTTAATGAAAAACATTTCAGCAACCCAAAAATGATAATGTTCTGATATACCAGGAGAATAAATATGTGCTAATAATAATCTCAAAGAAATTGAATGCATTTGAATTTTATGTTTGATAGGGTGTGATGCAAGTGAGCTAAAATACCATTTTATCAAATACGTAAATACCAGTAAGTTGAAAAATTCTAGACAAGATGTCAAAATCTGGTGTGCCCAAAGTCTCCAACATTACCCTATATCCTCACATACCATCACAAAAATAACAGCATTATCAGCTCAAAGTTTACACATTATGAAATGTACACCAAGGTCAATATTCAGGCCTGCCTTTGGTAAATTAACTCAAATATATATTTATTTTTAAAAAAAATGCATCTATAGGTACTATAAAATTATAAGTCTTGCAAGGATCATCTGCATACCTTTCATAATAGCTGCAAAACTGTAGCTCTCTGGTTGAGAAAATTCAGACAGATAAACCAGAAAGCTACTGATCCAAGCATTGTAAAAACTTTCAAATTACAGCATCTCTTTTTTTTTTGTAGCTTTCTTTGCGTATTATTGCTTGTATTATATTTCTTGTATTATAATAACATGCCAAAGTTTTTATATACATACTGTCTCATCTTCTTTTATAGATATTTGAAACCCCCTCCCTCCCTCAACCCCCCCCCCCCAAAAAAAATGTTGTTTAGATTTTCTTGGCATACGGATGTTCTTGGACAGACATATCAAAACATGACTCCTGCATGGACTGATTGGAACCACTGAAAGGAAAATAAAGTATCAGGAATAGGACTTATATATATGGTTAATTAAAGGATACCATGCTTTTGGTGGGGGAATGAATATAATACAAGAAATAATACCAGAATCGAGTGACAAAAAACAGCATCATAAACTCATAAATCAAAGGTTTTTACAATGCTTGGTTAAGTAGCTCTTTGGTTTCTTGTCCAAATTTTTTCAACCAAAGAGCTACAGTTCTGCAGCTACTTCATAAGGAATAAAGAAACAGAATATTTGAGTTTTCTCACCTGAATTGTATTTCCTTTGTTAAACCGTCGTTGCTTTGTGCCTAAGGGAGTCCGTAGACAGACAGACACACAGTCAGGGCTGTTTTCATCAGGCTCTTCTGGTAGCTCTATAATCTAAATTAAGAACTGTTATATTATGTTCAGCTTTAGAAGGAAGTGCTTCATTTAAGCAGTGATTGTTATTTTTGTAATATATGTGTGCTTTCATATTGAATAGCATGCACTACATGTCAGTTTATATGCACAGCTCATGTAACCTACAGAATTAAAATGGAAAGTGTATTATACACAGGAAGATACATTAATACAGAGATTTCATAATCACTATATCACTGTGAAGTTTTATGGTAACCCTATGCTGTATAATGTACCTTTTTCCGTCTGTTTTGTTTTTCGGTCTGGATTCTGGCTCTCTCAGCTGCTGCTGAATTGATATTTTCGGGTAAGACTCGATGTCTGGCAGCCTCATTTGGACTTTCTTTCTCACCCTCCTGCTTTAAGCCCTGGGTACAGTTGTATATGAGATCATCACATTTAAATGGGAAAAAAGTGTAAAAAGATATAACAAGGGGGAGGGGTTATTAGTATATTTAATATATTCTGTTAAACAAAGTATATTTTTCCAACAGTAATCAATTTTCTATCAATAGATCTTTAGAAGCATTCCTCTGCATACTTGAAACTATAAAATGAAATGTTTTTAGCCTGAAAGATCCATAGTAACACAACTATGAAATACAGAAATCAGTTTGTGTATCACCATTATCATTTCCTTCTCTAAGTAAGGATCACAAATCTTTGTTTACAACACAGGTCTAGCACACAGACACCCAGAAAATAATTTTTTTGAAAAAATCTTGAAAAGAAGAAGTACCCCTAACTCATGTCCCTCCCCTTTCCAAGCTGGACCCATGAACCGCTGAAATTCATTCTCCTTTTGTTTTCTCTTTCTTCCTTCTCTTGGAATCAGAATTCTAGACTTGTAACCTTCAGCCTGCAAAATAAATTCCAATATTAGAATTTAAAGGAGGAGCCACTGTCAAGAGGATATGGGTTGAAAGTTCCCCATTGTCCTGTACATTTTAAAAGTAGAACCTACATGCGTCATCATTAGAGAAACAGTAAAATCTAACCAACACCTGCTGGTAAAAATAGTCATGAAACTAAAGCCTTTCATTAAATATTTAATGAATAAAACTGAAGAAACAATCTTAAAGGCTATACAATAGAAAAAAATTAACCAAAAGATTTGTGATTAGTTTCGATATCACCCTGCACATGATCCATTTGGTTGCTGGGCAAAATTGTCTATTTGTACCAAGAGCTAATACTTAGTATTATGTAATGAACTGAAAATAAAACTGTCCAGAAAGGAAAAATACCCCCCCCCCCTTCAAAATACTAATCATTATATTGTATTTTATTAGATAATAAAACTTAACTGCAACCTTCTGTCATCTTTGTGAGGCATGACACTGCAATTTTTTTGTTGAGATATAAGAAAAATAAATTTAAATAAAAAATATCACATAATACAATATCAAAATAAATTCGATAACTTCATACCAAATTAATTTTGAAAATAAAAGGCTTGCCATCAAGAACTGTGTATTTTAATTGACAGGTGCTATCAACTGCAATTTAAAGACCAGATCTTTAATTCTTCCACCCAATTCCCAAGAGATATGTATAACACCTGCTTGATCAGAGATACTCTGACAGAAATAATTAAGACTGCTTCCTACATTAAACTCATTAATTAACCTTTAACTGGACAGACTTAACAAAATGCTCCTTGCATTTCCAAGCCATTATTCCCAAGGGAGTACAATTTAAATGCATATTTATGTTATTATATGTACTCATAAATTTAAAGAATATTTTCAAAAAATTGTTAAAAAGTTGTATATCTTAATGCAACATTTTTTTTTAAAAATTTTACTGCATAATTCTCGCTTACATTTGTAGGGACTATCTCCCTTATAACTAATTTGTCATTTTTAAAGTTTTTAATGAAATGGTTTTAATCTGCAATTCACATTTCTCTAAAGATACCCCAACAGGCAGTTTTTTGATTCTATGTCTCAAATCTACATGAACCCAAAATGGCAAAGTCTATCAAAATGGAAAAAAAAAACCTGTAAAGTGATCACAAATTGTTCAATCATGATGAAAATACCAGGTGCACATCTTTATATGGTGAATAATGAATGTACAATTTTTAGAGGAATGCAGTAATCTTCAAGAAATGTCCAGACAAAATCATTTCTACAGACAGTTAGATAAACTGATTCTAATATACCGTCCCTAAACTTCGTTTGTGGGGGGTATAAAAATTTATCACCAAATATTGTCTTAATATTGTTTATTATATTGTGTATAATTACTTTAAATGAAAAGTAATACAGTAAAACTTGAAAAGTACAAACACAGATATTGTGAATTCACAGATATAACAAAGTTTTCTTTGATCCCTGGCTATATACATTTTATTAATTTTTCATATGGGAGCATAATGAATTACAGATATCGCAGTCCCATTAACTTCATTATATTAACAAGTTTTACTGTACCACTAATTACTTTTACTTTGCAAGGCACAATTTATTTCAAATTGAAGTCAGAAGATATTACATGCATCTTTAATTTACAGAACCCAATTTTTACATTTTCAATATTTAATTTGAAGAGTTATCCTCATGAGACTTTATTAGTCCACGAATTTGTATATTTTTTCTGCCCCATCTTTTATTTTCACAAAGATTATGAAAATAATGAAAATCGAAACATCACTACAAAAAATTACAGAAGATTGTTTGAACTGTATATATTTGTATATACATGTACTGTACACTGTTTAATCTGTCACAACTTCAAATTCAATTGTCTTATCTCTGATCTAAATAAAATGTGTTTTCTCCTTCTGTCTTCCAACTGTCCTTGACAAGGGATAATAGGGAAAATCAGCCCACTGTGCCCCAGTTAATTTTCAACTTTAAAAATTTATTTACTCTTCTAAAAATCACTGGAGTGTGAACTTGGGTCATTTGAGCTAAAAATTACGTTTCAGCGATGCATTAGTCACATTAAAGATAGACTTGTTAATACGTCTTAAAAAATTGGACACAAAGTGTGAACATCTAGTCAAAATTCCCAGCTTTTTTTCTTCAGCCTTACATAGGTAAAGCTCTCAACATTTTTATCTGTGGCACAAATAAAAAGTGTTGATGTTGAACAATTTTTCCTGTTACATATTTTGATTTATTTATAGGAATCGTAACATAACCTAGATTGAATTTTACCTAGTCAACCTAGATACGTTCTTATTAGAGCAAATACTTAACAAATGCAGTGATTGTAAAACACCACAGTATCTGCTCCGAGATTTACTCTTATTCTCTTTAGAGAAGTGGAAGGGCATGGCAGATTACATACGGTACATGGATGTAGGCTATGCCTGTCCACTTCTCTAAAGATAATAGTTTAATCCATATTAACATTATATACAATCTGTAAAATGTTGTAATCTAGATTGTGCTGCAGGCAAAATACATGTGTTTGTAGTTTTTATCCTCTACGAGACTGAAGTCACATATGTAGAAGTTTACAATGCTTTATACCTAAGGATAAACAGTTAGCCATATAGGTAGACAAGGCAAAAGAGAGACTATACAACTGGTTTATTACAATAGGTAGAAAAGGCAAAAGAGAGACTATACAACTGGTTTATTACAATAGGTAGACAAGGCAAAAGAGAGACTATACAACTGGTTAATTACAATAGGTAGACAAGGCAAACAGAGAGACTATACAACTGCTTAATAACGATAGGTAGACAAGGCAAACAGAGAGACTATACAACTGGTTAATTACAAGGTAGACAAGGCAAACAGAGAGACTATACAACTGGTTAATTACAATAGGTAGACAGGGCAAACAGAGAGACTATAAAACTGGTTAATTACAATAGGTAGACAAGGCAAACAGAGAGACTATACAACTGATTAATTACAATAGGTAGACAAGGAAAACAGAGAGACTATATAACTGGTTAATTACAATAGGTAGACAACGGAAACAGAGAGACTATAAAACTGGTTAATTACAATAGGTAGACAAAGCAAACGGAGAGACTATACAACTGCTTAATTACAATAGGTAGACAAGGCAAACAGAGAGACTATAACTGGTTACGCAGGTGAGTTAAGGCTAGGTATAGGCATTTCTATGCAAATAATCTAATTAAAATGCCTTAGGACTATATCAATTATACAGAGAAAGTTAAAACTTATTGTCTAATACATACTTGATACCCATGACATGAGATAGCCACTACACATTATAGCGTCATATTATGACGTCATTGTTCTATACTACACAAGATTATTATAGACATAAAAAAAATGGTTCGGCGCAAGGGCATGCTCTCTTTTATTTAACTGAAACAAGGTATATTTAGAAGCAAAATATTCCAAAGTTTGTTGGTATTGCTGCACAAATATCAACAGCTCAGTTGAACAATTTCTATTTGTAAAGTTTTAAGTTGAATAAGGATAAAAATGTGCAGTCCGGTACAAGTATCCTTAAATTCCGATAAAATGAGAAAATACCTAGGATTTGTGCAGCAGTTTTATTAATCTATAGAATATTCTTCTTAGCATTTTACAATTTTTATGTAAAAATAAATAGGGTAATCCCTAGCGCCGAAGCTGTTTTGTTGATGTGCTTTATTACCTCCAGTAGGTAAGATCAGTGACATCATAATATTACGTCATAATGTGTACTTGCTATGACATATCAGGGGTACTAAGTATGCATAAGAAAATAAATCAAAACTTTCTCTGAATAATAAGTATACCTCTTATGCGTTTTTATAAGCTCATTTGCATAGAAACGCCTATATCTAGCCTTAACTCACATGCGTAATTACAATAGGTAGACAACGGAAACAGAGAGACTATAAAACTGGTTAATTACAATAGGTAGACAAGGCAAACAGAGAGACTATACAACTGATTAATTACAATAGGTAGACAAGGCAAACAGAGAGACTATAAAACTGGTTAAATACAATAGGTAGACAAGGCAAACAGAGAGACTATACAACTGGTTAATTACAATAGGTAGACAAGGCAAACAGAGAGACTACACAACTAGTTAATTACAATAGGTAGACAAGGTAAACAGTGAGACTACACAACTGGTTAATTACAATAGGCAGACAAGACAAACAGAGAGACTATACAACTGGTTAATTACAATAGGTAGACAAGGCAAACAGAGAGACTATAAAAATGGTTAATTACAATAGGTAGACAAGGCAAACAGAGAGACTATATAACTGGTTAATTACAATAGGTAGACAAGGCAAACAGAGAGACTATACAAGCTGTGGTTTATTACAACTGTTAATCATTCATAATTTAAAGTTCCAGTTTGGTCAACCATGCACATGAAGAAAATAAAAAAAAAGTGTAAATGATCACCTGTTATTGCACACAGATGGTTATGATACTTTCATCCTTATTTTTAATATTTCCATCTGTAAAATTGTCTTATTTATATTTTTTTCACTGTTTACCTGATAAAAAATCTTCAAAATCAATGACTCTGTCATTGATTTTAACCTAAGACACATGTATGTACAAAACAGCTCTGAACATGATATTGTCACTTAAATAAATGTGACCAAGATAAGAAATGAGGAATACATGTATACCACACCAGTCTTATTTACTGGATCTTTAAAAATACTATATCAGAATTGAAAGGTTTATATTAGCTCTTAATTATTTTACATTTTGGTTGAAAAATTTGAAGTGCAGAACACTTGTTTTAATATATATGTATGCTTACATTCATATGTCTTCAATATTAATGATGATTTAACGTGCACAGAAAATTCTTTGGTTGTGAAAATGGTGAAATTTAGTGTTGTCAACGAGTACCTGGTTATCCGGTTAACCATCGAATGATGCAAGTATCGGTTAGAAAAACTGCTACTCGGTTACTCGTTTATATAAAATTTATATTTTAACATGTTGAAATCGGCAGGAAAAATGAAATTTTGTTCATAAATTTCTGTAATTAATTTACCGTTATTTAATGATAGACTCGACCTAATTTTTGACAAATATGACCGATTTCTTTTTGATAAGTTTTTCACAAATTATATAATTGTAGGCTTTGATTGCCAAGGGAAATAAAAGTTTTGAAGGCTTGAGTTAATTATAACTATCTCTTATAAATCCGTGCTAGTCTGCAGTATACAAGATTAAAGAAGATGCCGCCAAATGCACCCAAATCTTTTAAAAGAGTGAATGAAATTGAATCTGTAAGTTGTAAAATATTTGGATGCATTGAAATGGAATAAACATACACGGGTGGGACCAAAAATATACTAAACCACCTTAGATTGAAATTTCACTCTGAATCAAGCGATATTTTATAAAGGACATCCCGAAAAACAGCAAACTATTACGGGATGTTCGAGAAATAAAATACTTTTGTTTGTAATTAAGAATAAAGGTGCATAAGCAATGCATTTGTGTTTTATATATACGGGAGATAAATATAGAAATGGTGACGACGTTACAAATACAAAATGTATTTAAATTACTATTGAGCATTTATACTGCAAAAAAGCTTGTTTTGAGGTCTAAAGAACAACCATCTGAGTAACCGGTTACTTGATCGGAAAAGTAAGCGAGTACCCGGTTACTAAAAATCGTTCGATTTGACAACACTAGTGAAATTAAAATCACCATAATGTAAAGTAGTATACTGGATGACTTGTTATATTAAAAAAAGAATAAAAGCCAAAGACCTTTTTAAGGTGGTCATGTTGAATTTTCTCTTTGAAATGTTGTTCTTCACTTTGGTGTTTGTTTGGATCAACAACGGTGTCCTGCAAATTTTCTGCAATTTGTTAAAATTACAAGATTTAATTAAAACACCAAACATGTTCAGAACAATCAAACAGCAGATGATAAAAAATCCTAATGTACATGTACATTAGACTTGAATGCAGATTATTTCAATGTACATAATCTTCCAATTTTGTATATTTTTATTGTATAAAAGCCCCAATTACAGAAAAGATAAATCTGGCCAAGTGTTTAATACTATAGCATCTGAGCTGTTGTCGAAAATGTGTAAATCTACATTGTGTATAGACTTTGTGGCACACTTAGCACATAAAAATTTACCCCCCCCCCCCATCTCCCCCCCCCCCCCCCACACACACACACAAAAAAGTAGATGTGTCAGGGTGATATGAATGTAAACTTGTAAGTTATCAATATCAAGGGACATACCAAAAAATCAGCATATTATCTACAAGAATAGCAAAACAAGGTCTGAACAAGATGTGTTTGTGAAACACTGATGCTCTTGTATTGGGCAGCTCATGGCAAAGTCATCAAGTTTCTCAAATGCAAGTCAAACTCCAAGGTGAGGTCAAAAGATAAAAAAAAAATGGTGCCCCCAAAAGGCCTTTTCACAAGGAATACACCTGTGAAATTTGAAACCCTAACACCCGTCCAAAAGTTATGGCCGAGGTTAAAGTTTTTCAAAAGTAAATCAAAATCCAAGGTCAAAGGTAAAAATAAATGGTGCCCAAGGGAAGGACTTGTCGCAAGGAATGTACCTGTGAAATATGAAATTCCTAACACCAACCATTCAAAAACTATGGCGAAGGTTAAAGTTTTTTAAAAGAAGGTCAAACTCCAAGGTCAAGGTCAAAACTTGGTACCCAAGGATAGGTCTTGTCACAAGAAATACACATGTGAAATATGAAAGCCCTACAACCAACTGTTCTAAAGTTATGGCCAAGGTTAAAGTTTATCAATACTGGGTCAAATTTAAAGGTCAAGGTCAAAGGATCAACATTGTTGAAATCCAAGGGAAGGTCTTGTCACAAGGAATGTACCTGTGAAACATGAAAGCCCTAGCACTAACCATTGAAAAGTTATGGCCAAGGTTAAAGGTTTTCAAAAGTGGGTCAAACTACAAAGTCAAGGTGAAAGGGTCAAAAGTTATGGCCAAGGTTAAAGTTTGGTAAATTTTGCAAATGTGAGTCAAACTCCAACATCAAGGTCAACAGGTCAAATAACACTCTATGTCCTGACAATTTCATTGCAAGGGCATTAAACATGCATTGATCTTTGTAGGACATCAATTTTACACGTAAACAATAGGAAAAATAGGTTACATCATATAAGAGATTCAACAAATTTCCTTATATTTCCATTTCTATTTGTTTTCTCTGTGATAACTCTTTGAAAGTTTGGAGAGTTGATTTCTTGATCATATCTATGCAAATTTTGCCAAGCAAAAGGTCAGGAGCTAAGAAGGCATAATATGCATGTAATTCTCATGCAGCTGTCTTTGTGTTTGACATCAGTGAGCGGGGACTATTGAAATTGACATGTGAGGCCTCGTGTAACTTAAATCTATTAGTCTACATTTTTAAAATCTAAATTTACAATTTTATTTCAAAATGAAATGGAAATATAAGGAATCACTGTCTAGTTAGTAGAGTATGCCAGGGACATCAACAATAGTTGGAAACGTGGGATAATTTATGCATAACGGGCTTCACCTGTTATGCAAATTATCCCACTTTTCCAACTATCGTTGATGCCCTGGCATACTCTACTAACTAGACAGTGATTCCTTAAATAATGCAGCCACTAGACTAGACTCCAGTAACAGATATCAATCAATACTGCAGCACAGCATATGTAAACTTGTGTTTTATGTGATAAACTTTGTTTTAGGTGATTTTAATCAGTTTAAGAAGATAAAAAATCTGTTCAAAAATCCTTGCCATCGATGAATAGGGTGCTAGAGACAGTGTGTGATTAACTGTATGTATTGTTATATTTAAGCATGGTTCATATTTGAGTGCCCTGTGCACTACATATTTTGCCTTAATTCATGATTACTACCAAAATATGAATTCACACACAAATCTCCTTTTAAAGCATTTTTAAAGATGTCCTTTTAAAAAAAAAGATGGTCTCTGTCTAATGGAAAAACAAGCCTATGCTACAGGAAAAATAATAAGGTACAAAGAACTGCAAATTACTTTTTAGCTCACCTCTGAGATGAGCTTATGCTATACCCCCGGCTTCGGCGTCGGCGTTAGCGTCCCGGTTAAAGTTTTAGGAGCAAGTCCATTCCAAAGTAACTATAAGCCCTACCTGGACCAAACTTGCATGGATAATGCATCTAGGGATGGACACTACCACACTTGCTTCGAATGCTGGATCTGACCTAGATTTTCCAGTTGAGTGACCAGATTAAAGTTTTTGGAGCAGGTCCATTCCCAAGTAACTATAAACCTTACCTGGACCAAACTTGCACGGATGATGCATCTAGGGATGGGCACTACCACACTTGCTTCGGATGCTGGATCTGACCTAGATTTTCCAGATGAGTGACCAGGTTAAAGTTTTTGGAGCAGGTCCATACCCAAGTAACTATTAACCCTACTTGGACCAAACTTGCATGGATGATGCATCTAGGGATGGACACTACCACACTTGCTTCAGATGCTCGATCTGACCTAGATTTTCCAGATGAGTGACCAGGTTAAAGTTTTTGGAGCAGGTCCATTCCCAAGTAACTATAAGCCCTACCTGGACCAAACTTGCATGGATGACGCATCTAGGGATGGGCACTACCACACTTGCTTCGGATGCTGGATCTGACCTAGATTTTCCAGATGAGTGACCAGGTTAAAGTTTTTGGAGCAGGTCCATTCGCAAGTAACTATAAGCTCTACCTTGAACAAACTTGCATGGATGATGCATCTAGGGATGGACACTACCACACTTGCTTCGGATGCTGGATTCGACCTAGATTTTCCACGAGTGAATTTTAGCCATATTTTAACCAAATTAGCATGGATGATGTAGCTAGGGATGGTCACTTCCAGACTTGCTTTGGATTCTGAATCTTACCTACATTTTCCAGATGAGTGACCAGGATAATTTTTTTGGAGTAGCTATATAACATTATGGCCTGTTATGATTAAACTTGCATAGATGGTGCATATAAGGATGAAAACTTCCAGACTTACTTTGGATGTTGGAACTGACCAAAATTTTCTTAAATAGTAAACAGGATAAACGTTTTTTGAACAGGTCTATTTCCAAGTAACTATAAGTTGTACTTAAACCAAACTTGCATGGACATTGATCTTGGGATGTACACTAAATAAAAAAAAAATATGGGAAATTTGCCTTACTTAAAGATAACATTCGTCGAGGTGAGCTTCGTAATCTTTGCTTACCTATGTTTTTCATAAAAAATAGTATTAACCCATTCAAATGTCCACTTTAGCATATTCAGATCTACTCTGACACTTACATTTTAGAAAATCTCACCTCTTTTTCTCTTCCATTTTCTCAATAACCATGTTCCATTTTGAATAATGAATGTAGCAACACCAAGCGCCAATAAAGATTTAACAGCCAACTGTAACAGTAGAGTGGGCTCAAAGGAATCTACAAATACAATAATATAGTGGGCATAATACAGCTCAATATAGTGGACATAATGCAACAATATTATATAGTGGAATAACTACAACAATAAGGTGGGTATGATACCACAATATAAGTTGGCATAATACAGCAATATAGGTTTACTCAAAGGAATTATAAATACAAAATATCAAAATAGATTCGACTTCATATATCAATATAGTGGGCTCAAAAGGATCTTCATATACTGCAATATAGTGGGTTCAAAGGCGCCTGCAACTATGGCAATATAGTGTTCTAATATTACAACAATAAAGTTGGCATTATATAACAGCATACTGGGCATAATAGCAAGACAGTAGACTTAATACAGCAATATAGTGGACCCAAAGAAATCTACAAATAAACAACATTTCAAACTAAAAACTTCAAGAAACAACACTATCTAAATATTACAGATCATTCAATGATTAGTAGTATGTATATAATTATACATATTTATTAAGAATTATTTAAAACATCAATAAAATAATTTGACTTTAAACCATTGTAACAGAGCCCTGTCACAAGTTGACAATTGGCCTTGATGAATAAAAATCTCCCACAATATATGTACACTAAAGCAGGGTCATAAGGGACATGCACAATGTCCTGGTCAGTACTACAGGATATGTATAATACTGTCCTGATCCTAACATGGAGAAGGCAAAGTATTTGAAATATTAAGAGAAAAAACAAAAATCAATAAGTCTTTGGAGTCATAATCTAGAACTTGATTCTACGTTTGTTCTAGAAAATGTGGTGCACCATTTTTTTTTTAATTGAAGAACATTTTTTAGGAGCATTTAGATTTTATTACAAAGAAAACTTTATGCTAGAAAAACAATCATATTTATCTTAAATTCTAGTTTCTTTCAACATTGTTCAAAAATGGTTTCACATTACATGTAACTACTCTATATAATATTGAACAGTTATATACATTTGTATTTTTCTCTGATTAATAATTTTACAAATATATCATGACAATGCATGTAATATGTGTTTGAATAATCTGCATTTTCATGTTACACAGTTTATGAAATTAGTCCTTTAATACTAGTTGGGACATATGAACACATGATGAAAAGAAAGAGGGATGGAAGACATTACGAAAAAGAAAATACATTGAAAATAAATGCTCTAGCCATGCCAAATAATTATTTCAAGCAACATTTTTTTTAAATGGACAGCAAGCAAGAATGCCTTTTCAGTCCTTTCCACCTGGACATATCAAAAGCAGGGGCATAAAAAAATAAACCACACAGCAACACAATAATTCTGCCAATAAAAGACAATTACATGTACATCTTTAAGGTTTCCTGTATTAAACACATCATTATAAAATACACATAGTATATTAACCTCATAATTCTTACAATCCCGCCAAGCATGAAGGAAATCAGAATGAGATAACCAGGAGTCTGAATCAATAGAAGAGGTAAAACAACAAAACTTCATTTCAGCTTCTTCTTGTTTAAGTCTTCACTGACATACAAATTAAAAACTATATACATTCACTTTCGGATAATTCTTTGTTTTATAATAGTAAACTTATTAATATGTGTAATTTTACAAGACAAACAGCTAATTCTATTTATTCTGCACTCAAAATTCAATAAAATACAAAATAATTCTTAACTAATTACATTTTTTTTCAAATGTTCAATTTTTTAATTTATTTATTTATCTATTTGGTGTGTGTGTAACATTTTTAAGTGCCCATGTAGATCAGGCAGGGTGTAAAACTCTGTGATTATCATACATGTGTTTTTATTATTATGTAGTATTTTTATAATTGTATATACAGTCGAACTTAGTTATCTCGAACTTCATGAGACTGAGAAAAAACTTCAAGATATCCAAGGGTTCAAGATATCGAGGGTCAAATACTTTAAAAAATTTGTGATTAGGACTTCCCAATCACTTCGACATATCCATGGTATTCGAGATATTTGTGTTCGAGATACTGAAGTTCAACTGTATTTTTTTTATTAATGATTTACAAGTCACTATAATAAATCATTAACTTACTTACAAAGACCAACTAGGACCATCCTATTTGCATATCATAGGACAAACTCAAAATATTTGAAAAACTACATATAAGAACTCTTGTTATATTATCAAACAATTTCCACTGCCACTCTATGCAGTTTTGACCTTCTCCAGATGTATATAGTATATACAGTGTACAAATGTATATTTTCTGATCATAGCAGTTTGGGCAATCTCTGCACAACCTGGTCTGGACAAATCTTTACTCTTCTAAATCCTATAACCTTGTCAAAATGCCTGACTCAGGGTCACAACAATTCATTCAAAGTACAAATGTTCACTTCCATACCAAAGTCTGTCCTGGACAAAGCTTTTTCTGTGGAATTTTGGGACCTTTGACAAATCATACCTTGTGGACAATAAGCAACCTCTGCACAATGTATAATCTTATAATGATTGATTCTTCATCATGTATATAGGTATGAAATGGTCCCAATGGAAATACTCATGGGAAGAACAATAGCGAAAATTCAAAAATCTCATTAATTTTGTTAAAACTGAGCTGATCATTCAAAGTCAATAGGAACCATGTACCTGTGTAAAGTATCTAGTTTTTACTGCAGGGTCAAATCACTACAGGTTATGTCATCTTTAAGAGATATGTCCAGCCAAATCATGAATATACCATTACTAACACATTCACCTGGATAAGGCCAGTCAAGGTTCATGGTCTACATTGTGGAATTTATATTTCTATTTTGTTACGTGTACTACTGAAATTTTACTGTTTCAGTGTATTTTTTCATTATGTGCTGCTTATTGTAACTGCTTTTTAAGGGAGTTAACTCCAAGAAACATTTGTAAATATGTTTCAAATAATCATTTAAAGGGAGGTAACTGAGACTATACCTACTTAATTACAATAAACTTCAACATCTAAAACAAATTATGTGAATACACAGGAGTTCCATGTTTTTCTAATTTTGTTTTTGACCTTCCCCCCCCCCCCCTTCCAAGGAAAAAATCAGCCATAAGTTGTTTCTTCTTCCTTTTTCTCCCTAAGAACTTCAAAAATTCAATTTGTAGTTTAGGATAATATTAAAATCACATATATTTCCACAGGTGCTTCCTAGTTTTGCATAAAGTTATCACAATGTTAGGCTATATGATATTACATAGACTTTGAGGCATGTAAAAAAAAAGGATTGAAAGCAGGTATGGGGATAGGAAGCATGGATAGTAATCAGGACAAAACATAAATAATTGACTTAACATCATCATGATGCATTCTTCATAAAATCATCTCTATATATTTATACACTGTAACGATCACTTCCTCTTAGAAATTTCTTGCCATAAATACTTAATTCTGGAGAATTTTATATGACTACAAACCTAATTTCCAATGTATGGTTATAAGATGTACAATATTAACAGTACATATATAGTCAAACCTCGTTATCTCAAACTCCATGAGACCAAAAAAAACTTCGAGATATCTAAGGATTCAAGATATGAAGGGGAAAATACTCAAGAATATGTCGTTGGGACTTCCAATTCACTTCAACATATTCAGGTGTTCAAGATACCGAAGTTCAACTATATTAAAATTCAATCTACACTTATCATATGGATTGAGTAGTTACTGATTCCTTTGTGGTCTGAAACCTATTATAGGTAATAATATGATATAATTTTGTCTTAAAGAATTTTTATTGTCTCAATTCTTAATATATATATATAACAATTAAAGTTTACATTCTTTTGAAATCATGCATCCATTAAATTTTTTGCTAGAAAATTAATATTTTGGATGTTTCAACAATATTCAAAAGTTTGAAGTGTTGAACTGTAATTAATGGGACAACTGGTGTGGCATAATGGAAAACAATTTAACATGTTAATAAACCTGCTATTTGACCAAGAAAAATTAAATCTTTGTGTCTAAAGTGTTGGTGTTATAATCTTACCGACGATTTACTTTGTGTTAAACTGCATTTATGCCAGTTTCATGAAATTGTATTAATATTTATGTTACAGTGCTGAATAGGCCTGGCTATAAACTAACCTAGAAAGTAAATGACAGCAAAGGCTGTGGTGGTTACTAATAAAGCAACACCGTAGTAGTCCATATGAAAAATAAAACTTTCGCCTCAAGCTTGAAAATACTACGTAGTTGTTGTTGAATGCATCAATTGATTCAATTTAACATGCACAAAATACATCGTCATCGTTCGATTGTTTGTGTAACTCTTCAATGTTCAGGAGATAAGAAATTGGGACATAAATCCATTGACCAATTATTGGAGATGAAATAATCACGTGGTCTCAATGCTTTCTATAAATTGCACAGAGACCTTCTCTGTGGCCTCTTTTCCACTCAGTAGAAACATCGTAACAATACAAGATGTCTACGCCATCAGTGAACGGTCTCAATGGAAGTCATTACCAAGAAATAAACCACCATTATGCCGAAGAATGCAGCCAGGACGATATTGGCAGCTTTTTGTTCACATCAGAATCAGTGGGAGAGGGACATCCAGGTAAAAAACTCAAGTTTTAACATTTTTATCAACAAATATTTGGATACGAGAGATGATGCATAATTGTTGCATCATGGCTTCTAACAAACACGTGTTTTTGTTTATAAAATGTAGGAAATTAAAAATGTTTCGATTGCTTGAATGGGTAAACTGACTGACCTGTTGAGACAAGTGACACTAATCGGGTTTATGTATTGTTCAAGCATTGATCCTGTTGTCCTTTTGTGTTGCAAGTATTGCTCAATAATGACCTAGTGTTATGTCTGTGCTAGTTTATGGACTTGTTATGGAGTGAAAAGAATATGTTTATCAGTCTTATGGAATAGAGTATTAACATCAGTTGAAGATTCCACTGGTAACATTGCAGTGCACATTGATGTTGCAAAACACAATGAAGAATATTTAAAGGACTAGTAACTGGCATAAACTTGCAGGTCATGAGAATTCCTGCAGAGCTGAATATGGAAAACATGAATATGCATTTGTTGAACTTGGTGTAATATATTGTATACACACATTACGAATAAGTTTTTATTTTATCAATTAGGAATTGTGTACATTTTTATTCACTTGGGCCAATGAGCTGTACGTCCTAGGCATCTCTCTGCATGTCTTTGTAGACTTTCACATTTAAAGATTTTTTCCATAACATGAGGCTAATTTCAATCAACTTGACACAGAGCATCTTTTGGGCAGTCTACAAAAAAAAAAATATATATAAAATTTTAACAGGACATAAGATATGGTAAAACATGTATTTTACCAGACCAAGCATTTACATACGAGATTGAGCTTTTTCTTATTAAACTATTAACATATCGTGATTTAAGGGGGATTGGGAATTAACGATGTGAAAATGAACCTTTAGGAGGTTGGATCCTGCCATCAAAAGTTATGAGAATTTTTTATCAAGTATATTTTTAGAATTTATACACATAGCTTAATTAAAATTCAAAACAAAAAATGGGGGTCAATGCGCTTCTTTTGGCGCTACAGAGCATTTAGTTTGACCTTTTTGCACTGTAAATACGTCTTACACAAATCAATTTTAATTTTAAATCTTTAATTTTAAATCAATTTTAAAAGTTTTCCTCCAAAAATTTTTATTCAAATAAATTACAGGAACATACCACAGTCTTATTTCATCTTGAGTAGACACATTAAAATTTTTGACAACAAACAAATTTTCAAATTACTCTGCATGTTCAATTATTTGACCTTTTTGCACTCAAAAAAAAAATCTTTTTGCTGGCATTAAAAATTTAACAAGCAAAAAAATCATTTGAAAGTAATGACATTTTACTGAATTTAAGAAGAATCATTAAAAGTATTTTATATATTCAGAAAAGAAAAAAGTGGGGGTCTGTGATGTTAATTTTTAGATATTACTAAAATAGTGCTAATTTAAGCTTAAATTAGGGCTTTTTTTTCCCCTTGATTTTCAGAATATATTTGCTCTATTTATCAAATATGATGATAGAATTCATGACAGATTATTTAATGTATAATTTAGGACCAGTATAAAACAGTTCACTGCACAAAATAACTCTGTGTGCAGACTGCATGTAATAATAGGAATCCAAACTTAATGTACTTTAAATACTTCAAAAGAGAAAAAAATGATCATTTTCTTCAAAAAAAAAAAAACTTCCGCCACAAAATATAGTTCCTTACTTAATGCTTTTGGTATGGGATTTAATCATGGAGTTTTAACTGAATATAGTTTAACTGGCATTGTAGAATCCAAATTTACTGCAAGAATTAATACACTATGCAGATTTTTTTAAATATAGGTTAAGATAAAAATCTGCTCAAAAGCTCAGGAGCGAACCTCGTTAAATAAACCCAGAGAAAATAATTTTAATAAGTGAACAAGTTTACTATTAATAATTTTCCTTTTGTAAAGGTAGGTAGTATACATGTGTGTACAATGTTCTCTCTTTCTGGTTAATCAAAGGAAATGCACAGTTTCAAAGAATTTTTTCAACTTAAATTGCACTGTTAATATACAGTGTTCCAGCTAGGATCTGAAAGAGGAGGGCACTTTTTCGCCACGTATACCGTTTGTCACGAGTTTTTGTTACATAGGCTTATCTCATTACTTCACCCTTATAATAATGAACTCCTTCAAATATTAATTTTTTTAACATTATTGATTTGAAAGATATATAAACACACATTAGGCTTAATCTATAGCTAGTATATAAATTAACATATAAAAGGAATTTTAAAAATCCTCTTAGAATAAATATTACTTTTCTTCTTCTTTTTTAATCATTTTCTATTCTTATTTCCTATTTTCAGAAACAGAACCATAATTCTTGTAAACTAGCTGGTGTCTCACATTATTCAGTGCAGTACATGTGCTACATGTGATTGAGTCTGTTTTTGGCAAATGTATAAAATATGGATACAGTATTTGTGGGTTATAAGTAACATATTAGTACTAGTATTAAACTTACAAATTAAAGCCAATATCTCTTTTGCTTGTTTTATCATATTGGTCATGTTATAAGCAGATACTTAATTAATTAAATTAAGATTTTAAACTTCAGTCTGCAATGAAATAGAACACATTTAATATGTACATATCTGTAATCTCATAAAATACCTTCCAGAGTGTCAAAAATCATAATTAAGGAGAAAATGAATGAATACATTTATACTTGTTTCTGCGCTATTAAATATTGAATTCCTTCTTTTTTTTTCAGAAAAACGTCAAGAATTTATAAATAAGAAATGAAGGTCAATGTTAATTCTACTTTCACTTCCCGATTTATTTTTAGAACGCTATAATACAAGACTCTTGTTTTATATTAATTAAAACAGATAACTTGGACATTCTCAAAGTATTTGAACTTTTAACCCCTATTCAGACTGTCAAGTGATCAAAGTAATTACCTAATCACCTGTAATTGAAAGTGGGCACCTGTACATTACATAGGTACCGTAATGCGAGTTTCATTGCGTAATCGTCTATGACAGGAGATGTGAATTGCTGATTGTCCTTAGGTAATCTGCATTGGAACACACTAATTATTCTAATGAGGGAAAAGGACAGTCAGAATAATACAGGACACTAACAGGGGACACGGGGGCGCTTGTGGGGGGCAGAGGGGCGTACTGATTTGAGGGCGGGGCGCGGCGCCCCTCTATTTCACCCTAGCTGGAACACTGATATAAATGTTTCCTAAAACAACTCCTAATGGTTTCTCTTAAGTTCAATAATTAATTTTCCCAACTGAATCTATGAGTTATCTATCTGCATATATTCAACGGAGGAAATTTCAATTAGGAGAGGAAAAAAAAATCATGCAATACTGATAAATTGTTCAATAGACGGAGTTTATGAACAAAGGGATCCTGTGTAAATGTAAATTCAGATTTTGGCCTTGTTTTTTATCAATCAGTCCTGAATCCTGAATCTTAGTGGTATAACCCAATGGTACAGTGACTTTCATATAGACTGGATGAAGGGGACTTGAGTTTATACATATGAAAAGCAATCCCTGCTGTCAAGAGGAGATAATACATGGTAAAATCTTTCTTCAAAATCACTGGGCCAGAAAAGACAAAAAATAACTTTTATACAAGATTATTTAGGAATTATCTTTATTATCTTTGAAACACATTAGGGCCACCATATTACAGGGTTGTCCCTTAGACCCAGGGCCAGGAAATTTCCCCGCCTATTATGATGTAATCCCCCGGTTACTCTGGTATTCCCTTTTCTACTTATTTAATGTCCCCTTGCTATTTCAATTCTTAGGAACATTCCTGTATTGTCACTATTAGCATCTTCATGTAGTGTCAGATTAAATTGTTCAAATATGGGCTATTAAAACATTAAAATTGGTCCTCTCAAGGTCAACAGATCCCCAGTGAGTCGTATTGATATGAAAGCATCTTCATGTAGTGTGAGTTCCAAGGAAAAACTTCTTTATCACTTATCTGAAAAAGAATGGTAGGAAGAAGGCAACTCTGGTGAGTGTTGTGGTCCCTTGGTCTCTCTTGCAAATTAGTTTCAATAATTTCAGTTCTGGGAGTTGTCTAGAATATTTGCACTTTCCATAGCAGAGTAATCTCCGAAATCATTATATATAAATAAAACCACTAAAAAATTTTATGAATATATGAATGTTTGAAAGTTTTTAGACCAATTCCTCTTTGTAGAATATGTGAATAAATTTTACACTGTCACAGTAATAGTTTCTGTAAGTGAATTATCATCAGTAGGTCATTCATCATCTACAGAGTGGATGGGGAGAGAATGCATGCTTTTATTCACTGTTATGTTTAAATGTTCAAATTAATTATATTTAAATCTAATGGAGATCACCTGACCTCAAACTCTGGTGTCACTGAAGCATGTAGGAAGTTATCCTGATATCATTTAAACTTGGACTATTGCTATTGACTTTTAAAAGAATGCTTTATCCCAGCATATGGCATCTTGTTTCCTTTTTGAAAATTAAGTAACTTACTTTTTTATTTCCAGACAAAATCTGTGATCAGGTTAGTGATGCAATATTGGATGCTCATCTGAAACAGGATCCTAATGCTAAAGTGGCATGTGAGTCGGTGTCCAAGACAGGAATGATCTTGGTGTGTGGAGAAATCACCTCTAAAGCTGTAGTAGATTACCAGGAGGTGATTCGTGGCACCATCAAACAAATAGGATATGATGACTCTAGCAAAGGTAATTATACCTAATGACAACAAAGAGTCCTATGTCAAGCACTTGCTGAATGAATTTAATGACTAAAAAGAATCATGAGCCAAAGTGAATTCCATTTTTCTCATCATTAAAGGTTTCGACTACAAGACCTGCAATGTTTTGATTGCTCTGGAACAGCAGAGCCCTGACATTGCCCAGGGTGTGCATGTTGACAGAGACGATGATAATATTGGAGCAGGAGACCAGGTAAATGACCAGTCTTTCTTATCTCTATCTAGGACATACATGATTTTAAACTTTTAAAAGGAAGTTTGGATATTTTAAATGCCGTTACTACCAAACAGTGATGGTAAATGTAGAGCAGGGTGACCTACTGAGATCTTGATTTAGGATGGGTTGTATTACTTTTTTTTTCTTTAATCTGTCATTCAAGTGTTAAGTTCATTTAAATTTATATTTAAAAAAAGTTTTTAACTTGATGTTAAATAGCAGGAACAATGCATGCCATCAGATTTATACAGAGGAACATATGCATGATGAGAAAAATATTTTTCACCAGTAGAGATTTTCACTGGTCATTTGAACTATCCAAATTCAGCTTGATTGGTTACTTTGTTTCAATGGTGCAGCTGACCTGTGAAGATTTAATTGACTTGAATACTTCAAAATTAACTAGTCTCAAGCCACCTTTTGTTTTTACCCAGGAAACCTTTTTTCACAAAAAATCTTTTCCCAGGGTCTTATGTTTGGATATGCCACAGATGAGACTGAGGAATGCATGCCTTTGACAGTTGTTTTGTCACATCAGCTCAATGCCAGAATTGCCCAGCTTAGACGAACCGGAGAATTAAGCTGGGCCAGGCCTGATACAAAGACACAAGTAAGGAATTGGTTATAGAAAAAATAATTCTCTCCACTTTTCAGAATTTTTGTAGGTCATTTTTATAATCTTGCAATATTTTTTCATAGGTTACAATAGAGTACAAATATGATAAGGGAGCTTGTGTACCACTCCGTGTTCATTCAGTTGTAATTTCTGCTCAACATGATGAAACTGTGACTCTAGAAAGGTTGAGGAAAGAGTTGATGGAGAAAGTTGTTTACTATGTGATTCCACAGAAATACTTAGACAAAGACACAAGATATCACATACAGCCATCAGGGAAATTTATTATTGGTGGACCACAGGTACTAGATCTGTTTTTAGTACTCAAGTCTTCATTATATCTCAACAAGCTGATTAAATTCATTTTGGTGTTTGAAAATGTAGCAATATGTTCACATGTGGTGAAAAAATGATTTAATTGAATATAAGACGAAAGAATATTGTGTTGTTGAGAAGTAATTCTTTAAATTTTATGTAACAGGGTGATGCTGGTTTAACAGGTAGGAAAATCATTGTGGATACATATGGAGGTTGGGGTGCTCATGGTGGTGGTGCTTTCTCGGGAAAAGACTTCTCTAAGGTGGACAGATCTGCTGCCTATGCAGCCAGATGGGTAGCCAAGTCTCTAGTCAAAGCCGGTCTGTGCAAACGTGTTCTCGTACAGGTTAGTAAGACCTTTATTGAATGTTATAGGTGTTCAGGGAAGAGGAAGGCTTACAAAGAGAAGAAACCCTTTGTCCTAATTTGATAACATTAAAGTTTGACCTTTTGTTATTATTTTATAGGTCTCCTATGCCATTGGTATCCCTGAACCAGTTTCCATAACTGTGTTTAGTTATGGAACATCAAAATATTCTGAGAAACAACTCCTAGAAGTGATCAATAAGAACTTTGACTTGAGGCCAGGAAGAATTGTAAAGTAAGTGTTTTCATTCCATTCTGAATTTGGTCATTAAATGCAATACTTTTTTCAGTATGCATCATATAGAATGTATAAATTTATTTTGGTGGTGTGTTCATATTCATTCAGTTTTAAGAACTTGAAATATTGCAATAAGTATACATGATATAATAAAGGTATGCATTATTAGGTCACCTGAGTCACTCAGGTGACCTATTGCTATCTGTTTTTGTCCGTCGTCGTGCGTCGTCCGTCGTGCGTTAACTTTTGAACATTTTTAACTTCTTCTCTAGAACCGCTCAACCAATTTCAACCAAATTTGGTATATAGCATCTATGGGTGAAGGGGAACAAAAATTGTGAATTTCATGGTCCCTGCCCCCCCGGGGCCTGAGGGGTGGGGCTAAAACCACCAAAAATAATGCAATCTTTAAAAATCTTCTTCTTTACTCCCGGACATGAAGCAGTCAAACTGTTGGCATCATTGTAATAAGCATTGAGCCCTCTACCAAAATTGTGAAATTCATGGCCCCAGGGTTAGGGGTTCTGGCCCCAGGGTGGGGCTATATAGATCATATAGTGAAAGTGCATAAATTCTTTGAAAATCTTCTTCTCTGCTCCTGGGTATTAAATAAAGGAACTAAGTACATAGTTATGATGAGCAAGACTGTCTCTTCCAAAATTGTGAAATTCATGGCCCCAGGGTCAGGGGTTCTGGTGTTAGGGCGGGGCTGTATTGATTATATAGTGAAAATGCGTTAATTCTTTGAAAATCTTCTTCTCTGCTCCTGGGTATTAAATAAAGGAACTAAGTACATAGTTATGATGAGCAAGAGTGCCTCTTCCAAAATTGTGAAATTCATGGCCCCAGGGTCAGGGGTTTTGGTGTTAGGGTGGGGCTGTATTGATTATATAGTGAAAATGCATTAATTCTTCGAAAATCTTCTTCTCTGCTCCTGGGTATTAAATAAAGGAACTAAGTACATAGTTATGATGAGCAAGAGTGCCTCTTCCAAAATTGTGAAATTCATGGCCCCAGGGTCAGGGGTTCTGGCCCCAGGGTGGGGCTATATAGATCATATAGTGAAAGTGCATTAATTCTTTGAAAATCTTCTTCTCTGCTCCTGGGTATTAAATAAAGTTACCAAGTACATAGTTATGATGAGCAAGAGTGCCTCTTCCAAAATTTTGAAATTCATGGCCCCAGGGTCAGGGGTTTTGGTGTTAGGGTGGGGCTGTATTGATTATATAGTGAAAATGCATTAATTCTTTGAAAATCTTCTTCTCTGCTCCTGGGTATTAAATAAAGGAACTAAGTACATAGTTATGATGAGCAAGAGTGCCTCTTCCAAAATTGTGAAATTCATGGCCCCAGGGTCAGGGGTTCTGGTGTTAGGGCAGGGCTCTATAAATTATATAGTGAAAATGCATTAATTCTTCGAAAATCTTCTTCTTTGCTCCTGGGTATTTAATAAAGTAACTAAGTACGTAGTTATGATGAGGAGGTGGGCCTCTTCCAGAATTGTGAAAGCCATGGCCCCTGGGTCAGGGGTTCTGGTGTTAGGGCGGGGCTCTATTGATTATATAGTAAAAATGCTTTAATTTTTTGAAAATCTTCTTCTCTGCTCCTGGGTATTATTTAAACAAACTAAGTGCATGGTTATGATGCATAAGGATGCCTTTTCAAAAATTGTGAATTTCATGGCCCCAGGGTCAGGGGTTCTGGTGTTAGGGTGGGGCTGTATTGATTGTATAGTGAAAATGCATTGATTCTTTGAAAATCTTCTTCTCTGCTACTGGAGACTATTTAAATGCATAAGGATGCCTTTTCAAAAATTGTGAATTTCATGGCCCCAGGGTCAGGGGTTCTGGTGTTAGGGCGGGGCTCTATTGATTATATAGTGAAAATGCATTGATTCTTTGAAAAACTTCTCTGCTACTGGAGATTATTTAAACAAACTAAGTGCATGATTATGATAGACAAGGATGCCTCTTCCAAAATTTTTAAATATATGGCCTCAGTTTTTGGGGTTCTTGAGGAGGGGGGGGGGGGGGGCTAGGGCAACAATGCTTCATCTATCAGTGTATTTAACTTCTAAATTGTTGTATTATACTCAGGTGACCGTTAAGGCCCTTGGGCCTCTTGTTTATTTTAGGGAATTGAATTTGAGGGCACCTATTTACCAAAAGACAGCTTGTTACGGACATTTTGGCCGTCCAGATTTCCCATGGGAAGTACCAAAGAAGCTTATTCTATAAGCCACTTCTGGGAGTCCCATTCTCAATGTCATATTTGTATATACAAACATTAAACATTTGTGATTCCGAAGGGGAGTAGCCACAGTAGTTAAAAGACTAGTCAGACCAGACTTGAAAGAACTGACATTATAGTTACACTCGACACAAATTATGATCAATGCCATATAATCCTAGAGCTTGTCATTATTTGTGTCAGTATGAGCGGGTTATATAGTCCTCAAGCTCTGCTCAGATTCCGTCTTTTAATTATTGCAAATGTGTGATTTTCTAGTTGTCTTTTTATATGCACACATTTGTCTTGTGTTTATGAAAATTCATTGGGAAAAGAGCACTATTTATAAACACTCGGGCATCCCATAATCATTATTTATATGAATTTATATTGTTATATATTTAGCTAAATACTGCAATTTTTATTATTGTAGAAATGTAATGAATTGTTACCAGTATTTGCAATGAGATGTTTTTATGTCGTGACTTTTTATTAAGATTGTTTTATTTTCCTATGTAAACTCTTTTAATATACAGTTCAATAATGAATCATATTCAACATACTACATTGATAACTGTATTGTAACAATTTACCTTTGTGAAATGAGAAATGTGAGTCAAATTAATCATGAAATACTTACATTGCTGCTTTTTGTTCAAGACAGTTCAACTGCATTCCAACATTAGTACTGTTACAGTGTATCATCAGGTTTCTTGGACCTGATACAAAACTAAAGTTGTACCTACAGATGTATGTGGGATCAATAAAAGATGTGAAAAATGGCTATTAATCTGTGTGTGCTTGTTTTTTTAGAAGATCAGAAGAGCTTGAGCAATGGGAAGGTGTCCTTCCAGTCGTCAAAATGTTATCTTCCAAAATTTTTGAATTTCAAGGCCCCAGGGTTCTGGTTTTAGGGCAGGGCTTTATTGATTATTGTAGTGAAAATGCATTTAAAATTCTTCAAAACTCTTCTTCTCAGCTCCTGAGAATTTAGCAGATAAAGTAGAGCAAGGATGTTTCTTCCAAATTATTGAATTTCATGGCCTCAAGGTTGGGGGTTCTCTTGGGTTAGGGCAGGGGTCTATAGATCAGATATTAAAAATGCATAGATAATTTAAATTTCTTCTTCTTTGATCCTGGGTATTTAGCAGACAAAATGATAGAATGATTATGACAAGCAAGGATGCCTCTTCCAAAATTGTTAAGTTTTTGGTCTCAGGGTCAGGGATTCTGGTGTGTGTTGGGGGGGGGGGCTCTATTAATTATTTAGAAAAAAAATGCATTATTTCTTTGAAAGGAGATGGGTGAAAGCCTATAGCTTCAGATATATAAAATGTTCAATTTGTATATTTACAATTTTGTATTTAGAGTAACGTTCTCATTATTGAAGTTTATGAAATTATGATAAACAAAACTTTTCTGTGGAAAATTTTCTTGGCAAACTTTATTCTTTTATTAAAAAATGTGGTACTCGTGGGGTCGAACCCTAATAAAAAAAACTGAGTATCATTTTCTTTCGAGACTAGTAAATAGATCTAAAAGTCATATGAAGATAAATCACTCAGTTCCACAATCTGGTATGTCTAACTTACCGTGTTTTTATCGTATTATAAATATTTCAACATAGAGAAAGGATTATTGCCCTTTGAGTGCGTTTCTGTAAATTGTGAATGGCCTAAATGAACGTTATTTGTCTCAATTGTGGATCGTTTGAGTTGTGAAGTGAATGTGCTTGTCTATATGTTGTCTATGTACTTATACATGTAGTTATTGTTATTTTAGGGTTATTAGATATAAAAACATCATCTATAAATATCACCTAAAATTAGATCATCGTTACATCGTTTGAACATATCTCCATGGAATAAAAGACCGAATCCAATCCCATACCATTTTGCAGTTTTATTTCTACAAGAAACGGTTACATTGCCAAACGGCAAACGACACCCAATTACTTAAAATGATTTCACTGAAGGTTGTTTGAAAGCTTTTAGAGTTTTTGGAGGGGTTGCAAGCAGCTCGGTAAAGAGAATTTCCGAGGCATATGGTTCAAAACGCGATGGATGATGACAATCATTGGTAAGACACATGACATTAATTTAATTGAAGAAAGTTTTGTATTTAAAAAGATAAATATTCAAAGACACCCCCACCCTATAGAAATCCGAAATTTCTTAGCGGTGGCATTGTGGCCCGGGAAATTAAAAGGAAACAAGGCAAAAGCAAACTTTCAGTGTTCTGGTGGTATAATGATTTTAGAGTGCACGCTCAGCAACCGATAGTATCAAACGAACAAATCTCTAATGTTTCTGTAATAAACTGAAGTTTATCTTCCTATCAAACAGAATCTTTTAATATTCTTCTTCAAAAAAATGTTTCAAGTGATATTTGAAAGAAAACTGTCAGTTATATGATTGGTATATATAATTATATATATATATATATATATATATATATATATATATATATATATATATATATATATATATATATAAGTAATATAACAAATATGTTTACATTTGTTTTATATCTAAGCGTTCCTTGTTACAATGCCCAGTTTTTATGACGACAATATTTACAAGCACTAACCTATTAGCACTAAATATTTTCTCGCATGAGTAAAAGTATTATATTTGCTATGCATACATAGCAATTTAATGTGTGTCTTTAAAGTGCTTGAGTAAATCATTATTTTCATATTTTGTTGAGGATTTAAATAACAGTCGAATGTAATTGAGAATGGAGGTCTACGAGGGGCCAACTTGAGAATATAAACAGCTACAATTAATTTCAAAATTTCTGAGGACGTTTGAGGAGAGAATACAAAAAAAAATGTAACAGAATTGTAAAACAGTTTATACAGGATTTACTTTTGCATATTTCATGAAGTTTTATAACCTAAAAATTATCTTTTGAAAAAAAAAATCACTCACCAATACCTTCTCTTTTAATATCAGCGATTGGATTTTTTAATTGTAACCATTTGTAAATGTGTCATAAAAATATTTTGTTAAATAAGTTGAAGAACCTTTGGGGGACGGAGCGGGGAGGGGGTGGTTTCCCAAGCACATTTACACTGGAATGTTGAAAGCATGAAAGACTGAAATGTGATTCTGAAGAATTTCATCCTTAAAAAGTGAATTGTGAGTACAAGTTGGATTTCTTTATGTTGAAGTTCTAAACATAGACAACACTGTATAACAGTACACATATAGAATGGGTACGTTGGAGAGAAAACAAATCTAAGGTTCATCCTGATTGTTGAGAACAAACTTAAAAATTGAATAATTTACCCATCTTGGACAGTGGACAACTACTCTGAAAGGTGGAAGAAGATAAACAGGATTGTCAGGTAAAGTCAGAAGAGACGAGAGAAAAACCGGACAAAACAGACGATAGGACATGTAGCTTAGACAACAGACCTACTGGCTTTACTATGAACAACACAGACAGTAGGACATGTAGCTTAGACAACAGATCTACCGGCTTTACTATAAACATCACAGACGGTGGGACATGTAGCTTAGACAACAGATCTACCGGCTTTATTGTGAACAACACAGACGGTGGGACATGTAGCCTAGACAACAGATCTACCGGCTTTACTATGGACAACACAAAGGGTAGGACATATAGGGTTAGACAACGGATCTACGGCATAACTATAAACAACACAGTCGGTAGGACATGTAGCTTAGACAACAGATCTACCGGCTTTACTATGAACAACACAGACGGTGGGACATGTAGCTTAGACAACAGATCTACCGGCTTTATTGTGAACAACACAGACGGTGGGACATGTAGCTTAGACAACAGATCTACCGGCTTTATTGTGAACAACACAGACCGTAGGACATGTAGCTTAGACAACAGACCTACCGGCTATACTATGAACAACACAGATGGTAGGACATGAAGCCTACATAACAGATCTACTGGCTTTATTATGAACAACACAGACGTTAAGACATGTAGCTTAGACAACAGATCTACCGGCTTTACTATGAACAACACAGAGGGTAGGACATATAGGGTTATACAACGGATCTACGGCATTACTATAAACAACACAGACGGTAGGACATGTAGCTTAGACAACAGATCTACTGGTTTTATTATGAACAGCACAGACGGTAGGACATAGCTTAGACAACAGACCTACCAACTCTACTATGAACAACACAGACGGTATGACCTGTAGCCTAGACAACAGATCTACTGGTTTTATTTAAAAACAACACAGACAGTAGGACATATAGCTTAGACAACAGAACTACCAGTTGTACTATGTAGCAGAGGCTTAGACAACAGATCTACTGGCTTTATTATGAATAACACAGACGGTAGGACAGTTAGTATAGGCTTATACAACAGATCTACCGGCTTTACTATGAACAACACAGACGGTAGGACATCTAGTACAGGGTTATACACCATATCTACCGGCTTTACTATGAACAACACAGACGGTAGGACATGTAGCTTAGACAACAGATCTACCGGTTATACTATGAACAACACAGACGGTAGGACATGAAGCCTACATAACAGATCTACTGGCTTTATTATGAACAACACAGACGTTAGGACATGTAGCTTAGACAACAGATCTACCGGCTTTACTATGGACAACACAGAGGGTAGGACATATAGGGTTATACAACGGATCTACGGTATTACTATAAACAACACAGACGTTAGGACATGTAGCTTAGACAACAGATCTACCGGCTTTACTATGAACAACACAGAGGATAGGACAAGAAGCTTAGACAACAGATCTACTGGTTTTATTATGAACAACACAGACGGTAGGACATGTAGCTTAGACAACAGATCTACCGGCTTTATTATGAATAACACAGACGGTAGGACAGTTAGTACAGGCTTATACAACAGATCTACCGGCTTTACTATGAACAACACAGACGGTAGGACATATAACTTAAACAACAGATCTACTGGCTTTATTATGAACAACACAGACGGTAGGACATGTAGTACAGGGTTAAACACCATATCTACCGGCTTTACTATGAACAATACAGACGACAGGACATGTAGCTAAGACAACAGATCCACCGGCATTACCACGAACAACACAGACCGTAGGACATGTAGCTTAGACAACAGATCTACCGGCTATACTATGAACAACACAGACGGTAGGACATGTAGCCTACACAACAGATCTACTGGCTTTATCATGAACAACACAGACGTTAGGACATGTAGCTTAGACAACAAATCTACCGGCTTTACTATGGACAACACAGACGGTAGGACATGTAGCCTAGACAACAGATCTACCGGCTTTACTATGAACAACACAGAGGATAGGACATGTAGATTAGACAATAGATCCACTGGCTTTACTATGAAAAAGTAGCACATGTAGCTTAGACAACAGATCTACCAGCTCCTCTATGTACAACACAGACAGTAGCACATGTAGCTTAGACAACAGATCTACCAGCTCCTCTATGTACAACACAGACAGTAGCACATGTAGCTTAGACAACAGATCTACCAGCTCCTCTATGTACAACACAGACAGTAGCACATGTAGCTTAGACAACAGATCTACCAGCTCCTCTATGTACAACACAGACAGTAGCACATGTAGCTTAGACAACAGATCTACCAGCTCCTCTATGTACAACACAGACAGTAGCACATGTATCTTAGACAACAGATCTACCAGCTCCTCTATGTACAACACAGATAGTAGCACATGTAGCTTAGACAACAGATCTACCAGCTCCTCTATGTACAACACAAAAGGAAAATGGGGATCCTGGGGATGAGGAACATCAATGAATTTTATAGACAATTTTCACGTTCAAACATATACGAACATATTCTACCGAGTCTAAGAGAAATTAACGCACGGTGTATTAGTTATGGTGTTTCGAAAGGCCCGTCTTTTGCCCAGTTTCCATGTGCAAGAAGTCATACACAATGCACCACCGCATTGTATTTACTTGAAATAAACATCTTATCATAAGGAATGAATTGTTCTCCACTTTTAAAATTATTATTATTATTAGAAATTCATATCACAACAAAGATCTCAAATTAAATATAACCCCCCCCCTTAAGAGTTGACCTACGTTTGCGCTAACAATATTTAGAGTTACCTCTCTTTGATCCTGCGACAGATGGGCAATACCAGTTAATTGATAGTCTATGATACTACACCAGTTTTAGCAGCCTGTGAATGCAAGTTAAGAACAGTTTTTATTGATAGCAATTACATGTACATATACCGGGGGAAAGGGGGGCAGGGAGTCATGCCCCCCCCCTAAAATTCAGATATATAGTATACTATAGAAAACAGCACAATACTACTAATTTATGGATGTGCCTCCTCAATAATTACATCTGATAACTTTTTTTGGGCTTGTCCAATCTGATTAAAATCAGCTGTTCTGATACGCTACCGCTTACGAACGTTCGTAAGCGGTAGCGTATCAGAACAGCTGATTTTAATCAGATTGCTAAGTTCAATGCATAATATTGTAAATGGATTTAATACATGTATAGAGAAAGATCCCCTTTTGCTTATCAGAGTTCAATATCTACCGCACTTGAGAAACGTCGCTTTTTCGAAGTGACTGATTTTGGCTACCCGGCCTATAAATCGACTTTACGTGTTCGCCTCATCTCTGAATCTTTTTCGGCACTTAAAAACAGGTACTCTGGATGTATTTTTATATCTTTGTAGCCTGTTTAAACATTTCCTAGGTCTATGACAGATTTTTCCCAGGAGATGAAACTTTATAGAATGTGGGGACCCATCCCCCTTTCTGATGTCATATTGTTTGAGCATTCCATATAAAATTTACGATGAAATTACATAGAACTTACCGAATGAGGTAAAAATTGCAATTTTACGGAAAAATGTGTCATACCATATGAGTGAATTATGATTATTGGATAACAAATGCACATATCAAAAGTTTTTCTCCGTTAGACTCGGGTAAAATATATGTTATTTTGAGGTTGCGTCGTTTGGTCATACTATTGCTTACAAAAGCATTAACAATTTATATAAAATAAAACATATGATTTATAATTTAGTGTGTAGATAGAAAAGATGAATGCTAACTAAAGTGTAAAAAATCGTCGGTTAGGATCCACTCCCCCTGATAAAGACCCCCGGGGCTTTCGCCTTTTTTCATAATAAAATTATCTTTTTATGACATATAAAAGTCCCTATCCCACTCTATATATACGAGGGTTTTTCGGAAAGTTCGTGGACGATGTCAATCTTCGTTATAATGTTTTTAAGAAATTTAAAATGGACACATAATCATATGTAAACATATTTATTTTGTAGATGTGTGAAGTTTCATTCCATGTTTTCGTTTGTCAATGTTTTAATTTCCTTTACCGCTTAAGATCAGCAACTGTGAAGCGCCTATGTCTTTCCGTGACGTTCAAATTTTTAAAGTTTTTGTTCAGATTTTCACAATTAACCCGTTTCTTCACAGATCGTCCTCGTCCGATACGGTCTCTGTCACTCAAATACCATGTGCCATTTACACACACATGCACGACTCGCTTTTGACATATTTCCTGCTTCCTGCAGCTTCCTCAGAGTTTATTCGGGAGATTTCCCTAGTCTAAAACAAAAATGCATCGTCAACTGCTGCTCCGTGACGTGCTACAACGTCATCTTTTTTGTTGTTTTCAATGAGGATTACCTATCTACTGAAATTGATTTCTTTTCAACAAAGCAAAGTATTGAGCTATAATTTGGAATGTGAAGCGATGTAAGAGTTCCTAATTTAAACGTCTAGAATTTTTTCGTTTTTGCTCCATTTTACAGAGAATATGACTACAGATATTATTTAGTGTATTGTTTGTAAATTATTAAGTTTTGACTTGCTCCGCGATACGATTTTTGCAGTTTTTGATTCTGGATAAGTTTGAAATAAATCACGATATTTAAAAAAAATTAATACACATCCTTTGAATTTATCGTTAAAACATTTCCAATAATATTTAATATTCAAGACGTTAAGTAAAAAAGTTATGACAGAAGCCCACGAACTTTCCGAACAACCCTCGTACATAAGTAAAAACAAAAAGTTAACTTGAAAGAGTTGAAAAAGATTTTTAAAGCTATATATATGGCGTAAAAAATATTAAGTGTAGATAAACATGATATGTGTTATTTACGTACAAATTAAAATTTTCACCGATTTTGAACCTGAATGACCTCATGAACCTCATGTTGCCATAGTTAAATTGATTTTTAAACTGTGTCTGTTAATTAAATGCAAAGTCGGTAAATAAATCGGTTATTGTTTAATCTTTGAAACGTGACTAATTTAAATTACATGCAATTTACAGGAAAGTTTTATCTTTATATAAACTAATAAGACAAATGGAAAGATCTTTTTTAATTTTAGTTAGTCTGAACTTTAAAAAAAAAAATACGCCTTATATGACTTTAATGTATAAAATGTTTGATTAAGATAACTTTTCGAATTAATGATATGAATTTAAAAGATAAATTATGAAAAAAGTCGAAATTTAAGGCGTCGGGGTCTATATCGGGGATGCGGTGGGGGTAAGGTCTTGTGATTTTTAGCAGAAATGTTTGCACCTGTTGCGTGACTTACAGATACGACGTATTCTAGACAACTTCGGTGGTCGTCTGTTTATACACTTGAGCGATCAACAATATACTCGCATCCTCTCATATGACAAAGCGAGCCTCGAAATAAAAACTGCCATAAATTGACAAACAGATAAGATCCTTGTTCTATCATTGCTTTAAAAAACTTTTGTTCATTATTTGGCTATGTGTCAATTATTTTCCTTTGTATAGAAATCAAAGAATTACTCATGATGGACCGGGAACGCAGTCATCCTTTAAAAATGGCCCTTTATAAGAATTAAACTTCCTGTTGACCTTTCAAACATTGTTGACATAGCCTGCTATCAAGTAGGGTAGAAAGTTACAACGAGATTTAAGAAAGGCGTGCTTATCATATCAGCTAGATTTAAACGTTGAGATCGGGGACCGGATATTACCTCACCGGGAAGCTCTCAAAGCACATGTTGTGTATTCCATTCATTCGAGGACAGCTAGCTTGGCGTTTATAATTAACACTGGACTTACGATAAGTTACCTGAAGGTTCATAATAACCCGTCATTGTGTCACACCTGTATTGTACGGCGAGGGAATGCCATCGTTCAGTGTGTGTTGACAGTTTATGATATATATTTAGTACTGGCACATAAACAAGACAGAAGAATGCAGGAGGCTCGGTAATAATGACAGTGTTGTGTTACATTCGGAGGAAGATTCTGGTGGTCCTGGGGGTATTCACGTCCCTGGGGTTGATAACAGGGACCGTCACTCCCTGGTGGGTGGTGATAGTGAGCAAGGACAGGCGTCTTGTGAACGGATTGTGGTACTCGTTGTCTTGTGATGTGTCCTCAGGACTATCCCTGTGTAAAAGTCTACTGACCACTTCAGATTCCACCATAGGAAGTAAGTCTCTCTCTCTCTCTCTCTCTAAATAAATAATCGAAGTTTCAAGGATACACAGTAAAATACAAGATACTCTATTTACCAATCAAGGGCCCCGAAAGGCATTTCAACATATATAAATGTACAATTTAAACATTATTTCACACAGAATATTTTTTTATAAACAGTTATATAAATAATTTCATAGATGTTTTAGCCACTATCAACTATGAGTGTCTACCCTCGTATTTTCTCTAGTTTTAAGTGTTGTTTTCCCCCACTTTTATTGTCTCAATGGCACTTTTAAGAACATGTACTTAATCTTAAGATTTTGAGCTAGGTAGTGTGTATCGTATGTCATACATCTTTTTTGATTATTACATAAGACGCCGGTGATTCATTGTTTTGACTGTCGTGCAAGATGAAGTGGATTTTTACTATGGTCTAATGTGACAGAGTGAGAGGGCACTCGAGTCCCCCGGAGCCACGATTACTTTGTCTATGTGTGATGATGACTTTATTGTCTAACACTACAAATGATCACATACATTTCCTTTTTTTGGCATGTCTTCCTATTTACTTTATATCCTGTTCTATACATATCATTTTGTTGGTACAGATTAAATATTCTTTTGAATTAAGCTTCAAATACCATTTCTGGTAATCTAGGCTAATTCTTTAAAGTGAGAATGTAAATTTATAGTTGACCATTTATCGCTTTTAAATAAATACATTTGATAAATTTTCTTGTAAATACGTTTTAATGAAAATTTAAAAGCTCTTTTTATTCCTTTAAAAGATGTGTAAAACTGTTCATGACGCACAAGTCATATATGAACTTTCCCACGGAAAGCAATAAATTTGACTTCTAAAATAAATTTGCGTTACGGTTACTGGGGATATAACCCGTTGGATTTAGCTTTTGAGTGAGTTTTTCTATTCATTGCGTAAATTTTTGAGCGAGTACTTTTGTAGGGTTTTCTTCTCTGTCTTTGTGTGTTATATTGGCTGAAGACGTTTAGGATGGCATGAATTTGTTGTATTTATAGTATCATCTATATTTTGAATTTACCAGGTGGTAGTAAATACAAATTTACTAGTTTTCTTGTTGTAGATTTTATTGCCACTCGTAAATTCATAATTTACAGCAAGACAATACATGTAGCATCATTTTGGTTTGCAATTTAATCATAGCAGTAAGAAATAAATTTCTAAATTTGTTTCTTTGAACAGGCGTGCGGCTGGAGTACGGTCTTCTAACATTGTTTGGGGTAGCCCTTTGTATGTTGGCCACCGTGTTTCTAGTCATCTATAACCCCCGGGAGGACTCTGTGAGGTCTACCCTCGCCGGCTGTCTAACCGTAGCCCTCTATCTTGTATCAGGTACGTAGAAATCAATAAATTATGTTACGAAGGGGTTTGTGGGCTCCTGATGATGAATTTGATATTCCTTTGAAATAGTGTAATTATTTTTAATATGCAGGATGCATTTGTTTTTTTTTGTTTTTTTCCTGATTCTGAATATCTGTCAGCAACTTTATCTAGCAGTGATGGACATAAAAGGGGACACCCGGCGCACACCACGTTTAATTTGCACCTCATTTTTACATGTATTGGGACCACTACATAAAAAAAACAAGCTCCAAACAGCTCAATATTAACGTTACATCATTATTCGTATAGGGAGTCCAGAATGGACACAGTATTGAGTATACATTAAATTGAAATCCACATGTTGGCACAACTTTTAACTTGTAATTTGTATCTATATCATTACGCCCCATCAAAAGATAAAATCATTATCAAAACAAATGTATTTTGCTGCTAAAAGATACTTTTAATCGCCCACTTCTGTCCACATTATACATGTTGCATGTGGAGTGGTTCCATATATTTCTCAGCAACAGGGCGTAATATTGCCCACCAAATGAGTATTGCGGTTCCTATCAGGTTATGGTAACTCGACCACATTTTAAAGGCAGATTAAAGGGCGAATTAAATCTTATGAAATTTTAAAGTTCATTTACATTCCTTAATTGATTAAAATCTTAATTTTAATTCTCAACTTTATACATAGACTGATTATGAAATTTAATTCTGGAGAATGTCAGGAATTCGATGTAATCGAGGGTAAATATAATCAATTTGTTTATCTTCCATTGTTAAAATACCAGGTCCTTTAAAGATTGAATCTTTTTGAGGAGGTCTTGAAGTCTATGCGTTACAGGAATCGTTTTATTTTCCAAAGTCAGCATATATTTGCACATGTTTAGTGTGAAGTGAACAATGGCAAATATTTATATACTTTTTGTGCACGTCTAATTATCAGAACAAACCAGTTTGCGTTTGTCGTTTAAAAAAAATAAAATGATTGAGTTATTTGTCGTCTACTAACTTTCAGGAATGTCGGTTGTATGAGTAATCTGCTAAATCAATGCAATAGTGCAGTTCAAAATGATGACCAAATTAATTATCTATGAACAAAAAGTACGTTCGACACTTATATCACTTTGGATAGCGTATGTAATAGAACCGGCAGTTGTTCTTACGATACACATTCATTAATAAAACCTGCTTTCATTTAGAGCTCGCAGAGTGAACATTTATACGTTGTATATAATGACATTGGCGTACTTGTAACAGTTAGCATTATATAACTACTGTCACTTTCTTTTTCAGCACTCTTGACGTGGATAGCGGTAGGAAAGGCCTGTGTTGATAACGTTCGGCTTCGACAGACCCACGATCTAGACGGCCCGTGGTCCCTTGTTGTATCTGCAGTAGCAGGAACTATGCCAATATTTATGGTTGTTGTTATTTCATTTAGAATACACAATAATGTCAAAAACATAAGAAAAGAGCGGGAGCAGAAAAGGAAAACCCGCCAATTTTACGAACAGCGTAGTTGCCATAGTAGCATGACGATGCTAGGCAACACGGGGACCTTGCAGTCAAGTTCATTACATTCCAGCGTCCACTCTCTTGACATTTCATTTTCTAATCATCAGGAAGTGAATTCTTTAAATAGTTTAAGCATGGAATTCAAAGAAGACATTTCCAAATCTCCAATATTCACCGAGAGCAAGTCGCCCATTTTCCCAGCGGATTCTATTCCTTACAAGTTTCCTGTCAGTCCGTCATATTGAGGACATATCGGTGTTTTTTGACATGTCTTTCATTGAGTATTTGGATATTGAGTATACAAAGCAGTTTTGTCCCCAGAATGGTGAATTATTAACATTTAAGACATGAAAGATCACAATAGCATTACAGTCAATCTAGATATAAAAATCCAGTTTTGATATTTGACAATCTGTATTCCATGTACAGTGCGTATAGAACTTTATATGTACATATATTGTAATATTCACAAATGGTGCTATTCATGACTTCATAATCATATTTTCGTATCTCTACAACCGTCCTTTCTCATAACAATACATCTCTTTGCTCCACAGCTCAATGAGTTATTCATCAATGTTACATGTTTTCAAACTGTTCAGTTTTTTAGTGCTTTTGTTGTACATTTTTATTATATGATATTGTACATATGTATATTATTATATGTATGCAAATACTAATGCATTAAAAACAAGTGAAAAGTACACAAATTTAGATAATATACACACCTCTTTCACAGTCATGTAAAACGTATGATGATTACTTTCATCGGGTACGGCGTCACTGTCGTGTTTCGCCGGAGACTACTAACGTTTGCAGATTTCCAACTGGAATTGTCCCTAACACTAAGACGACCCCTTTCAAAATATAATCTTCAAAAAAAGAAACGCATATAGTAGAATTTTAGTGAAACATTGAACATAAAGATTATTTAATAAAATGATGCATTCATAATAAAGAAATGTATTTAACAATAGGTCTACAATCTAAATGTCATAATTACTCAAGAATTTGAAAATCAGAGACAGTTAAAGGTCAATAACGATCAATATCTGGTATGCCCCCTCCCTCCCACAGACACAAATGATAGCCTAAAACGGCATCTAATTGAAGCAAATGAGTGTAATAAAAACTGTATAGGAATACTCTCCCACTCTAAATGTAGAGCTTTGGTCAGCTGTTGCAGAGTCTGAGGATGCGATTGTCTTTGGCAAATCATGCCAATCCATCTTGTCCAATGCATGCTCGATTAGGTTTAAATCTGGCGATTTCGATGACCATAGAAGAAACAGGTTGTTGTTGCTTTGCAAGAATATGATTGTCAAGAGAGCCGTATGTGGGTGTGTATTGTCAGATTAAAATACGGCTGCAGGATGCTGCAATACTGGAAAGGCATGTGCAAGTAGAACATCGTTAGAGTACCTTTTTCCATTAAGGTCCTTTGAATATGAACCAAATCAGTCTTACTTTTATGTAATACCGTTTTCCATCTCATTACACTACCACCATCAAATCTATCAACGTCATGGAGGCAGTTTTCTGTTAAATGTTCATTACGAAGCTTATGCACTCTTAAACTTACAGTGCGTTTTGCGATAAACATTCTGGACTAGTAGTTAAACCAGATTGTTCAGCGGTGTTGCTGTGGCCATACTCTGTTGATCTGAGAACTTTGAGGTCGATATTTGAGGTGTTGTGGGGTCAGAACAATGGCATAAATAATCCTCTAACAATAATTCCAGATTTCCGTAATCAACTGCAATTGGTCTTGTTAGATGTTCTGTGCAATTCAGGGATAGCTAATGCTGTTGATAACGTCATTGTGAAACATTCATGAAAATAACGTAAACCACTGAAGCGATCCTCTGCTGCTGATGTCACGCGTGGTCCGCCATATTTTTGGCGAACATTGGGTGTTCCATGTCAATGGTATTTGTTTGTTTGTTTGTTGTTTTTTTTTAGGTTAGATATGGTGCTGTGCGTAACATTAAAACCTCTTGCAATTGTAGACTGTGGTACACCTGCTTCCAGTCGCCCATTTTCCTTTTTGTGATATGCAACATTCAGATGCAATCAAAATATCGAGAATTCCAGCTTTTGATAGCCCTTTTGTGCCTGAAGGAATTGCACCAGAAACCAACAAAAAATGAAAATTGAGAATTTTTTTTTCTTTTTTCTTTTTTTTTTTTTTTAGCATTTTGCAAAATCAGGTCTTTTTGTCTGTCAGATTTGTAGAAAATATCTGTATAATTAACAATTGCGATAAAAAATAACGCAATTTACTCGAAGGAATCATATCCATCTAAAAAAAATGTATGACAAAACTATCGGATATTTTTTAATGTATTGTTCCTGTTATGCGTTTCTTTTTTAAAGAGTATAATTTTAAAGTTTAGGGTCCTAAAGATGACCTGATGATCTATAACCTTTTTTTTTTATTGCAATGATGAAAACCATTAACCAGTGTTGATCATACTTCGGAAGCCTACATTGAACAGCTTCGACCTGAAAGTTTTCCTTTCCCCCAAAATTAATGAAAAGCCGATGACCTGGGGGGTCATTGTCATGTATATGTTAAAATACACTTTTTGACAAAGTTATGTGCCAAAAAAATAATTCTAGGTTAAGAGTAAAGTTCCAGTCATGATGGACTTAGTTGCTACAGCACAATCATTTGGACCCCCAACACCATTTATGGGTCATAACAGTCTAGGTAGGCTTTCCAGGCATGTAGTATTAGGAACTGTCCCTTTTCCCCCCGAAGATAATGTTTTAAATTAGACCCACCCCCATCCCTACACACAAATATATTTCACACACATTTATAAACTTTTCTCTTCAACAAGTTGGAATTTAACCACCCTTCCCCACAAAATAGTTTTTCTTGAGTTTGGGCAATTTTCTCTTCTTTTTTGTCCCCCGCTTTCGCGAAAGCGAGGGGACATTAAATCTTATTCGTCTGTCAGTCTATCTGTCACAAAAAACTTTAACCTAGGTCACAACTTTTGAATGAGAAAAAGATGCATATTTCACATGTACATTATCTGTGACAAGACCTTTCAAAACATACTATGATTTTTTACCCCGTGACCTTTACTTTGAAGTCTGACTTACTGTTCAAAAAATTTAACATTACTTTTACTTTGGTCATAACTTTTGATTGAGAAGAAATTGGGCATTCATATATCTCATATGTACATAACCTGTGACAAGATCTTTCCAAGTGTTCCATGATTTTTTACCCCTTGACCTTGAACTACTTTTCAAAAATGTTAATATTGGTTATAACTTTTGATTGAGAGAAGACAGAGAATTCATATTTGTCATGTGCATTACCTGTGACAAGACATTTCAGAAACTGCTATGATTTTTTACCTCGTGGCCTTGACCTTTAAGTTTAACCTTCAGTCTTTTTCATAGTTTTTTTTACATTGGTAAGAACTTTTGAATGAGAGAAGATTTGGCTTTCTAAGAAAGTTTCTTATTTTACATGTACATTACCCATGACAACAACTTTCAGAAAGGTATATCATTTTTTATTTCATGACCTTTATCTAGAGGCTTGAAGGACACACAAACAAGACAGTTACAATACGCCATAAATAATTGCATCCCCACTACTAAGACACCGAAAGCGGGGAACCACAATTCTTTGAATTTGCTTGTTTCCTCTTTCTTTCTTTCTTTTATACTTGTCAAAGTTTTGTCCAGGTACCTTGTAAATTTCTTTTTGTTCCACCTCCACTTTTAAGAACGACACAACATGCCTGCTTTCCTGCTAAAAATTTTAATAATTTTATTATCGGACCAAAGATCAAAATCCTATATGGTCCACGACCATAATCTTATGAGGATACACATTTCTAACAAATATGGTCCAGGGTTATGACTTGGACACGGCAGTGGAGAGAAGGGTAGGTACAAATAGTACAGAAATTCATCCAAGGATCCACAACGGAACATGTATTTGTTGTTTTCGGCGTTAATAGACATTTTAGCGGATTGACAGGGCGTTTTATCGGGAAAAAGTGGATGATTTAGTGGAGAGTTAATGGAGATTGATATAGAATGTGGACATTTTAGCGGAAACTTAAATAAAATGTATTGATACGTTTTCCGTTTTGAAAAGAAATTATAGACAAATATTTTTATGCAAGTAATTTTTTGAACAGAATAATTTACTTTCTAGCAAGACAATATTCATTAAATTACAGTCAATGTTTAAAACAGTGTCAAAATATCAAACAAACACCGAAAGACAACATATTTACACTATTTATAACTCATGACTAGCTCTGTATCTGTATTCTACCTATACTACTTCCACGAAAAAGGTCCGCTAAAATGTCCATCGGATTTTGGACGGTATCTGGTTTTTCTTCTTTCCTATAAATTTTCCAGTAAAATGTCCATTCACACCTTTTACAATTCCGCTAAAAAGTCCTTCGCTCCTTTTTTTAATCAAAACAAAAAACAAAAAAAAAAAAAACAAAAAAAAAAAACCCTAAGTCTCTGACGAGTTTTTAGCTCTACTGATGCGGACTTATCTGAAAAATAAAGAGGTGTCTTATCATAGTCTACTTGTGTACCAAGACTTATTGAAGTATGACTAAAACTGTAGGAGGAGGAATGTTTTGAAAGAATTTCACAGAAATCCTTTCTATAAATAGATTTTTTATCTAAAAAAAATCAATTCAATTTACATTATTATTAAAGGTTCATGAACATTAATAACATAAAACTAATTAACACGGTTAATATATACATAACAAAGTGACAAACATGAGGTAAACAAAATTTAAAATAAGTCACTGTTTGCTTTCTTTTCTGATATAGAGGAGTTTTTCAAGAAACAACATAGCCTTCTAGCAGCTGTAGTATTTGTAAGATTGACAATTTTCTAATGGGATTATCATTGGTGTATGTGATCACATTAAATATATAATTTTACTTGCATCTATACTGGTCATTCTTTGAACAGTATAATACAAAATGTTTTTCATCATCAATAAACAATATACATTTTTATGAATAGCATTCTTTAACGTTTTTCTCTAGGAATAGGGGGTTTAGAAATTGGAATAGCTACCCGTTTCAAATTTCAATATACAATGGAAGGGCGCTGTTTTGATTCACAATTTTTGCTATAAAAGCTAATTTTCCAGAGTCTGATATACTTCTGATTTTCAGTTATTCATGTATATTGTTTTGGTAATGCTCTTGTAATTTGTTTTTCAAGGTTGTGTGCGAAATATCCAAAGAAGTGATATTCAATTTTTGTAGTAATAAAGGCAGTTTTCCTTGCCAAGATATTCTAGATACAAGTTCTCTATCTTCTTTAAATGCAGATACCACTGAATAATTAAAGGCTACTTGTGTATCAAGTGTTACTAAACTGTACACTGTAGGAATAGGAAAACTCAAGTTCATGCTTGGCAGGTTTTAAACCCAAAAATGTACAGTTAAATTATAAATAAAAACAACGTGGATCTACTCTGTGTTTATAAGTCTACAAAATTTAATGAAAAACGTGAAAGCTGAGACGGAGGACCCTCTTCCCCTTACCCATCCACTAGTCATCCCTTAATGATCTTGATTTTGACGACTTCCTCAGTTTAATCAATGTTAAAAAGATTGCTTTTCAAAAGTTTTTTTTTAATTAAATCTAAAATATATGATTATGTTGAAAAAATGTTTGAAAAAGACCACAGGTATTCACTTGAACTGTCAATAAACTACAAATGCTTGAATGGAGCTACCCTCCCCCATCCGTTACAGGGAAGGTAAAAATAACACGTATAACACGAAATTTGCATGGCCATTTCATGTGATATTAAAGTAAAATATCTTCAATCATCAAAATATCTGTGGTCATGATAAAACGTACGTCGATATGGAATCTTAACAATAGGCCCAAGGGCCTTAACGGTCACCTGAATACAAAAATTTAAAGGATCCATAAAAGTATAAAATAAACTGGTAGATGAAGCTTTATTGCCTAAATCAAGAGAAATGGGATGACCAGGATCAACGAAATAATTAGTCTGTTACTCATTAACAACTCATAAAGTAAGTTCTTCTTGCCCCCATTTATCACTATCACCATGCAGACTATTAACAAAACAAAAATTCTTCGGTACTATTTTTAACCCCATTTTATAATCTCTCAAATTGGCCTCTCTTGGTCTTTGAAGAAAATTAAAAAAGATAAGTTATTTTTGTTTCATTTTTATTTATCTGTTATTTACAAGTCCATCTGACCATTAAAACTACGAAAATAATTTCTGTATTATATATTAAAATTCTTGCATAATTCTCTTATTCTATTAACCTTTCAAGTACATTATTTACAGTGATTTATTATCAAAAGCGAATGGCAAAGGGGAATAACTTCTCTCCGTAGAATACAAATCAAAAGAGTCCTGGCCAGAACCAGAACAATTGACCAAATGGCCCAGATGTTAAAAAATCTGGTAAAAATACCCTTGCTTATTAAAACTTTTACTCTGTTTGTCTCCGATATGTCCAGGAGCACAGAAGATTTTCAAGGAAATAGTGCATTTTCACTACAGATTTAACACAGTCCAACACTAACACTAGAACCAGGGTCATGAATTTCAACAATTTGGAAGAGGTACCCTCATCATTATAACTATGAACTTAGTTGAAGTTTTTCAAAGAATCAACACATTTTCTCGACACTATCAAAAGACAACCCCCCCCCCCCCCAAGAAACACCAGAACCCCTGACTCTGGGAAACATTGTAAGAAGCACCCTTGCTCATCATAACTATGCATTTTGTTTATCTGCTTAATACCCAGGAGCAGATATGATTATTTAATAGAATTAATGCATTTTTACTATATTATCAATAGAGCCCCATCCTTACACCAGAACATCTGACCCAGGGGAAATGAAACTCACAATTCTGGAAAAAGCCCCCTTGCTCATTATAACTATAAACTTAGTTTCTTTGCTATTTAAAACCTGGAGCAGAAAAGAATATTTTCAAAGACGTTATGCATTTTCACAATATAATCAATAGAGCCCCCTTTCACCAGAACCCTCTACCCTGGGGTCACGGATTTAATAATTTTGGAAGAGGCATCCTTGCTTATCATAACCATGCACTTAGTTTGTTGAAATAATACCCAGGGGCAGAGAAGAAGATGTTCAAAAAAATTAATGCAGTTTCACTATATTATCAATAGAGTTCCGCCCTAACATCAGACCCCCCTCCTGCAGAACCCCTGACCCTGGGGCCACAATTATTACAATTTTGGAAGAGGCACCTTTACTCATCATAACTATGTACTAGTTAGTTTGTTTAATACACAGAAGCACAGAGCATTTCATAGAATTAATGCATTTTCACAATATAATCAATAGAGCCCCGTCCTAACACCATAACCCCTGACCCAGAGGTTATGAATTTCACAATTTTGGAAGAGGCACCCTTACTGATCATAACTATATACTCTTTTTTTAATAGACAGGAGCAGAAAGAAAGATTTTCAAAGAAAAAATGCAATTTCACTATATTATCAATAGAGTCCCGCCCAAACATAAGAACCCCTGACCCAAGAGCCATGAAAATCCCAATTTAGGAAGAGACACCCTTGCTGATAATAGCCATATACTTAGTTTGTTTACATAATACCCAGAAGCAGAGAAGAGGCACCCTTACCCATTCTTCTCTGTTCCTGTGTATTAAATAAACTAACTAGTGAGTTTGTTTAATACACAGGAGTTTTCAAAGAAATAATGCATTTTCGCTATTAGCTGCAGATCTGTAGCTCGCTGGTCTGAAAAAAACGACGACGGACGAAAACAGATAGCAATAGGTCACCTGAGTGACTCAGGTGGCCTAAAAAGCACACCACTGCATGCAGTGCCATAAAATTAAGACAATAGCCGCTCACTTTTTGATCTCAGTCTCACCTTAACAAAAGAAATCAAACTTGATGTTATCTAATTATTATGGCCTCGGGCCAGATCCGTAGGAAACGGGGGGGGGGGGGATGTGATAAGTTTTTTTTTTCTTCTCTATTTGAGATGTGGACAAATATCTCATTTTTTAAATATCCTTGAACTTGACTGGATGACCTTGACTTAGGGTCAACAAGTTAAATTTCATGTATCTTGACAGTAATTCACATCGGGATCGAAGTTCAAAACTCAACCGATCAATCGGAACTCTCAGCATTTGGTCTCAAGGCCGAAAGTGTTTATCTGATGTAGAAAATACATTAAGTTGTGATGTAGATGCCAGCAGAAGGCCCGTTCTCCTTTTTTCTGCCCACTGGGAACAGGTTTTTCAAGGTAAAAAATGATATTTAAAAAAAAAGATACAGAGAAAAAAGAAAACAACAACGTGAACTGCCACATTGTATAACTCGTGGTTAAATGACAGGTGAAGATATATGATTATGTGAATATATTTCAGTTACTGGGCAATAACATCATGAAATACAATGGTTATATATCATAGCAATCACTTATGTGCTTGAGAATACCTGTATGCTACCATTAAGCACAGAATGGCAGAAACGACAATTGCTGAGCCAAAGAGTTTTGACACTGAAGTTTAGTAAGTAACATAAATGAATAAATTGCCAAATGTTACACTTTGTTAATTTGAACAGCATTTAATAATTATTTTTACCCCTCTTCCAGTATGGAACACAATGAGAGCGAGTTGAAATTCCTTGATATACCATGGGAAGATGTGGTGTTCAAGTACATTATGCCTTGCCTTCCTCTCCAGACAAAGTTTCAGATGAGGAGAGTTTCCAAGCAGTGGTTAGAGATGGTCACCCTGTATTTTAGCATTAACAAGACAGTAAATACTTGTCGTATTGCTAACAAAATGACAGTAGGTGCTCTGTCCATCATGACAAGAAACAACTCAAGTCTTCAAGATCTTGTATTGCGCAACTCTAAAGATTGGCTGACTGATGCTGTATTAATGCCTGTTTTAAAACAAAATCCCAAGCTTCAACAAATGGATATTTCCAATTGTTCTTTTGTGACTAATAGTTCTCTCCAAGTATTGGGAGTAAACTGTCAGAATGTGAAAGTTGTCTCCCTTAGTGACTGTCACTGGGTCAGTGTTGATGGATTGACAGTGTTAGCCATGCAATGTGTCAATTTAGAAAGCCTCGATCTCACTGGATGTTGGGGTGTCAATGATGAAGCAATCACACTTCTTGCCATACGTTGTAAAAAGTAAGACCAAGAACATTCAATGTCTCTATAAAATTTTTAGAATTTAGATTAACTAGAGGTACTCACTACTGTTAGTGAGCTTTTCAAAATGATACCCCTGCTTCACTTTTTAGCTCACATGAGTCAAAGGCTCAAGTGAGCTTTTCTGATCGAAGGATGTCTGGCATCTGTCTGTCGTCTATTAACTTCTCACATTTTCGACTTCTTCTCTAGAACCACCGGGCTTATTTCAACCAAATTTGCCACAAAGCATCCTTGAAAGGGGATTCAAATTTGATCAAATGAAGGGCCATGCCCCTTTTCAGGGGAGATAATTAAGAATTGGGTAAAATTTAATGGCATCTTTTTAAAATTTTCGTCTCAATAACCACTGGACCAGAAAAAAATGAATCTTATGTGTAAGCTTTATTATATAGTGTAGATTCAAGTTTGTTCAAATGATGACCTCCTGGGGTAGGGTAGGATAGGGCCACAATGGGCAATAAAAGTTTTACATAGGAATACATAGGCAGAATCTTTAAAAATCTTCTTACGAACAGCAAAGCCATGATTAGACATGTATATATATGGAAGCATACCCAGGTAGTGTAGATTCAAGTTCGTTCAAATCATGACCCCCCCCCCCCCCCTTTCCAGGTAGGGTAGGGCCACAATGGCGGATCAAAGTTTTACCTAGGATTACATTGGAAAATTCTTTAAAAATTAAAATGTTCTCCTCAAGAATAGCAAAGACTTTACTAGTTATATTTATATGGAAGAATCCTTAAGTAGTGTAGATTCAAGTTTGTTCAAATCTTGGCCCCTGGGGTTAGAGTGGGACCTCGATGGTTTTACATAGGAATACAAAGTTATACATAGGAATATGTAAGAAAAATCTTTAAAGATTTTCTCAAGAACAGCAAATCCCTGATTAGTCATGCTTATATGGAAGCATCCTCAGGTAGTGTAGATTTAATTTTGTGTAAGTCATGACTCCCTACCCTGCCCTTTGGGGGTGGAGGGGGGGGGGCTCCCTACCCTGCCCTTTGAGGGTGGATAGGGGGACCACTTATTTATTTAAACTTTTCAATACTGAACTGATTTCTGCTTTTCTCTAGCCAAAGTGCTCATGGGAATGTGCCTCTTGTTTGTATGGTTGCATCCAGTGTTTGGCAGTTTCTCTCTTGCAAAGTTATACACCACTTCTTTTTATGAAAATGATCTTGAGCTTGCCCAAATGACCTTGAGTCTAGGTGACACCTCCAGGTGGTCTTTTTGTTCTATGTGCTGCCAATGTTTCTATTAAAAGCCATGTCCAGAAATTATAAATTTTTCTGCCGGTGACCAGTAACTTGTGTAAGTGATCAAGGTCATGACATATCTGGTCAAGTTATAAGTTATGATCTTTCAATGTTTCTCCATTGGAAAGAAATGGACCAGACACAAAATATACACTTTTTCAGCTCTTGACCCTGAACTTAAACTTAGTCAAGGTCCTTACACACTCCCAAGTGATTAATATTTGTGTGAATTATAAACTTCCAATGTTTCTTTTTAAGAAAGTTATGGACTGGGCTCAAATTATCCACTTTTTCTTTGTTGCCTGTGACCTTGAACTTGCCTTAATTCTTGACAGACCCTCAGGTCATAAGCAATTTTTAAAGTATGATTTTCTGATGTTCATCTATAAGGAAGTTCTGATCCTGCATGATTGAATGGACAAACAGACAGACAAGGTGACTCCTTTACCCCCCCCCCCCCCCCCCAACTTCAGGGGAGTAAAATAATAAGATATTTGTAAAATAGAAATTCATGATATGAATATTTTTATTCATTGCATTTTACATTTATTACCAAAAGGTTGAGGTATTTGTCAATGGCCAAAATCTATGGACTCACAGATTATGCAATGGCAATTCTGGCCAGAGAGGCCACTTCATTATGTCACCTTAATATTAGGGGATGCTGGAGACTCTCAGATGATTCTATTGGGCAAGTATCATTGTAATTTCAATATAAGATGTCTACGTTGAAAACTATTAGAAAAATAATTTTTTTTTGTATTTTTGCTTTGTAGGATTCTAGCAGAATATGCCAAAAATCTGAAAGCTTTAGAGGCACGTGAATGTAGAGATATTACTGAAAACAGTCTGTATAAGCTCCGAAATAGAGGAGTCAAAATTGACGTTCGACCACCACAACCTCCCAGAGGACTGGCAGGGCTCCGGCACAGAAAACCGTGTCTGAACATACAGATTTAAAATTGTTCAATTTTACAATTTTAGCTCATCTCAACAAAGTTGGGGGAGCTTGTGTAATGCCCTTGGTGTCGGCGTCCCAAGTTAAAGTTTTTGGAGCAGATTTCTTTTCAAGTACTTCTATGCCCTGTATTAATCAGAGATGCATGGAGGATGCTTCTAGTGTGTTTCATTATACCAGTCAAGGTTTCAGATGCTGCAAATTCAGCTAAAGAATGACCAGGTTAAAGTTTTTGGAGCAGATCTCATTTCCAAGTAACTATAAGCCCTATGTTGACCAAACTTGCATGGTTGATAAACTAAGGATGCACAGGCTTGCTACGGATGCTCGATCCGACCTACATTTTCCGGATCTTATTTCCAAGAAACTATAAGCCTTATATTGACCAAACTTGCAGGGATGATACACCTAAGGATGCACACTACAGGACTTGCTTCGGATGCTAGATCTGACCTACATTTTCCGGATGAGTGACCAGGTTACAGTTTTTGGAGCAGATCTCATTTCCAAGTAACTATAAGTCCTATGTTGACCAAACTTGCATAGATGATACATCTAAGGATGCTCAATACTGGACTTGCTTCAGATCTGGATCTAACCTACATTTTCCGGATGAGTGACCAGGTTACAGTTTTTTGAGCAGATCTCATTTCCAAGTAACTATAAGTCCTATGTTGACCAAACTTGCATAGATGATACATCTAAGGATGCTCACTACTGGACTTGCTTCAGATCAGGATCTGACCTACATTTTCTGGATGAGTGACCAGGTTAAAGTTTTTGGAGCAGATCTCATTTCCAAGTAACTATTAGCTATATCTTGACCAAACTTGCATGGATGATACATCTAAGGATGCACACTGGACTTGCTTTGGATGCTGGATCTGACCTACATTTTCCAGATGGGTGACAAGGTAGATTTTTTTTTCACTTTACTAAATCTGTGCCAAGAAGCTAGTCATAATTTAATATAAATTTCAGTTCCCCCTTTTGGTAGAGAAATGTACAGTTTGAAAAAAAAAACCAAACATGATGTTGACATCATTGTATCATACACAAGTGGGCATCACAGCCCTTGGTCTCCATAGTATACTAAATTATTGTTAAATTGTTGTATTTTATCTGTCTATTGCAATTGTTACCAATTAAGAACTGATGATCTTTACAAGCAATTGAAAATTGTATTTTGTGAAAATTTATCATTTAATATTTTTATTTTGAATAAAAATATGTTTACATTATAGACTTTGTTGTATGAGTAGTAAAATTGAATTTAGTTTCAATGTGCTGTGTGATATTCCAGCATCCACAATTTCTGACAACAGGACCTGCAGACTTTGGATTTGGTGCCGTATCAGCTGCCCAAATTATGCATCATTTGAAAATCCAATGTTAAAATTTGGTTACAATTCATTTTGCTGGTTGGTAAATACTTGTATTAAGTTTATTATTATACATGTACATGTAATTGCACATTGTCACACATGACTTAGAAGTAATGTTAAACTGTACTGTAAGTCGCCTTTTATTTGCAGGAACTTCATTTGCTTAATTATGCCAGACCTCTTTTTTTTGTGCAAAAATTTCATTCTTGCATATATTTTTATTATTAAAGATTAAATACAAGAGCCCAATGGGCCTTGAAGCTCACCTGAGCACTTTGGTTACAGAAAAGCAGAAATCATTCAGTATTGAAAAGTTAAAAATATATAAGTGGTCCTACCCTACCATGGAAGGGGCTGTGATTTGAACAAACTTGAATCTACACTAACTGTGGATGCTTCCATATTTTTATGACTAATCATGGCTTTAAAAGATTTTTACAGAGTTTCTTCTATATATATTCCTATGTAAAGTTTGATCTTCTATTGTAGCCCTACCTTGATCCAAGGGGTCAGATTACTATTAATCTACACAACCTGAGGATGCATTCATATTAATATGACCTATCATGGCTTTCGCTGTTCTTGAGATTTTCCCATTTATCCTTATGTAAAAATTTGGTGACCCATTGTGGTCCAACCCTAGCCTTGGCTGCATTATTTGAACAAACTTGAATCTACACTCTGTATTAATATGACTAATTGTGGCTTTGCTGCTCTTGAGAAGATTTTTAAAGATTCTTCCTTATATTCCTATGTACGACTTCGATTGCCCATTGTGACCTCACCGTAGCTAGGGTTCATAATTTGAAAAAACTTGAACCTACACTATGTAATGAAGCTTTCATATAAGTTTCATCTTTTCTGGCACAGTGGTTCTTGAGAAGAAGATTTTTAATAGATGCCATTAAATTTTCACTAATTCTTGATTATCTCCCTTTGAAAGAGGGTGCGGCCTTTCATTTGAACAAATTTGAATCCCCTTGACCCAAGGATGATTTGTGGCAAATTTGGTTGAAATGCCCAGCGGTTCTGAAGAAGATGTAAATGAGAAAAGTTTACAACAACTGTGATGATAGACAAATTTTGATATGAAAAGCTCATTTGAGCTCAGATGAACAAACTGTAACTAGTAATTTTGTCTTGTTTACAAATACCTATCTTGTGAAAACAGGGTTGCAAAAATTTGGTAATCTACAGTATTTTATTTAAATATGTAAAATACATTGAATGGGATACACTGTATTAGAAATCACCAGGCTCATTCATTAGCCATTTTCTAGATCTGTAGCTGACTCCTGGAGTTTCTGGTGCTTCATTTTGGTACTAAGTAATAGAAATACAGCTATTTAAAATTGCAGTAAAATGAATTGGTTCAAAGAAAACTTTATTATACTGTAAATAGAAACTTGAACATTTCCTAATAATTAAAAATTTTATCACAAAATATATCACATAACATCTCATTATTATAAAACATCCTCTATTTCTTGATGTTAGAGGTGATAGTTCTATTTTAGTCACTGTTCAATTCTTCTATTATGATTTAACAATATAAACAAGTATTGCATTTTAAGAGGAGGACAATACATTCCTTTCAGTTGAAATAGTTCATTTAAATATACATATACCATTCATTTCTGAGAACACTACAAATTTACCATTGCTTTTTTTCATAAATGGATATTATAGTTTAAGTGATATTTTTAAGTTCAAGGTCAGCATCACCGACGTAAAAGGTCAGAGGTCAAACACAGGAAGTTCCTCCTCCTCCTCATTTTCCTTGTCACTGTCCAGAAGTGTCGGATCAATGTGGGGAAGTTCTCTCCGCCGCTTAGACTTATTTCTCGAGGCCTCATCTGTCGTTTCAAAGGAACTTAATATGATAGGACTCTCACTGACCAAAGATTCATCTGAAATATATTTCATAAGTCCTTTGAAAAAATCTTAATAAGGAAAAAACAAATATTTCAAACAAATGTACATGTATTCACAGAAAGAATTCAGTATTCGTGTATCTAAGTAGCCCAGTAGTTTGAAGATTTGCATGATAAACTGAATCAGGAGGATTTTTCTCTTTAATCTTTATTTAAGATTTAAATATCAAACATTGCATACTGATTTAATGCTTTCAAATCATTGCATTACAAGATGTGGTATATACCTCCTAAAATCTTAAAAATTTAAGAGATGCCTGTTGTGTCCAATGTTTACTGATTTCTTTATACCTGTTTGTCCTGTCAGTGACATTGGAGGACTTTCCTCCTCTTCCTCATCCTGTTTCCTTTTTCTTTTTCCTCCCTTTGGTTGCCTATAAGTGCTGGAGGAAGACCCTTGAGAGAATCTGTCTAACAGAGAACTCAAACTGTGACTAGCCTCTTCAGAATTCTGCATCCCATCTTTGCGAGCTACAATAATATGTAACAATACAGATTACCAAGAAAAAATATATAACTCATCCTTAAAAGCACTAATTAGCTCTAGTGTTTTATAATTGGACAAGGTAAAATGAATCAATATTTAAAATTTTAAGACATTATTTTATCACTTTATATAAGGAAACCATATTTAAAAATGTGTATAAATGGGGGGGAGGGCTTGAGAATCTGAATTGATTGCAAATTTTGAAACCAATTTCCATCATTCAGACAGAATAATTATTAACCAGTTAACAATATCCATGTCTAAATAATAAAGTCTGAGTCTTTCAATGTGTAATTGCTCCTAACCTCTACACATGGAAATGACTCTTCCCCAGAGTGAGTTTTTCTCCAGATTGTTTAAATGTCCCACAATAAAAAGATGATGCCTGGCTCTAGTCAAAGCAACATTAGTCCTCCTGTAAATTATAATGAATAATATTAATGAAAATGAACAAAACTATCTAAGATTTGGTATATAATGAACAAAGTTGTATTATATAAAGCCTGTGTGGTTGTACATATACTTGTGGTTGTCTATAAAGCCTGTGTGGTTGTACATATACTTGTGGTTGTCTATGAAGCCTGTGTGGTTGTACATATACTTGTGGTTGTCTATAAAGCCTGTGTGGTTGTACATATACTTGTGGTTGTCTTTAAAGCCTGTGTGGTTGTACATATACTTGTGGTTGTCTATAAAGCCTGTGTGGTTGTACATATACTTGTGGTTGTCTATAAAGCTTGTGTGGTTGTACACTTACTTGTGGTTGTCTATAAAGCCTGTGTGGTTGTACACCTACTTGTAGCTCATAAAGTCTGTGTGGTGTACACTTGCTTCCGATTGTCTGTAAAGCCTGTATTGTTGTACACCTATTTCTGATTGTCTATAAAGCCTGTGTTGTTATACACTTACTTTTGATTGTCTATAAAGCCTGTGTTGTTGGTGCGTACACAAGAAAGGATAATGATATTCCTTTCACCACCCTGGAATGCATCTACAGTTGAAACAAGGATGGACTTTGTTTCATTCTGACTGCAGTTTCTTTTTGAAAGAGAAAAATTTAATTGAAATAAGTTAAAACACAACATTTCTGACCTTGATAGCTGAAGAGATTTGCCATATAATCTCATAATCCCCCCCCCCCCCCCCAAAAAAAAATCTTGGAAAAATTTATCCTATACTTTAAGTAGAAAACTATCTAAATGTCCATAAAATTTTAAAGTAAAAACATGTATACACTGCAGACTTTATTAGAGTTCTGAATCTGTGGTATTTATACTGTTAGAAAAGTCAGCCCTTATATCCAAAATGAAATAGTGTGTTACTCATTTTGCAATCATTTCAAACCTTCTTATTATCTAAATAAGTCAAAAATGAATTAATTAAACACTTTATCTGCATCCCCCCCCCCCCCCACTTTGTAAACAGTAGTGGTAAATGTCAGGTACCTTTTGTTGAAAATGAAATACCCAGTACACATTGATTAACTCAATATTTAAACTTTTATAGGATAGGACATTTTTTTGAGATCCAAAAACATTTTGTTTTAGTTAGAGAGGGTCCTTAGTACTTTAAAAAGGCCCCTTAATACTTTAAAACATGGATGTAGTAAATAATTTGGTCAAAAGATCCATAAAAATATTCATTATAATGTGATGTCTTCAAATATGTAGGTCACAAGCCAAATTTGAGAGAAATTAACAGCACTGAAGGGGAATTAACTCTTATAACTACCGGTAACATAGAATGAGATTCTCCGCATACTTTTTCATTCATGTTGTTTTAAGGACATTGGCAAGGTTCCTGGTTATCGTATAAAATTTTTCAAGAACTCTTTAGTAGGTTTAATTGTACTAAACAGGCTATATTCTGGATTGATTAACCTACCAAGCCAGCCTTCTTTTTTAGAATTTGTCTAATCAGTGTTTTTGCAATTCTCAGTGCATTTCCTATGTAAAATGTTGATAAAAGGGACCCACATAATTTTTTACCATAATATTTCTCCAAAAACCACTTATTTCATATAGTTTTTGTATTACATGTATATACATTATTGTATCTTCATTTCCTATGACTTCTAGATATTTTGGCTGAAAACGTGTATATAGAAACAATACAAGGACATACCGGCACCGATCTTTATTTTTGAGTTACTTCCCTTAACAGCTATAATTACATATTATCCATAATGGTCAAGAGAGTCAGACTGGTTGATTATTCTATCATGTAATTGACTGAATTGATTGAAACACATTGTCATAAAAATATTGGCATGGATTTATTTTAATTTTTATTCGTAGTTAATAAATGCTGCCTCCTTCATACAACCTAGGAACTGATCTCAGTCGGTCTACCTTTCAGCATAATTTATGTCACATCTTTGCCCTTTCCAGCATACTGAGTATAACTATAGTAAATGACGACCTGTTGACTCTTTGTCCCCCTGAATACAATGTACAACAAAGCCATTACTACTTTTCTTTCTTACACATGCTTTTGTTTACCTCTGTAACATAACGCTTTATTCGTTTTCACCGCTTAGAGAATTCTACACGGGAGATCACTCACAATCCCCTTTTCATAAATGAAAAACCCATGTATTAAACCTTTTTTCTCCGGAAAACCCTGACTTGCCAATGTCCTTAAGCTCATTTTATAAGCATTATTTACATGTAAGTTGCATATATATACCAAAAGTAGCAAATATCTCTCTATTATACATCAAATACCTTAAGATATGAAAATGAACATTTCAATTTCTATTAGATAACTTGAAATATCCAGAAACTGAAAGTTTTCACTTGCATAAATAAATAAAATATGTATTAAAAAAATTGACCATTATGACAGAATTCAAAGTGCGTTAAGGCTAATTATATCAATGTCTTAAAATAGATATATACTGTAAATCTGGAAATTTTTACGTCAATTTATTTTTGCGAATCTGGGTCTAAAAGGTGTTGATTAATTTTTACGTTTTAAAATTTTGCGAATTGTCATTGGCGCTAAAAATAAAAAGCTCTTAAAATTTTCATAACGTACACTTTATAAGTTACAGATGTGCATACAATGAATTATGCATGTACATACAATCACATTTCTTTCGTCGGGGTTTCATTATACACGAGAGTAAGTTCTTCGTTAATATCTGTTGTGCTAAGAATTTGTTGTTAGATAAAATAACTGGCCTTTCTTTCTTAGAGAAATAATTTAAAAGAGACATACTGCCAGTCAAACAATCGGACGATATTGAATGTAGTTAATGCAAGGATTATCACGGGTAATTAGCTTGTAGTATGAACAGATGTTCACCGGGTTAAAAAAGACACCAGCTGTCAGAAAATTTTTTGTTTACATTTTTTGTTGTTGATTTATTTTTAAGAAAAATATTTTTGCGAATGCAATGCACACACAAATTTGCTGAAAATCTATCTACAGTAAAAATTTCCAGATCTACGGTATTCAACCAGTCAAAATTCAACTTTAAGAATGGCTTATAAAAGAGTTTGAAGTATAATTGTAAATAAAGTCTACCTGCTGGTGCCTAGCTTGGCTATGATGCCATACATTTGGGATTTGTAGAGTGTGATCACCCCAATAGATGTTGAATCTACCCCGGCACTAATTAAAGCCTCTATCATAAATGCCACAAAATCTGCCTCCTTTTCATTTGAGAAACTTCCACTGGAGTCACTACTTTCTTGTCCATTAGAAACATCATAAAAACAAAGTGTGGGCAAGATATCCTAGGAGGAATTATCAAAGTTTATTCATCAGAATCACAAGCATATTGAAATATCACAAAATGTTAGTATCTAACTACAGGTAACTCTTGATAGCTCGAACTTCGATCTCTCGAAGTTCTTGATCGCTCGAAGTGAGTCTCCGGTCCCGAATTTTTCCCCTATATAACTAACCAAATTTACTCTTGATTTCTCGAACTCTTGATCTCTCGAAACCCTTGATCCCTCGAAGTCAAAATGCGGTCCCGTTATGCATATTCTATTGGAATTTACCCTCGATACCTCGAAGTGGCTTTGTGTATACAAGGTTATATAATTAGCACCTTTACCTGGACATCTAAATGGCCCCAAGCAGAAGTCGCGGGTCTCGAGGAACGAGATGTTTATTCAGGTAACACTTATGCTGCGAGGTGATAATTGGTTTATGATTAATCATATTTAGCCTATATGCTGTTTAAATATTCATCAACAACTGTCTTACGATAATTTAGAGACGCAGTGTAGTGAAAAGTAGTAGTCGGTTAAAAGACGAAATACTAATTTAATTTTTATTTCGAGTCAGTGTCAAAGTTAAACGAAATATGAAAAAGCAGAAACAGCCTCAATGTCAATGCGACGAGTATTATTAGACAAATACAGAATTGCATTCAATGATCATGTTTGGAATAGTCAATGCTATGTACGACGCTGTAAAATGTCGTTTTTATGTAATGAATGTGTTGTATGATGTCCATATTATAAAGAATAAATAAATATATATGAAATGACAATATACATTTTTTGCTTTACTCATTTTAATGAAATATTCATCTAAATTATGAAAAAATATCGTTGTTTTATAAAGACCACATGTAAGAGGTTAGCACTGCATGAAAATCATTACATCCGGTAAGACTAATTTTAAAACCTGTCAACAAACCCTGAAAATTCTGGACTCTTGAAAACTCGAACTCTTGATCTCTCGAAATTTTTCCTCGGTCCCACGGACTTCGAGGTATCGAGAGTTACCTGTATATTACAGTCTAATTTGCCTTTACCAAAACAGGTGCCCTGTCTGTGGCCTCAATACCATCCAGCAGCTGACCTTGATAAAACAAAGTGTTGGCAAGGTTGCTAATGACTGGGTGACATCTATATTGTGTTCTCAGCAGAGTAGGAATGTGGCCCTGCAGTAGAAAATATCCATGTTTAAAAATCCACTTATAACTACTGTTTCTCAGCAGCAAGACCTGAATTAGACTAAGACTAACAGTAATCAGAAATTGGTTCAAGTTCTACAGAGACAATCCTACCATTTTGATGAGTCTGTCAAACATTGTCTGCTCCAGTCCCTCTGAGTGGCTGGCCTCTGAACCTTGAATTGTCGGATCTAATTGCTACAAATTAAAATATTATACATGTATGTCAAACCTCTACTAATTCTGCTTGTGAATCCTCCAATGAGGAACAGGGATCTTTGTCAATAGACTTTCTTATTCAATAATTTAGTGTATGATAAGTGAGGAAAACGAAGACATGAGGACATACCTTAGGATCTCCTACAAGCACCAACTTCTCACAAGCACACTTAGACATAGGAAATAGAGATGCTGGCTCTGTCATCTGACTGCACTCATCTAATATAACCACCTGTCAAAAATTCCAGACATCCATGAATCCGTTATTTATTTTCTGAGATTTTACTCTCTACACTGTAGTCTTTAATTTGGCTAACATAATAAAAAGAAATGCAACAATGACATTTGCTTACTGGAAACTTTAAGTCTTTGAGACTGGGAGCAACACATGAAGCACAAGTGACCCCAACAACAGCAACACTGCCAAGCTTCTGAAATATTGAAAAAAGACGACTAGTTTGTTAATTTGTTTTTTTAAGATGATAGTTGAAAAATTTACTGTATTAAAGAAACACTTGACTTGTTACTACTGACAAAAAAGAAAAAAACACATGCACACAGACATATCAAACTTGAAAGAAATCAGTGACTGTGTAACTTATAAAAGTAGCAGTGACTATTAATTTTTAGAGTAACTTGCTTCTTTCATATTTCTAACATTACACAACTGAGTTATATGTATTTGTTAAAACTTCTGAAGACAAAAGAACAGATTTCAAATGCATAATAAAAGAAATCAATGTTAATAATTGCTGTTTGTGGCTTTTAAACTTACCTTCTTATTTTCACCAAGTTTATGTTTCTCTATACTTTGACGCACATTGCTAAAAATACAAGTACAGTATTAAACAGATTTACAGATACCAGTATAAGTAAAACTTTTAAAATCACTTAATAATAATATAATAAACACTAGTTAAATTGATTCCATCATCATTAGCCACAGGTTCTGATCTGATTGGAAATCTTTGTGAATGAAGATAGAATGTCAAATACACAAAAATTTTCATGTGCATGCATATATACATGAATTACTTTAAATCAACACAAAAAATCAAGTTTATCTTGGTTTCACAAGTGAGTACAATAGTAATATCAGATATAAATCTTGTTAAGTATGGATCTTTAAAATCACTTTAATCATTGCTTAATTATTACAATATGTTTAAACAAGAATCATTTATATATGTAAGCTTTTTTCAGACTCTGACTAGAGTGACACGTACTGTTTCTCTGAGGGACTGAGATCACCACTTCTCATCATTTCCTGTAGATCTTTAAGCTCCTGGCTTTCTGTACCAGTGGCATGTACACTACAACACAATACATAATCAACAGCCAGTAATAATGTACATTACAACATAATCTTATGAACAGCCAGTAATAATGGCTACAATACATCTCTGCACAAGTGATTTTTATATACCGTATCAGTGGAAATTTTAGCGAGACATAAATTTAGCTATTTACATGTATCATTAAATAATGGTAACTAATTTTTAGTGAGAATCAATTTTAATGATTTTAAAGTGCCTATTAAAGAAGCTATTACAAATAAAACGCAATTTATTTTTAGCGATATTCAATTTTAGCAATCTCTACACCCTCGCTAATAATGCCAAAATTAAATCCTTGCTAAAAATTCTGTTTATACAGTATCTAATAGAAGGAGGCAACATATAAGTCACTTTCTTTTCTTGAAAATACCACAACAGAACAACACTATACAATTATTGACCTTTGATGAGGTCTACACAAGACTATATGGACCTGGTCAGGTATTGGTTGACCGAGGCCGAAGGCCAAGGTTAACCAATACCTGGCCAAGTCTGTATAGTCACAAGTAGACCAAATTCAAAAGTCAATAACCATTTCATTAAATAATCAGGAATTTTACCACGTTTTTGACACTAGTTCTTGTCTCTAACAAATACAAACACTTATAATATTTACATTCAGTGTCATTTTCTTTATGAAATCCATTGTAAACCTACAACATTCAATACCCTATAACACACGTGAAACCTTGTCACTGCATGGTAGAATACAGTTTAAAATCTGTTTAAAAGTGGAAAACTATATTATAAAACAATAAACATTCAACCATTAACTAATAAAGGAGTTTAGTCTTTGTGGTACTGGCATCTGTCATATTTACCATACCAACGACACATGCTTTAAAACATACAGTTTGATTGGTCAAAAAAAAAGGTAAGCCAATTTATGGTTGGTCAGAAGGGAAAACCCAAATAAACCTCTCAGAACTTCATTTTGAGGTGAACTCACTCTGAAGTACACCTCAGGAAAGGGAATCTAGACCAATCAGAGAGAATCAAAATTCCTGATCATTTAATAAACTCATTTACAGACTAACCTGTAAGGTAACACTGGTTTAGCAATTTTCTTCATGCTCCCCACTCTAATAAAGTCTTCAAAGCCAATATCCAGTAATCTATAATGAATAAAATTTGTGTCTATGTAAAACCATATGTACAATAACTGTACTAAGTAAATGCGATTGAATTTGCAGATGTATAATTTTGCTTACTTTTCCCATGGCACATTATTGCATGTGTTTGAATTCACTCAGTAACAAATTACTCTTCATTATATATACTCGTGTTTGAATTGTTACATAGATCTATACTTTAAAAGTCGAACATTTCTAGTGTTTAACTGAGCTGTCCAAACGAATTCCATGTTGGACTTGGTGAGATGTTGAACCACTCTTTTTTTTTTAACATCACACTATTCCTGAGCATAGGTGGGGTCAGCTATATATAATTTGCATTTGTTGATGTTCAACAATTACAGAACAGATTGATTAAAATCTGCAGTGGGGTATAGGAAATTGACATCAAGATTTTCATCTTAAAATTGCAAACAAGGAAGCCAGCACAAAATATGTCCTTATTTAAAGTAAAAGGTATAACAAAACATGTATGGATTTGGTTCTCAAGCAGAATGTGTTTTGTCAAACCCTTGAACCAAACTGTTGCCTTCTGCCTACAAGTTTCAAGGAAACATTTTTGGTTCTTGAGTCAAACAAAATGTATGTTGTCCTCAAAGCCAGTCAATAAATGTACAATGTTCCTAAAACTTCTTAACTTTTCTAAGACATTTCTTAATATATCTATAAATATTGGTATATATGAACAGTATTTTCCTGCAGTTACTTTGCATTAACTGAAATTGTAATTGTAATAGATTTCTCTTCGAGAGAAATATCATGCAGTCTAAACCTCTCCAAGATAACCAATACCATATGCACCACATTTTCAATAACACCTACCCCATGAGAACCCTGTCCACAGCCACATTTGTGATAGAGGAAATGACACCTACCCCATGAGAACCCTGTCCACAGCCACATTTGTGATAGAGGAAATGACACCTATCCCATGAGAACCCTGTCCACAGCCACATTTGTGATAGAGGAAATGACACCTACCCCATGAGAACCCTGTCCACAGCCACATTTGTGATGGAGGAAATGACACCTACCCCATGAGAACCCTGTCCACAGCAACATTTATGATAGAGGAAATGACACCTACCCCATGAGAACCCTGTCCACAACCACATTTGTGATGGAGGAAATGACACCTACCCAATGAGAACCCAGTCCACAACCACATTTGTGGTGGAGGAAATGACACCTACCCCATGAGAACCCTGTCCAAAGCCACATTTTGATGGAGGAAATGACACCTACCCCATGAGAACCCTGTCCACAGCCACATTTGTGATGGAGGAAATGACACCTACCCCATGAGAACCCTGTCCACAGCCACATTTGTGGTGGAGGAAATGACACCTACCCCATGAGAACCCTGTCCACAGCCACATCTGTGATGGAGGAAATGACACCTACCCCATTAGAACCGTCCACAGCCACATTTGTGGTGGAGGAAATGACACCTACCCCATGAGAACCCTGTCCACTGCCACATTTGTGGTGGAGGAAATGAGGCCTACCCAATGAGAACCCTGTCCACAACCCCATTTGTGGTGGAGGAAATGACACCTACCCCATGAGAATCCTGTCCACAGCCACATTTGTGGTGGAGGAAATGACACCTACCCCATGAGAACCCTGTCCACAGCCACATTTGTGGTGGAGGAAATGACACCTACCCCATGAGAACCCTGTCCACAGCCACATTAGTGATGGTGGAAATGACACCTACCCCATGAGAACCCTGTCCACAGCCACATTTGTGATGGAGGAAATGACACCTACCCCATGAGAACCCTGTCCACAGCCACATTTGTGGTGGAGGAGATGAGGATCTTCCAAGGGTAAGGTAGTCCTGGGGTGTAGCTTCCATTCACTTCAAACACCCTCACTAGGAATCTTACCATAACAGACAACAGAAAGCTCTTCCCGGCACCGAACACTCCTACAACAAACCCTTAATAGTTGTCACAGTGAAAAGTCACTAGTATAACTTCTTTTGTATAGGAAAAGGCCCACAACTATACACTGAGTTACTATCCAATTTGTTAAAACAGCATTATCTTTACATTTTATAATTCTTGTCACACAAAAACATGTAGCTTGTATTTTGTGTTCAGTACAACTCAGATGTGATGTCACAGTGATAAACTGTTTTTGAAATAGGTAACTTTTACTTTCATGTGCTAGAACAATTTAAATATTACGTTAAACAATCTTGTTTTGCTGCGTACACAAAATGAGTACATAAATTTTCATTGCTTTATAAAGCACATTATGTAAAATATATGCATATCTACTAGGTGACATAAAATAAAAGTAATCCCTTAATTGATACCAGATATTTGGTCCAAAATAATAGTGTGTAACTCTTGACCAAGTGAACTGTTACCAGAGATATAAATCAGTGCTATATTAAAAATGATCCAATGTTAAAATTGTTTATGGTATATTTATGATGAAAACAATCATAAAAAAGTACATTGTAGTTACTGTGTCCATCTGTAAAATCAAGGTGAAATAAAATATCTATAAGTGAATATCAAGGTGAAATGAAATATCTATGGGTAAATTTATGTGAACTCATCCTCTCCATACCATGTATAAGAAGAAGGGAGGACACTTCACTGTGACTGTCCTCACAAAACATGGCTGCCAGTCTCCTTAATGCTGAACCCTGGTCCATGTTCAGAGAGTAGGTCATCATAAACTCAGTAACCAACTCATTCTGGAAAACAAAATAAGCATTAAATCTCTCTGAGTGTGCCTAACAAAGAGATTCTGGAACATTAAATAACCAAGTTATGACATGTGATGAAAAACAAGATCTTTTGAAGTACTAGAATCCATTCAGAGGAGAGCACATTTTTCTACCATCAATTTGCGAGTCTCCAGCCTCAAAATTTATTTCAAAATTTTTTGTAAATAAATACTTCTGCATCAAATCATTAACCAATTTAATGGAAATACTTTACAAAACTCCTATCAACAGTATAACATTGAGCACTTCTTAAAAACATTACCATTGCATATACAGGGACATGAATGTTAGAGGTTGATTTGCCCTGATTTAGTCTGGGAGGCTGGAATCTCTTGTGTGCCTTAGAAGCATCAGCACTGTCCCTAAATAAAACACAATACATAAATATTAAAGGAAGAATTTATCATTAACAATATGATACAAGTTGTTTCACATTCAAAGTAATTCCTTTATTTACTATGCCACTTACACACTGAGAAGTTGGCTGAGTATGGGCAGACAACTCTGTTGTACATTGTCCTGTATGTTGTCAAGGTAACTAAGCTCAGAACTGACATTTCCAGCTAACACAGCATGACAAGGAGCTGCAACAAATCACGGGAAATAGTAGAAAGACAGGCAAGAAATAATTTGGCATTTTTTTAAGCATTGTGTAGGAGGTTTGTTGTTCAGATTCAAGGTTTGTCAAGTAGCATTTAATTTACATACATGTACAGTCAAACCTTAATATATCAAACACAGCTCTCAAAAATGTTCAAAATATGCATGTATAAGAGTTTCATGTTCATAATAAGATTAGGAACAAAGACTACTATGGCATATCATGTTCAAGATACTGAAGCTCAACTGCAGTTCAAATATCATGGCAGTGGCTAAAATTGTAAACAGACAAATCAAAATTTCCTGGAATCTAGAAGATTTTTTAAAAATCTAGACTACTTTATAAACTATTTAATTTGCATGGATGTTATTCTTTGTTTGAATTTTTTATAATGATCAATTAAACAAAAGTATTCATAAAATTACAAAAACCTTCATTCTTCCAATTAGAGGGTGAGAACTTGGACACTGGCTCAATCTCCACTTCATTCCCTGATGTTGGTCCATAGTATGTGCTTTTGGCCAGAAAGGTACAAGTAGAATCAAAATTCAGATCTCTAGATACTATCCATAAATCATCTGAAATATAATATGCAATCAACTAAAGAAATTCATTTGATTAAAACAAATTAAGATTTAACTGTGATAATGTTTCAGATGAGGTCAAATTTTAATTCTCAGTTAGGGCATTTAAAATAATGTAACTGAAATGCTTTTCAAGTTTCGACGATTCTCATTTTTCTAACCTTTGGAGAACAGTGTTGAGGAATCTTTTCTGGATAATCGAATGAAGTATTTTCTTTGCATTTTATTTTCCCTCTGGTACTTCTGTTTTGCCCATGGCTGAAGTGAAATTGAATATAGATGCATTTTTTTCGAATTCAGTAAAAAATAATGGATTGTCTACTGATTACCAAGAGACTTACATTTTTGAAGTGGGCCAGAATGCTTTCCATTGACTTCTGCAGGTATTGGCACTGACAATAGAACATGATATGGTGCTGACGGAAATATGATGTCACACTGGCAGCATCTGTCAATCTTACCTTAGCTCCACCCATATGATGTAGCCCTACATTTCCACTGGAGTCAGCCCACTGGAAAAACTGTATTACAAAATATGATAAACATGTACATGTATAACTACATTAGATACTTTAATACATGATGGTACAATGGTGGTACAATGATAAATACTTTTTCTGGGTCTATTGTTTCTCAGAATAGATTATATACAGTATTCAGTGTACCTTACACCTCTGACTGACTGGGTTGGTACAGGAGTAGAAATATCTTCCTTTATTGGGTCCCTCCTTCCTGACTTGGATCAGTTTGGAGGAGACCCCACAGTGACAGGGGGGTAATGGGGGTCCTGTATCCCTAGACTGACTGCTCTGAGTGTTCTTCACTGAAATCAAGATTCATAAAAAATCTTAATATTGGTTATTGCTAAGAAGCTAGTGAAACATTATTTCATCAACTTTAATTTTTTTTGAGATATAAATGTGAAATGAGAGATGTAAACAACAAATACCTGGAAATGTTAAACTTGTGGTATCTGTTTTTGACAAAACCTGATGATACTGCTTTGACAGATCAAACAAAATGATGTTCAAGTGCTCTGAAACCAAAGGAAGAATATTTTACATTTTCATTAACTTTAATAATCAAGAAAAGAACAAATAAATAAATTGTGGTAAAGTAGAGGTACAGATATGATCTAGTTGACATTGGGGCCTATTCATATTGATATAAATGATTTAAGTGCCTACTTGCACTGACCTCTGGGAGCTACTGATGAGGACCCCCAGTTGTATCCATATTGATCTGTAAGAGTTGTTAAGAGGACCTATTGCCAAATTGTATCTGTACTGAACTGTAAGAGTTGTTAAGAGGACCTATTGCCCAGTTGTATCTGTATAGATCTGTAAGAGTTGATATGAGGACTAATTGCCCAGTTGTATCCGTATTGATCTGTAAGAGTTGTTAAAAAGACCTATTGTCCAGTTGTATTTGTATTGATCTGTAAGAGTTGATAAGAGGACCTATATCCCAGTTGTATCTGTATTGATCTGTAAGAGTTGCTAGGAGGACCTATTGCCCAGTTGTATCTGTATTGATCTGTAAGAGTTGATATGAGGACCTATTGTCCAGTTGTATCTGTATTGATCTGTAAGAGTTGATATGAGGACCTATTGTCCAGTTGTAGCTGTATTGATCTGTAAAAGTTGATATGAGGACTTACTGCCCAGTTGTAGCTGTATTGATATGAGGACCTATTGTACTGAGATCTGATTTGTGACCTCTGTGACCTGAGAAGACAACTTATTTGTACACTTTCAATCTATTTGTATTGACTTCTGAGGATAGACATAGACTGTTTTTACTTCTCAACACAGATATGAGGACATGTATGTTGACCTTCACTTAGAGAGCAGGCCTGTTTGTGATGACACTATACAATTGTGTGTACACTGTATTAACACATGATGACCTGTTTGTTCCGACCTTTGAGAAGAAATATGCAGACATGTTTACAGGTTATACTTTCTAGAAAGATGATACCAATACCTTTTGTACTGAATTTTGAAGGCAAATATGAGGAATTGTGGGTACTATCCACTGAAAGGCTGAAACAAAGAGCTGTTTGATAATGTACTGACCTCTGAGAGCAGACATGAGGACCTGTTTGTATTGTAGAGGAGAGGAGAACATGGTTGGTATGACAATCTTCCTGACTGGCGTGGGGTTGTTTTCTACCTCTGACAGACTGGCAAACTGAAGGTCATCCCATAAACTTCTCTGTAAGATAAGAGGATTTTAATGACTGAACAGTTCTTAAAGCATATAAACATTTTTTTTTTCCCTAGGCTAAAGAAAACTTCACAAACCTTTGTTCCAATTAAGATGTTTGGTGAGGAGGTAGAATTGATTATTGGAGGATTAAACCTCTTCTCACGGTTGATCTGTATCATAGAATCTGCTGAACTGTCTGTCTGTGGCACTCTCTGGCCAATAGGGGAGTTAACTTCAGAACTGGCTTTGGAGTTTGCACCAGCAAGTACTTTCTGATTGGTGGGTTTAGTGAGTACTATGTCTCCAGACTTGGGGGACTGGCTGGCTGGAGAATTATACATGTATTTGTAAGACTTCTGCTCTGGGGATTCATACAGACTTGGGGAGGAACCTAGACATATAAGGTCAAGGTTAGGGGAAATTCCTACACACTGATTGGTGGAGTTTGTGAAGTTCTGATGATGTGAGGAATAACCTTTCTGCATGACATCTAAACTAGAAGAATCTGTGCTGTGGTTTGATGTATCACAATTTTCCACATTTCTTTGTGTTATGACCTTCTTGGCAGTGGATTGATTACTTTCCAAAAATATACTGTCATTATTATCACCATTAGATGAATGTTGCTCACCATTAGATGAATGTTGCCTGCCTTTAAAGCAGAACTTCCGACTTTTTCTAATACCCACTGTACCATTACAAAATGTGAGAGTATCGGCATTTTCTCTCTGTGCCGGTGTATTCAATGCAGTGCTCCTGCGAGAGCTCATTTTAGAAGTTTGATTAGATGCAGCTGTCATATGATTTGTGTCCACATTATTATTACGTCTTTGTGACTCTGAATTTATCTTTCCCGAAGATGTATTGAAGTCATAAGAACAGTTCAAATAATCCAAGTCTTCCTCATCATCTACAGATATAAATTTCCCCCACTTTGACGCAACAGATTCTGCATTATCTACAGGATTTCCTTCCACACCCCCTGTGTTAAAGTTCTCAGGATTGGTATCTAACTCTTGTCCTGAAGAATTCACTGAACCATACTCTGTATCTCTGACAGAATATGACTGCGAATCTTGACATTGATCTTTAAATGGCTGACTCCTCAGGCCTATCTTAGGTTGGTCCCTTGCTGATCCCACATCAGGAGAAAACATCTTCCTGGGTCTTCCATACACATTGTCTTTACAGATCTCTTCATCCTGTGAATTAAAAACTGTGACAGATTCTGCTGTAACAAAGCTGTTGTTTTTACTTATATTGTTCAGCACCTCTTCTTCTGTTTCCAGCAGTGTATCAGGACTGTTGTATGACATCTGATGACCTAATCTTGTTGTGGATTCTACGTTCCTGATGGAATTATTTCCAAAGTTGTTGTGATTTGAATATTTTCTTTTCACATAAGAGGGTTTGGCACTATTCACTGAACTACCCACTTGTGATAAATTCTGTAACAGAATTTTTTTTATTTGATATTCACATATTTTACTAACAAGAACTGAATAATTATATACAAGAGATGTTTGTGAAACACTTATGCCCCCCCCCCCCAATAATTGGAATTTTTCTAAGTCCAAGGGACATAATTCTGTCAAAAATTGCTCGATCGTACCCAAAACAGAACTTGACCTAGATATTTTTATGATAAATCTGTATACCAAATTTCATTTCAGTATGTGCAACCTCTGTGAAGAAAATGAATGGAAACTGTTGGTGGACCGATAGACAGACAGACCGACCAACAGACAGCAGCAAAGCAATATGCTCTCCCTTCTTTGAAGGGGGGCATAAAAACACATACGAATATTCAACAGAATGGTCTAAATTCTTGCCTCAGTATTTCTCTGTTCAGCTTGTAACTTGTCTATCCAATCTCCATGGACAGTTTCTTCTGACTGAATTTTGAAGTCTTAATAATGAACGAATAAAAAGTACTCAATTCCTATTGCATATGTTGCAAACATGTAATAGTCTTTAAACATGTAATTTTCTTTGTCAGTTTTCAAATATGATAAGAATGTGCAAGATTAAATCTTAAATATGTAAAAGATTACCTGTTTTCCCACCTTTGGGGCCACGTCTTACTTGACTGAGGATGATATTTGGTCCAGTCTTAGAATTAAACCCAGTCTGTTGTAATGTTGGAATTCTGTGTCGCTTAGCAGTCATGCCAATGACACTGCCTCTCATTCTGTATGAATCCATCCTCTCAGAAATCTATCAAATGTTTGTACACCATATACATTATAAAGCTAAATGAAAATGTTCATCAGGCTTTAAAAGAAGCATAAAATGCGTAGTTGTCTTGACTATTGTGGTTTAATACCCAAGTTAAAGCAAGTGAAACAGCTCTCTTGATCATCATTTTGGCACTGCTCTACAGAAAGTAAAAGAGGCCCTCTAATCCAATGTAATTAAATTATCATTTTTTATCAAAAAAACTTGACTGTTCAGAAAAAAAAATTAAATAATCTTGACCTTCTTGGAGAGATCCTTCTCTTCCATTTTCTGAGGACTTCTGATGAGTTCTGATGGGTGAGGGAGACCCTTGAGAGCTAAATGTTAAATAGTATAAAAATTTGACAATGTTCACAAGAATATACATATATACACTATATCCATACTGCAAAAAATTTTTGAAACTGATAAATATGTAAAAAAAAATATTTTGAGCATTTTTTTGAAATGCTGCATTTGGCTCAAAATAACTTTAAAAAGCATTTTATATAAAAAGAGTCCCAGAAGTCTCAATGGTGTCACAATGCAATCTTGTTCGTTAGTTCATTGGGTGTTTGTTGTTTTTTCTTCTCTCAACAGCTTTGTAAAACTTCAGAACCCATTTGTGTCAAAGAAAGTTACACTATAAAATTTCTTCCTATGTTTATAAGACTTTGGAGCCTTCCTGACCGCATCCTAGCCCCAGGGAACACAATTTGAACAACCTTGATTTTTTTCTATACAGCAAAACTCGTTTAGTACGAACACGGATATTGCGAATTCACAGATATAGCGAAGTTTTCTTGGATCCCTAGCTAGATCAATTTAATGAATTCCTTATACGGATATAAAAAATTACGGATATAGCGAAGTGATTTCACAGGTCCCAGTGACTTCATTATAACCGAGTTTTACTGTATATAAGGAGGTTTGTTAACATGTTGAGTCTTTCTGGCCCAAAGTATTATGGAAAACATTTTTAATTTGATTCTATCCTATTCTTGACTATTTCTATCTCTGAATTAGAATCCTCACCTTTATATGCTAATTTTGATTAAAACTGCTTTTTAAGTTCTGGAGAAGAAGTTGAAAGCATTTATGCACAATGACTGACAAACATGTACAGCAATAAGTCATACAAGTCACTGAGCTGATTTCAGGAACAAAGTAACAATAGGAAGGAAGACTTACAGTGACATGGTTCTGTCTTTGGCACACAGTTCATTTCTGTACTATCCACTAAAGATGACAACATTGATGTGACACTGCAGGAGTCCATCTTCTCATTGATCCATCGCTGGTCAGACTCTTGATTTGATCTGAATTGATCATAGCGACGGAAATGTGGATTTATAAATACATTTTTCTCTTCAACATGTTCATTACTAATACATTCTACTATATGCGATTTGTCCTCTGTCAGAGTATTGTCCCCTGAATCACATTTTTCAGAACATTTCAGAGAATTCAAACATGACTCAGAATCAGCTTTGTATTCTTGTTGTTGATGTCTATTCAGTCTCAAAGGAGATGTATCAAACATTGATTCATCTTCAGACCAGCTGGTTTCAAACACAGGCAATTTAACATTTCCTACTTGCACATCTGATGAATTCATTATCAAATGGGCATTTTGTGATATCCAAGAAGAATTTGTTTGAGAACTTTTGAAAAAATATCCTGGTGAATCTGGGCTCAATTCTAGATATCCTAGAGACTTTTGAGAAAACCCCTCTGAATCTGTTTGGCCAGCTACTCTCTTCTGGGACATCCCACTCTGCTTTGCCTCCTCCTTCTTTACATGTTTTTCTCTGTATTCATTTACAGTTATGCAGGGTGTTTGACTTGAATCCAGACAATGATTGACTCCATCCCCAGTTTTACAAATGGTGCTCTCCTTCTCTTTAAGACTGTTAGGGTCTTTGACATCTCTATGACTGGTACATGTGTTTCTTTCCTCTGCTATTTCCACATCTTGATTATCTTCCTGCAGTACTAAATTATCACCCTTATTCACTTCTGTTTCATCCAAAGCTTTTCCATTAACCATTATTTTCACTTCTGTTTCTGAAGACAGTGAGTCTGATACCTCTGCAGACTTGACACTCTGTTCTTGTTCTTCCTGCTGCTGGATGTTTTCTCCACTACCTGGTGGTTCCTCACAATCACTGTCGTAGTCTGATGGTATCACCGACAAGGGGGAGAAAGATATGGCAAACGAGGCCCCTCCTTGACAATCCATCTCATCTTCTTCCCCCTCCTCCTCTAAATAATCCCCACTCTCCATCCTTATGTTAAGACACTGCTTAGAACTTTCTTCCTTGGAAAGATTCACATCTTTCTGAATTAATTCAACATCTGTCAATTCTGACTGATTATTAACTTCATGCACTGAGATAGCAGAATCTTTTTCATCAACAATGTTGCTTGTAACATTGTCTGGGTGTTCTCTTACTGCACTGAATTGAGGTTCACTTATTACATTATGTTGAGGTTCATTGTGCACTCTAAGATGTGATTCATCCTTTACATTGTGTTCAGGTTTCATTACCACAGTATGCTGAGCTTCACTCTGCACTGCTTGCTGAGCTTCACTCTGCACTACTTGCTTAGGTTCACTCTGCACTACTTGCTGTTCACTCTGTACTACTTGCTGAGGATCACCTATAATTTGTTCAGGTTCACTCCTTATAATGTGTTGAGGTTCTACCTCCACTCTACCATCTGATTGATAGTCGGGACTCTCACACAGTGACTTGGTTCTCTCAGACTCCATACAAGTCACCATGCTTGGTGTTGATATCAGGTCATAATGACTGTCATCTGGTTGGTTTTTAGAATCAGCAATGAATGACCCACTGTTGTGAAAAGACCTTTGTGAAGAAAAAGATAATAAATGGGATTGATCACAGTCATTGCTAAGGTTAGGGATGCCTGGAGTGGCAGGAACTTCACCTTGTTGTTGGTTCCACTGTAACATTTGTCCCTCTTTCTCACCATCCACTGGCTGAACCAAAGGACTCATTTTATCAAATGAACATTTCAGTTCATTAGTACTGGAAAGTCTATTTTGGGGGGAGGGTTTTGTTATTGGTAAATTTGTATTACATGAGTTGCCTTCTGTGATCAGAGTTTTGCTAGAAGTCTTGGATAAAAGAGCTAATATTTGTGTAGTACTTCTCTTCTGATGTGAAGTAAAGGAGTTTTCTTGCATTGTGTGCTGTAAGCCACAAGTGTTTTCAACAATCTGCTCTCTGATAAAATGAGTGAAGGGTTTTGGGCCTAGTTCTTGAATGTCTGTATCTTGCTGAGAATCTAATTTGGAGCTGCCTGGGGATTGGCTAGATCCAATTGTGCTCCAAGGAGATGTTGTCAGGGACCTTCTGTTCATCAGACCAATCAAAGGTGAGGAATTCTCTCTGTAACTCCCTCTATCTGGAGAGTTTTGGGCTCTACTGTTAAGGAACAGTGGATCTGTTCCTGACATCTCTGAGTTATTTAACTCTGACAAAGTTCTTCTGGGGCTAACTTGATTTAAAATGTTATATCTTCTTTGAAATGATGCAAAATGATGAGATTTTCTGACCGGACTCTGACCCTCCATTTCTCCACAGTTTACATTAGCTATCTGTTGTTTTGGAGGTTCTGGATCTTTCGCTGCAATAAGTCTTGGAGGAACAAAACCCTACATAGAGGAAAGAGGTTACCAATTATCAACTTAGCAAATATGAGATTTACAACTTTGAACACACTTATGAGGGGTTTATAAATAACATTTAAAAGTACATCAATTTAACAACTCTCAAAGATATATAAAGAAAGTTGAAAGAGAACGAAATAATGGTTTAAAAGTTCGGCAGATCATAAAGTAAGATTTATAACTTTCATGAAGTGGCATGAAGTCAGTATGTCTTAATCGTCTGAAAATAATGTCGCATAATTTTAACAATAAAAACACCTACCTATTATGATATTGTGGAATATAAAAGCATTAGTACTTATCATGTTGACCAAAGGCTTTTAAATGTATCGACTATAGTGCAGATTTGTATTTTATTACCTATCGAATCAATTTTTATGACAATTTATAAGACACAACAAACTCTAAGTACATGTAATATATTATAAACAAGAAGATAGAAAACTAAAAATCTTACACATATGTCATCTTTACTTCTCTAGAAGTCAATACATGTATTTGTATTCTGTCCGTCTGTTTTACATAAAATCATTTCAATTAATAAAATAATAATTTCTCCTACTGGTGACTAACTTGACTCTTGAAATTCACATCTCTTTGTCCAGAATACAGTGTAGTCTAGAGTGTAAGCAGATATTTTATTACTGAATGACTCTGATCATTTACCAAGTAATTTGGGACATTTTGCCCAACTTTTTTTTTTTTTTTTTTTTTTTTTTTTTTTTTACATCACATGCTGCCTGTGTTGAAATTGTTTTTTATCTAGAGATTTGAATGTAAGTGGGAAATTTATGCTCAACTTACTCCACGACCCTTCTTGAGACCTGTCCTGATCTTTGATTTATTTCCCCCTGATCTGATTGGTCCAACAGCTGGTTGATCTCTAGGAGTATCATTCTGACTGGTTGCACCAGATTTAGACTCCTCCTCTATCAAGATGTAGTGTCGATCACTCTCTAGTTGCTCACCAAGCAAGATGTCCTCTGATCGCACATGAATTGTGTCTATTCGGCAATTCTTGTCATCATAAAGTACACCCTGTATCATGGTATATTCAGAATTTTTTTATGGCATCAAGTAACTAAAAAGAATAATTTTATCAATATATATATATTTTTTCTCTAGCTATGAGGGCTTATAGTCTAATACCTAAGCTTATAGTCTCCTTCTAAATAGGAGCAATCCCTCTTAGGTCATACATACTGAAGGCAAGTGTTCACCTGATACCCATTTACAGCATGGTAGAATATTGCATTGAAAATTGAGTATTGTGTAAAAACATGCAATATGGAATGATCATGCAAGGATAGAATATGATCTAGCAACCTTCTGATTGCAAGTCTACTATAGTCTTACCATCTAGATTACAATGCTAAATGCTTTACAAAATTATCAAAATACTATACAATATTTCAAGTGTATAATAATTTTAAAGAAAACAGAACTTTCCTAGGTGTAAAGTTTAAATATTATCAAGTATTCTCTGAAAGTTGAGTATGCATCACATTGTTCATGACTTCTTTTTTTTCACCAAAAATCATATTTTTGTACGCAGTTTTATTTTGAAAATATTCAAAAGTGTTGTTTAAATCATTTTCAAATACAACAGCATAAGTAAGACGTTAATGGCAGTTGAAAAATATTACCTCCATATTAAATTGCAAACAATGGATATTTTTTAAAAATTCTTCAAACTGACTGGGCAATTTTATGACAAAATATGAATTTTGATATGTCTTTTGAGGTGAACTTTTAAGTTTAAAGAGATGGTTATTTTGTTGACAATTTCCAGAAGGTGTTAGGTTTATGGTTCTATTTTGGGCATTTATACTGACAGGTATACAACTACTTGTCCCTGTTTATAAGAACATGTACTGAGATTACACCCTGTATTCCTCTTTATTCACCTTTCTTCCAAGTCCCAATAGTGTAATGAGTGCAGGCCTCTAAGTCCCCAGGTGTTTGTTTGTGGAAACAAGGTAGGTCTAAAAGAATTTATCTATTTTAACAGTTTTTTTCCTAGTTTATAAAATTGCATAATTAGTCATCATATCCTTGCAATCAGAAGGCATCATAAAATTTACAGTAATAATTAATGTTTATAAGAAATGTTAATTATGACTACATAGTGGTCCCGCTTTTCCCATTTAAAATTCCTTAAAATGTTGTTAATTCAAAAAATAAATACATGTACACAGGTGGGAAAAATATAGATTGAAAAAAAATAAAATACCAGTACAGTGAAGCTTGTCTAATCTGGATATAGTGTATTCCGAAATTTTGCCTATTACAAAGTAAATTTTTAGTTCCTTTCATTGAATTTAATTTAAATGTTGTCTACTTCTGAATGTTGTCTAGTCCAGTCAATTTCTTTGGAACCAATGGTGTCCAGATTAGACAAGTTTTACTGTATAAAGAGGCCCATGGGCCACAATGCTCACCAGAGTTACTTTGGCTCAGAGAATGTTTTTTAAGAGCAAGGTTCACTTAGGACCTTTTTTGTCCCCATGAATGTCTGAAAAATCAGAACTCCCCAATTTCAGTGACCCTTGGTGACTGCATATCTATTAAAAATGATATGATTTTCTCAGCTAGCCAAAATATGACATCATGAATTGCATCAATATACCCATACTAATATTCTGAAAATTCCTTCAAAAATGGTAAAAAATTTAAGCTATTTTTCAATATTTTATATATACACAGCCTCTGATCCAAAATGTGCAGGTATACCATGTATAATGATAGAACAGTTTCTGAATATTATAAAACACATCTTATTTTTTGGATCGTTGGCTGTGCTCATATTTTAATTCTTTGCTGAAGGTACTCAAATACACCTGTTTTCTGGAAAATGCAAGAACATTGCAATTTCACAGAGCCCATTTTCCAAATCCTGGAATCTCAAAGGAATCTTTGTTATAGGAAATGAAAGCACTAAGTATCTACTTTATATTGATGTTTGAAATGGGACATAGGGTGTTAGTTAATTAATTAGGATATGGACAGGGCCATTTTATGCATATAGTGAACCTAGCTTTTTTCCCTCTTTGATTTCATAAATATTTTGACTCCCTAAAGGATTATGATTTATTCAAAGTTAAGTCAACACAACATTGGGATGCTTCAATACCAATATGATCAACTAGTTCCTGCTGTTTTGTTGGAGATTTTTTCCTATTCAAGTGTTATGTAAAATTTGGATATCTGATTTCGGCTAAACTCTAATCCAGAGCTCATACTTTAAAAAAAACCCAATCTACTCTAATTTTTATAGGTATGTTTTGCTTATTAATTAGATTATGATCTTGCAACTCTTTTATAAAGATTGTGTCCTGTGTACTCCCTTGTAAAACTCTGATCCCCTATTGTAGTCTCAACCTATTCTCAAGTGCCCTATCTGAACAAACTTAAATCTAAACTCTTTGAGGATGCTTGCATATCAATATGCCTTTTCATGGCTTTGCTGTTCATTAGAAAATAATATTTTAAAGATGTTTCCTATGTAAAATTTTGATCTCCTATTGTAGCCCGACACTACCTTTGGTGGTATTGATTTGAAGAAACTTGAATCTATTCTACCTAAGGATGCTTCCACATTAATATGACTAAAAATGCCAACACTGTTCTCAAGATTTATTCCTATATATTCCCATGTAAAACTTTGTCTGCCTATTGTGGCCCCATGGCATCCTAGCCACAACACACAGGGGTCATGATTTGAACAAACTTGATTCTACACTACCTGAGGATGCTTCCATATAAATTAGACTAACATGGCTTTGCTATTCTTCATCAGAAGATTTTTGGTAAGTGTTCCTATGTAAAACTGTAATTGGCCATTGCATCCCCACCCTAGCCTGGGGGTAATAATTTGAATAATCTTCAGTCTACACTTGATGCTTTCATATAAATATGACTTATCATGGCTTTGCTGTTCTTGAGAAAAAGATTTTTCCCATATATTCCAATGTGAAACTTTGATCACCTATTGTGGCCCAACTCTAGCCATGGGGTCATGATTTGAACAAATTTGAATCTACACTATGTAATGAAGCTTTAGAGTAAGTTTCATTTATTCTGGTCCAGAGGTTTTTGAGAAGATTTTTAAAGGATGCCATTAAATTTTCTCTAATTCTTAATTATATCCTCTTGAAAAAGGTGTGGCCCTTTTAATATTTGAACAAACTTGAATCCCCTTCACCAAAGGATGCTTTGTGGCAAGTTTAGTTGTAATAGGCCCAGTGGTTCTTGAGAAGAAGTTGAAAATGTGAAATGTTAACAGATGACGGATGCCATACACCTCTCTATCAGAAAAGCTCACTTGAGCCTTCAGCTCAGGTGAGTTAAAAAATTCTTCACTTTTGGGGTAAATCCTGTCTTTTCAATGTATTTTTCTTCATTTCAAGATAATACACAGCATAAATTTGAAATTCAACTTTGTATCCAACCATCTACAACTTTCTTGACTATAGAAGCAATACTTACTCTTACTTTGAAAAGCTTTCTCCATTTGAAAATCTTTAATTAAAAGTTCAGTAAAACATACCCTTGTTCCATTGCCAGAAAATCTGAGAGTGCCATCATGCCATGTCTTGGCTTTCTTTGTTTTTTGATTTGTATACAAAATCTAAAATAGTTGAAATGATCTTTAGCTATTTGTCCTTTTTTTCATACATAGAAATTGATAGATTACCCATAATAAAATTAACATTGTACAAATACAATCAGAAAAATATAACCTATTCTCATCAAATCCAAAATATTAACAAGATTTAATTCATTGTAATCATTAATAATTTTCAGGTGATCATACCACAAAACTCCTCTCTGACATATTTATTACTGCCGTAGATATAGTTGAACTTTACATCTGTATTCCTGAGAGAAAAAAGAAAATTCAGACACAAGTGCTGGGAATATCATTCATTTTAGTGTAATTCATAATGAATTCTTTTTCAGTTGGCACGAACTAAACAGTATTTGAAATGTTAATTTCTGCACGAAATAGACCTATAACCACTGATCCCTCTTTCATTGAGTCTCTTTGTCTTGCCACTGTCTTGAAAAAAAAGTATTGCATTATCAACCAAATAATGTGATACTTAGCTTCAGGCTTATTTAGACTGGTAAACTTCAGATATGTAATAATAAATGTTTGAACATATTATCAGTCTAATAGTGTTTAAACAAAATCATTGAAGCATGATAAAAGTAAAGGCAGATTCTCTCAAATCTGAATTCATTTTTTAACATATTTTTTTCTTAAATAGATGCTTGGGAAATGGCGTACAGCCTCAGTTACCTATGATCAGTCACATCTCAATCATAATGGATCAAAGGGGAGAAATATTAGTGGCAGCTTTATTGAATTATGTGTAAGCAACTACATGTTATCCCATGACCCTTCAGAGCACCAAAAGGATCTACCTCCACACAGAATGGCAGGAATTATCATTATGAGTATCCTGACTGTTGTCATGGTGATAGCCAATATCTTGTCAATATGTACCATAGCAACCAATCATATTCTGCAACAGTCATCATACTACATATTTGTTTTGAGCCTGGCTATAGCAGACCTCCTAACAGGTGCCATTATTATGCCCATCTATATTATCTGGGAATACAATGGTCAGTGGCCATTTGAAAAATTCTCCTGTGAAATTGTGACAGCTCTAGACATTGCATTTAGTGACATATCCATCTACATCCTGGTTCTTATAGCTCTGGATAAGTATATTTACATAACACAACCTTTACTGTACCATACAAAGCTAACAGTGACCAGAGCTCGTCTACTTATTGTAGCCCTCTGGGTCATCTGGTTGACCTTTGCCTTTGTGTCCATATATGGAGATATTGCACTGGACGAAAAATCTACAAACCTGTTTTCTAACAATTGTATATTCATAATGAATGACATCTACACAGGAATAACAGGCATTGTGGCTTTTGTGATACCATTCCTAATCCTGACATACACTGGTATCAGAATCTACTGCATAGCTCACCTCCATCTCAGGAAAATCTCTCGCTGTCATCTTGATCCCCTTAACATCAGTACAGCTACTTTCACTGAACTGGAGAATTACCAAGTAAAGACAAACAACAGTGGAAGTGGAACTCTTCATTCAACTGCTCAGCATTACAACAGACCATCAGATGTTTCTATCAGATCTGAAAAACTAATAAAGAAGGCAACGTTATGTAAACCATTTGGAACAGTGGTGATTATTATTGTTTTTTTCCTTATAATGTGTGCCCCCTACTGGATCGCTACAGGCTCAGATATTTTCTGTCACTGTGTGGCTCCCTGGATATATGAAGATATTCTAGCAGTTGTCTATAATCTCAACTCACTTGTTAATCCATTTATATACATAATGACAGACAGGCAATACAGAGCTGCAGTAAAAAGATTACTAATTAAATGTCACAATGTTCTGTGCAAAAGCAAGCATGCTACCATCAACAAAACTAACACTCCAGGCAGTAACTGTAGACAGAGACATTTATAAATAACAGAGATTAAAAACTGTTCAAAATCCAACAATATCTCATAGGCCCTGCTGTTTAATATTTTTCAATTCTAGCATTTTTTAAACCAATAGACCATTTCACGATATTAACTGCGGTACTGCTCTTTAGCAGGGCGAAATGATATATTTTGGTAAAATATGACGTAAAATCACCTATTTATTATTTTTCAATTCTAGCATATTTTTAAACCAATAGACTATTTCACAATAACTACGCAATTGCTCTTTTGCAGGGCGAAATGATATATTTTGATGAAAAATGATGTAAAAGCAAAAGCAATTTGTTCAATTATCACTAGGGATGCGCGATTTTATCGGTATACCGGTATATCATGATTTTTTATTGCGTGATATGTATCATGATACGGAGACTAAAATACCGGTATTTGGTACATATTTAAAAATTCCAGAAATTATTCATTTATATCTTCGAACTATTAAATAAAAATTACAGGAAGTTTAAAAAATGTTGAAAAAAGTTAAACTACGGCATCCAAACATGATTTATATTATATAAATTAAAATGAAGAATATTGAAATTATGTTTTTACAGCCTATTTGTAAGAAAAATTATAGAAATTCATTAGAAATTGTAGTAAAAATTCCGTGTAAAAATATCACGATATTATCGTGATATTTTGGAGAAAAAATCGTGATATATTACGATTCGAAATTTTTGGCGATACCCATCCCTAATTATCACTTATCAAAAACTTCACCAAACGTTATCAATTTGCCCTGCAAAAGAGTAGTGCTGCAGTTATTGTGAAAGGGCTAATTATATCTCAAGAAAGAAAGATAAGACTTTTTGAATCCTATCAGTAAATTATCTGGACCTTTATTTTTGACAGTAACATAGGAATTTCAAAATGAAAAGGCAACAGGACCGACACAAATGACAATCTCTTGATTTAGATATAAAACTTGAAGTAGCTATATATAGCTTTATTAAGCTATAATTAGGATCTGGGCAACAGGTGTCAACCATAGTTTTTTTTTCTCACTAACTGTGAATAGTACAGGTGCCCATTCACATGGAAAATTAGCGTCAAAATAGAACAAATTGGGATTTTTTAATCATATTAATTAATGACAGTGCAAATCCCTATATGGCCAAGTGACACATCTAGCATCTGTTACTAACGATGCCAACTGTCCAAACCAGACGTGACATTGTAATTCATGCTTCAAAACACGCTGTAATAAAGTTCTCAACATAGCAATGGTGCTAAAAAATTACACAATGTGCTTACCTCCATTATTCAATGTAATACATGTACGAATTTACCTTTCATAGATTGTTTATTCCATTTTTCGCCTTTTTTTCACTCAAAATTTCCGCGCAATGTATTTTATTAAATTGTTCGTTTAATATTCGTATAAAAATGTATTCCATTTCCTTTATTTTCTTGGGTATTTATTCAGCAGTTTCTTGTATTTAGTGTTTTTAGTAAAATATATGAAAATACATATTCAACTTAACTAAGATTTTTATTGTTTTTTTCCCTATTTTTCTCTATCCATCTGTAGAACGAGTTGACATCTCACCTCACAAAAAAGATTGAAAATGGCAAACAAAGATAAAGTCGTGAAAGTGGTCTCTTTTGACAAGTAGGACACCGATAGATCGAGAGTATGGCACAGTTTATAACTTTTGTATTTTGTTGGTGCTTACTACTGGAGATTTGCCTACCAGCGCCTTCTGATTATGACAAAAAAGGTAGATCTACTGTAAATCTGAACTCAGCTGATTCAGCATCATTTTCCTCCTGTCCAGCAGCGGTGCAGTGTCGTATCGTTTCCCAGATCGACCAAGTGTTTAATGTAGAGATTATTGGGAATTGCTCAAGTATTAGGAATATGACATAAGAAAGCCCTAATAGATTGTACCTGAGTCATGCTGAAAATGAAGATTAATAGTTAGAATAATCTAACTGTGTCTCGGGACAAGCCTTCACCACAGTTAGAATACGTCCCATATACTTGCAATGTAGCAAGTCGGAGTGGATCCACTCCGAAATGATTTTGAAGAATACAAAAGGAGTTGCACTGAAAATAACTACCAAATTAACAATAACAAAGCTTTTTGAGATTGTATATGCCTTTTAACCTAAAAAATAATCCATATAAATACGAAAATTCAACTCATTTTTTCAATGTTTTTTCCTCGCTTCAAATTTAACGCCATATTGACATTCGGAACTCTCTGGATTGTTCATAGAAAATGCACAGAGTTCGAGTTATCGCCCGTGTTTATTTTGCAACATTGCCAATACACGGAACGAATTCTGTCGTTAAACTGGGTCCGTAGGACAATATCATTTTAACGATAGAACGTTCTATCTAGAAGATTAAAAATGATTTTTTAAAAATTTTTTTTACTGTGACCCCTAACTAGAGTAACTGTCTTGTTTTATTATGATGAATGTATGTTCATTCATCCTAATATGCGTTTGCTCTTGACATTATTTTCCCAAGTTCTTGTTCAGCCCGGACGAGTCTAATTGCTCCAATTTTTGTTCGTCCTGAATTTGTTAGCCTTATTTTAATGTTAGGCCAAATAAAAAATTCCTAGATTCTCATCCTGGCCCGCCCAAATTTTTTACCCCTGCCTCAATTTTTTTTAATTTCTTGTTTTTCTTCGATTCTGATCAGGATCTAATCACCATTCAACTTTCATTTTAAATCCCACGAATATCAATGTGATTTTGACAGCTGGCAAGATGGTAATTAGGGTGAATTCACCATGCATCGGACACCCTCGCACTTCAGCAAGTTCTAGCGATATGGCTACCGACCAAATATTATCAAAATGGAACTTAACATGTAGTATGTGGTTAAAATATAAATTTTTGACACAACCGTGCCCTATTTATTGAGAAAATATAATTAAAAACCGATTTTTTTTTTTCGAAATAATTCAGAATTCACCAATATTTCCTTAATTTAAAAATTAAGTCTCTATTTAAATTTGATTGATTTGATTGACTATATCAATCCACAAATCTGGAGAGATGTTAGTTGCATCACATCACCTTAGATAGGCCTTGCAATGCCTCGTAATATGGCAACTAGCACCTTGGTTTCGGAGGAATGTAGATCTCATAGTTTGAATAAAGAGAGCCCACTTCTAGTTGTCATATATCAATAACTTGTATTTTCACTTAATATATATCTGAGTTTACATTTCTTTATTTCTGCAAAAACAGCCATCAGGTTTTGTATTATGCAGTATCTCCATACAACATGTACAATAAAGTAATTATCCATGCAGCGAACAATGTCTGATGCATGATTAATTTGTGTCCGATGCATGGAAAAAATGAACATACTAGTAAAAAACAGCTCTAAGAAAATTAATACAAACTTTTGAAAGACATTTCTTGAAATTTTCTATAAAGTTTATATCAATTATTGACAAAATTCACCCAAGACCGACTCGTTCCCTGAAAGTCTAATGAAAGAAAGACAACTCTAAAAATTTGCAAAATCATAATATTCTTGTAATTCCTCTTTCATGATGTCAAATATGATGTCACTTCAAGGCCATTATTGTGGTATTTATATTACAACATGATAATAAAGATCAGCATCATTAAAAAGTTTAAATCTATGGCTTTAAGACAGAAACAAGTTGAAACACAGAGACATTCTGGTTGGATACAAGATTATTGCTTAAAGTTGTCTGAAGCATGGTATGTGTCCGATGCATGATGAACTCACCCTACTTCGCACTTTTTCTACTGCTTGAGATACAAATGAACTAGGATAGCATTCAATTGTGACGTCATAAGACACTTATGATGATGTCCAAGTCTAGCTTCTGCATTTCTTTATTTAGAATTTTAAATACAGCTAAACTTCGAAATCTCGAACACGGATATCTCGAATACCCCGGATATGTCTAAGTAAGGCCGCGGTCCTGACGAAATTTGCTTTATAAATGATTAAAATAAACCCCTCTATGTCGAACAAGGTAATGTCGAACACCCCGGTTATCTCAAAGTAAAATTGTGTAACCATTCATTAAAATCACATGCGTTATCTCGAAGTCAGGATAATTTTCCGCTCTGATGATCAAGTCCGTTAGGTAAACTGAATGCTCTATTGATAACACCCACCTGTCTGTCACGCTCGGGTTACCTGTGTTCCTGTGATCAACAAATAATAGCGCGATAATTATACAAAGTGTATGTATGGCTTACCTTGATTTTAATTATGCAAGCCAAAGGTTGTGTGTATTAGTCTTATGCATACACATGGATGACACGTTGTTTTGTGGCTTGGGTACGTTTATCTTGATAATCGCTATTTAATGCTATGTGAAATATGCGCGCATACATAGTTTATGCATATAAAGATCGAAGTAAAACAAAATTCTGTAATTTAATGCAATTAGAATTTATTTTTCCTATATGAGCGTGCAGAATTTACAATCGTCTATACACACCATCATGTGAGCGTGTGTCGCAGTGAAAACTTGTGCTATAGTGCCCTGTGGTTCAGTGTTGTTCTATTGTTAGACAAAAGTGCGTGATTTTTCTTTTGCTTTTGATTTTATTATGGTAAAATAATTTCTTTTAACTGACTATACATATATGAACATGGTTTTCTAATAATAGAAAATGTATATTTCGTTTTCTTTATTCTGACAGCGACCGGTTTTAAATTTACAATGCATAGACGATATCCGGTTATGTATACATGGGAAACGATGCTAGAGGTTGACTTGCCGCGTTGGTAGAAAGATTATACTTCTGTGCATATTATACAATGTTTTTATTTTGTGAATTATAAAGAGGATGTAAAAATCTTTTTATTGCTAAATACATGTACATGTATATTAAAGAAATCGCATACAGAATTTCAAACAAGAAGGAATTTGACATGTTTTTACTATTACGTACATGTTCACTGCACTAAGTTTATTTGAAGTTCATTTGAATTATAACCCTCGATATGTCGAACCCCCGGATATCTCGAAGTTCATCAACGGTCCCGCCAACTTCGAGACAACGAAGTTTAACTGTATTTGCCATAGCAGAATAGAAATAATTTCCTTGTTGTCAGAATTGTTGGACAATATACCCCTCAGTCTTGAGATTTTGTTGGCAAATAAAAACCTCGCCATTCGGGCTCTTTTTAGCTCACCTGAGCTGAAAGCTCAAGTGAGCTTTTCTGATCACCCGTTGTCCGTCGTCCGTCCGTCTGTCCGTCCGTCCGTCTGTAAACTTTTCACATTTTCAACTTCTTCTCAAGAACCACTGGGCCAATTTTAACCAAACTTGGTACAAAGTATCCTTGGGGGAAGGGGAGTTTAAATTGTCAAAATAAAGGGCCAAGTCCCCTTACAAGGGGAGATAATCAAGAAAAGACAAAAATAGGGTGGGGTCATAAAAAAATCTTCTTCTCAAGAACCATTGGGCCAGAAAAGCTGAAACTTATGTGGAAGCATCCTGGGGTAATGTAGATTCTAAATTGTTAAAATCATGACCCCCGGAAGTAGGGCGGGGCCAGAATAGGGAATCCAAGTTTTACATTGAAATATATAGGAAAAATCTTGAAAAATCTTCTTCTCAAGAACCACTGGGCCAGAAAAGCTGAAACTTATGTGGAAGCATCCTGGGGTAGTGTAGATTCTAAATTGTTCAAATCATGACCCCCAGGGGTAGGGCGGGGCCACAATAGGAAATATAAGTTTTACATTGAAATATATAGGAAAAATCTTGAAAAATCTTCTTCTCAAGAACCACTGGGCCAGAAAAGCTGAAACTTATGTGGAAGCATCCTGGGGTAATGTAGATTCTAAATTGTTCAAATCATGACCCCTGGGGGTAGGGTAGGGCCGCAGTAGGAGATACAAGTTTTACATTGAAATATATAGGAAAAATCTTGAAAAATCTTCTTCTCAAGAACCACTGAGCCAAAAAAGCTGAAACTTATGTGGAAGCATCCTGAGGTAGTGTAGATTCTAAATTGTTCAAATCATGACCCCCGGGGGTAGGGCGGGGCCACAATAGGAAATACAAGTTTTACATTGAAATATATAGGAAAAATCTTTAAAAATCTTCTTCTCAAGAACCACTGGGCCAGAAAAGCTGAAACTTATGTGGAAGCATCCTGGGGTAGTGTAGATTCTAAATTGTTCAAATCATGACCCCCGGGGGTAGGGCGGGGCCACAATAGGAAATATAAGTTTTACATTGAAATATATAGGAAAAATCTTGAAAAATCTTCTTCTCAAGAACCACTGAGCCAGAAAAGCTGAAACTTATGTGGAAGCATTCTGAGGTAATGTAGATTCTAAATTGTTCAAATCATGACCCCTGGGGGTAGGGCAGGGCCGCAGTAGGAAATACAAGTTTTACATTGAAATATATAGGAAAAATCTTTAAAAATCTTCTTCTCAAGAACCACTGGGCCAGAAAAACTGAAACTTATGTGGAAGCATCCTGAGGTAGTGTAGATTCTAAATTGTTCAAATCATGACCCCCGGGGGTAGGGCGGGGCCACAATAGGAAATACAAGTTTTACATTGAAATATATAGGAAAAATCTTTAAAAATCTTCTTCTCAAGAACCACTGAGCCAGAAAAGCTGAAACTTATGTGGAAGCATCCTGGGGTAATGTAGATTCTAAATTGTTCAAATCATGACCCCTGGGGGTAGGGCGGGGCCACAGTAGGAAATACAAGTTTTACATTGAAATATATAGGAAAAATCTTTACAAATCTTCTTCTCAAGAACCACTGAGCCAAAAAAGCTGAAACTTATGTGGAAGCATCCTGAGGTAGTGTAGATTCTAAATTGTTCAAATCACGACCCCCGGGGGTAGGGCGGGGCCACAATAGGAAATACAAGTTTTACATTGAAATATATAGGAAAAATCTTTAAAAATCTTCTTCTCAAGAACCACTGGGCCAGAAAAGCTGAAACTTATGTGGAAGCATCCTGGGGTAATGTAGATTCTAAATTGTTCAAATCATGACCCCCGGGGGTAGGGCGGGGCCACAATAGGAAATACAAGTTTTACATTGAAATATATAGGAATAATCTTTAAAAATGTTCTTCTCAAGAACCACTGAGCCAAAAAAGCTGAAACTTATGTGGAAGCATCCTGGGGTAGTGTAGATTCTAAATTGTTCAAATCATGACCCCCGGGGGTAGGGCGGGGCCACAATAGGAAATACAAGTTTTACATTGAAATATATAGGAAAAATCTTGAAAAATCTTCTTCTCAAGAACCACTGAGCCAGAAAAGCTGAAACTTATGTGGAAGCATCCTGGGGTAATGTAGATTCTAAATTGTTAAAATCATGACCCCCGGGGGTAGGGCGGGGCCAGAGTAGGGAATACAAGTTTTACATTGAAATATATAGGAAAAATCTTGAAAAATCTTCTTCTCAAGAACCACTGGGCCAGAAAAGCTGAAACTTATGTGGAAGCATCCTCAAGTAGTGTACACTCTAAATTGTTCAAATCATGACCCCGTGGATGGGGGCAGGGGGGAGGGGCACAATAGGGAATCCAAAGTTTTACATTGAAATATATAGGAAAAATCTTTAAAAATGTTCTCAAGAACCACTGGACCAGAAAAACTGAAACTTATGTGGAAGCATCCTGGGGTAGTGTAGATTCTGAATTTTTCAAATCATGGCCCCTGGGGGTAGGGCGGGGCCACAATAGGTATTACAAGGGGAGAAGTCTTGTAATGAACAGCATGGCCAAAGTTACTCAGGTGAGCGATGTGGCCCATGGGCCTCTTGTTTTTATTTGCCAACAAAATCTCTCAACTATTGGGGTATATTCTCCAACAATTCCTCCAACATGGGAATTATTTCTTAAATAATTTACAAGTTCTTGATAATTAATCGTCACATTGTTACATTAGGAAAAGGGGTGGGGCATGATAGAACTTTTGAATTTTTTTGATTGTGGTATGATACAGTTTCATCTCCTTATAACAGGGACAAACCAAGGGGGGGGACTGATGTGAAAAAAGTCGCTTTCGAGCTCCAAACGTCACCATAAATTATTACAAAAGGGAAGTTTATGCCATAGTATTTTCACCCTCTTTAAAATCATAAAAAAATCTATTAAGAACATGTGGTAATTTCACCACTATTGTATAAATCTCTTTTGTGTTATCACTACTGAAATAAAGTGAATAACAGCATGGCACATACTTTCACTTGTTTTGCTCACTGCATTGAACACTATCGGAACTCCTCCAGAAGTTATGCTTCTGCATATGAAAAAGTACATTGTTACAAGTTATGTATACACAACAAAACACAAAACAGATGGTCAGCTATCGATGTCATGTCAAAGATTTAGACCTTTTTATTGTCAAAAGATTAATTCATGTTGTGAATACAGACATATTTTACTGTTAATTTGTAGAGCTGTTAAGTAAAGTGTCTTAAGCAATCACACATATGAAAAAGAAAGCTGACTGCACAAAGTCATTCAATCAGCATGCAGTAGTAGATTTAGTTTTCCTAATAAAGTAAAACATTTATTCTCAATCTCTGTTTTCATTTATTAATTAGGGACCTATATACTAATTTAATAAAGGTGACAATAAACAATATTTTATAAGAGGAACAGTGTATACTTTTCCCAAAAGGGGTAGCTTTTGGTGCCATATTCCCTGGGGAATTGCTGTCAAGTAGAATATGTGTTCTCTAAAAGACCAAGATAAGGATTTCTAATATTGAAACCAGAATTGTCTACTTCCAGAAAGTATACAATGTCAGGAAAATTTTCAGGGTAGGTCTGGGAACCAGAAACGTAGAATTTATTTATCTAGGCCTAATTTTAGTGCTGTTTTTGAGTAAAGCTAACAAAATGTTTAACTTTTTTTCTTTAGATTATGGAGAGATTTTTAATCTGCTTGTAATGTAATGCAATGTAAAACATTGGCCCATTATTATATTCTCATACTTTCATTCTGCACTTCATTGGGACCACAAAAAGGGATCTCATTGCACATTCAGTTGTATAGAAAGAGAATTAGTAATGTGACTTTCTTTACTGTAGCAAACGAAGAAGGAAATCTGATGATAACAGAGGTAAACAAAGGAGGACACAAACTACTTAACACTGACTCCAAAGCAAAAGAACTTTTACAAAAGCTGCAGAAAAATCTAAGTACTTTTGATTCAAACACAGCTTTAGAAGAAGTCAGACATGTCAAAAAGCAATTTACGAATGTTCTTAAAAATGACACATCTACCCATAGTAAAGAAAAAAGTGCCAAACTTGGACAATTAAGTACTATGTCTCCTGAAAAATCAGTAAGAAATGTGGAGGCTACATTACCTGGGCTTAAAATAAGTACAGTCAAACCAATTATAAAAGACATAGTATCCCCCAAAAAAGTGAACACCAAATTCTTAGGGAAAGATCACTTTGATCCAGAGATAAGTGATGAACATGGTAATGTGATTCAAAGGGTAACATTTAACCAATCAAAAACTACATCTACAACATCATCAAAAGTAATCGAGCAAACAACCTTGGCAGCAGAGAAAATTGCCGATATTGTGGAAAATGTGGGTCTGATGCCAGGGCCAGTGATTATTGATCCGTATGATAAAACAGCAGAAGACGATCTGTTCTGGGACGAAAACCTGAAATCAGCATCCAAAGACACAAACAATCAACTCCATGATGATTATGGTAATAAGAATCTTTTTCATCACTATTATTTTTAGGTCAACAGCCAATCTAAGAGCTGAATTAATGTGCCAATTGTCATTGATTTTAAGTAATTTATTCATCATAATAAAGTTAATTCTGGATCAAGGAGCATGCAGTCATTTGACCTGTATGTCTAAGAAAGTCATTTAAAGATTTAATTTATGTTCAAGAGGTTTTTCTTGACAACATACATAAAAAAAACTGAATTTAATAGATTTTATTAATATGGCAATAACAAATATGAACACAATGTTTGAAATATTGTTATGACTCAATTTATTATGTATGCTGAGTTTATATTTAAATAAAGATTCCTCTGATGAGGAAGGAAGGGGTAGAAGTTAGGGTAAACAGAGATAACAGAACTGTGTATGTTGATGTTTGTTTTTGCAGAACGAGAAGATGATGACTGGTATGAAGATACAAACACTCTGGAGAGCGAAGACAAGGAAGACAACTCTGATGAAGGTGTGTGGAGAAAACATTTGTGTTTTTGGTGGGCGGGGGTTATTTTTTATCAGGAGATAAAAACATTGTGCATAACTTTCTAAATACATGTAATAAAAAATAAATGCACTTAAACTTCTTCAGGGATAGCATTAGTAATATGAATTGGTATTAAAATACTTAAGCATATCATGCTTTTCATGAATTCATTTAAATTTGGACTTTGACAAGATTTTAAATGTCTAATAAAGAACTTGAATGTGTTTCTAGCTGTGTGCGTCTTACAGCTGGGACAATACATTGATACATTAACATATCATAATACAAGTTAGATCATTGATATGCAGACTGATATATAGATAATTAGATAGTCTAGTATCAAATATTTATAATTTATGTTAATAATTGTAATATTATAAAAATGTTAGTCATCTGAAACATTATAAATTCACCCGACTCAGTTTAACTTACCTACCAGTACATATTATTGTTAACAAAATTAAAAACAAAAATTATTATGTTTCCTATTTCATTTGTTGAAATTACTACATTAATGTGTAATTTCTGTTGGCATAAAGCTTGAATAGACCAAGAAATGACAAAATCCATAGTTATAGAACTATTGTTTTGTGATATGTACATGTATTGTATATATATCTGTATTGTATCATATATGGCACATGTACATATAATACATTATGATATATGTAGCACAATATTATAGCACAGTTTTTAATTATAGATACAGATGACTGGAACTTTTGGAATGGTAAGTTCAAGAAAATATTTTTCTCTGGGATTTTCTCTTTAAAAAAATTTACCCATAAATGAAGGCATTTTATAAAGTTGTTATGCTAGATGCATTGATATATAGATGAATTTAATTTAGACATTGTGATACACATTTTTGCTATTTTCAGATCACCATGAGGTTGTAACAGATAAATATGTCAACGTGGCAGACAAATTTGGGGACTTCTGGGATGGTTAGTTTTCAATTAAGGACCCTCTATACACTAAAGGAAAATATTTTTTTTGGACACTGAGAAAATTATAGTGTGTAAAGGTGTAAATATTGAGTTTATCTATTACATTTTCAACACAGGGTACCTTACATTTACCCCCAGGAAAAAAATGTTCAAAGACAATGAACAGACAGTGAACAGAAATCACTGTTGTTTACTTAAGGACGACGGACCTAATTTGAAATTTTGCGCCACTGCGCAGAAAACTGCGCATATGCCTTGAATCAAATTGACTTAATTATGTATTGCAAAAGATAAAAAATATACATTCTTAATTCTTTCAAAGATATTCAAATGTTTCCTCTCAATTCAAAAATATTGTAAATATTTTGATTTATATTTATTTGTTGATTCTATAAGTAAATGATTTATTTGGTCAAGGTATTTTCATTGAAAATGTCCCCCAAAATGTGCCGTACACCTGAGTTTGACATGCCCCCCTGAAAAATCTAAGTCGATTACCCATTCATTTTTTTGGCATAATTTGCTGGTAAATTGTCTTGTTAACATTGTCTTTTGATATGAATAAAAATTCTTTTGTAGAATTTTTTCAAAGATCACACTTATACCCTACACTGGCAATTTCCCATTACTTCCTATAGTAATTATCGATTTCCATTGCCAACTTTTGAAACGCTCCCCATTAAAAATGTACATATTCCTAAGAAATCAAAATCTAATCCCTAAACAGAATTCCCACCAACTATGGGGGTAGAGGTAATTCAAGAATCAGTTACCTAAAACAAGATTTTCTTTTGTTTACAGAGGAGAGTTATGCTCAAGCTCCATATTTAAAGGAAAACACCGTAACATCCCGCTGGAATCGTAATGACCGAGGCAATATACGAAGAGAAATCAACATGATGACGCTGTATTGCTGGGTGCTCTTTATTTCCATGACAATGCTGATCTTGTATGTCTTCTACAAACAGAAAAATGTGGTAAGTTGCTTAAAAAAAATTAACAGCAATGGGCAGAGTTCTAAGAGATATTATAAATTACTTCTGGGGGGAAAAACAACTTTATGAAACAGTAAATAACAATTTACTTGAAGAGTTATTTTAAAAAATATATACTTATTTTTTTTTTTTTTTTTTGAATTAAACACTAAGGCCAGATAAAATTAAACTTTAGATTCTCATCCCTGCCTGTCCCCCTCAAAGTTCCTCACCCCTGTTTTTTTTTTTTAATTTATCAAATGTATTGCATGCAATTACAATTTAATCAGTAAAAACAGTTCATCATCATCATTTATTTGGTATCATATGTCATCATACATAAAACAAATACACATAAATGTACATAGTCATTTGAAAGACAATATTTGAGAATCCATAAATTTTAAATAGATTTATAAATAGATATTCAGGCCTAGGAAACCATATTTTAGATAGTGACTAGTTGATACCAGGATAACCCATTAAAGCTGGAGAGCTTATTTCCAATGGGGTCCTACCCTAAATAAGATAAAAATACAATGTTTCATCATTAAAGCACTATAACAATTTTTGGCACTATAATTTTAGCACTGCCTTGCTTACACGTTAAATTTAATTTAAGTATGACAACATATAGGATCAATAAAATAATAAAATATGTATAAAATAATAAAATATGTTATAAAATAATAAAATATGTATAAAATAATAAAATATGTACATAAACATTTGGCATCAATCACAGCCAAAGTTTATGAGTTACCCCGTGTTTGTATTAAAAGTCGGGTTGTGCTATTTATATAGCACAAATCACATCATCACGGTCGCAGCATGGTGTTGTCACGCTCTCTTCACCGTGCCATCACACAATTATCATCACATTGTCACACCATCGCATCATCATCATCGCATCATTGTCATCCCAATATTATGTCATTGCACCAAATTTTAATATTCCATAGAATATTTAGGCACCCTGTTTTGCAAAATGACAATATTGAAATTGTCAAGAACCATGAGAACAAAAATTGAATGTTTATGTATTCAGACAGTGGTATTCTGTAATATTTTCAAACAAAACAAAAAATTTTCATACAAAAAGGTACTTTGAGAAAAGCACATGAGAAGTGGTGACTACTATGTACAGCAACAGCATATGCAATTTATTGGGATCCACACCCCATTTCATAACAGCAATTGTGTGTGGGGTGTGCAGTCAGTTTGTACTCATAAAATCATTAACACTGTGAATATTTTCTACAAGAAGAATCTTCTGTAGATATTTAAAAGAATAATAAGAAAATCTATCCATATTGGCACTAAGTGTGAAAATTTTGAATGTATATATTTTCATTAATAAAAAATAAAATATAGAATCTGCCCACCTGCCCCAATTTTTAAACAAATTAGGATGAGAATATAAAGTTTAAATTTATATGGCCTATCATCATCAGACTTTTTAGTCAGGTTTTATTAAAAAAAAAAAAGAGATGGAGGTGTGAAGTCTAATCCAAAATCTTAGTATTTAATTCTAGCCTTGGAATAATCTATAATAACATGATTGGTTACCTCATATATATTTAAGGTACTATTTTCCAATGATAACATAGATTAAATAAATATCAGTGAAAGCAAAAATCTTCAATAGAGGGTTTTTCTACCCATGCTTTCTTATTAAAGTATATTATAATATTTAAATTGTTGAGCAATAGGTTAGTTTATTGAGGAATTTTCTGTTTTAGTTTAAGCCATATTGGATGTATTTGTATCGGCGCCCTGCTGAAAGGAGACTGTCATCGGAAGATGCTGCAGAGGAAAGGAAAGGCATAGTGAACCATGCCTTTGCTTGATATGCATTACCCTCCATTAGGTGAACTGTGTTTACACTAAGTACCTGTCATGTTCTGTAGGTTTACTCTAGGTACCATCTGTATAGGGAAACAGATTTTCATAATACATTACCTAGCATATGGAGAGCCATGTTTATGCTTTGAATGCAGTACCCAGTATTTTGTGCCATGCTTTAATATTCCCACTGTAGGTGGACAGTGATTGATACATAAACATGTACCACTGCATCATGAGCCACGTTTATGCTAGATGCATATTACCTTCCATTGAACATATAGCAATAACTCAATAAGATTTTTTTTGAGAATTGCATCTGCAAGACTGCAAATGCACAGCATTATTGATTTGAGTGCCATATATAACTTGGCAATGAAATGAAATAATGTGTCTTTCTTGCCTCAGTTTTTTTTTATTAGAAGTAGCTGAACCATTTATAAAATGATGCCAGTGCAGAACCCAGAAGATCTCACTGTAAGATTTATACAAGTCCCCTCACTGCAAGATTTATACAAGTCCCATGATTATTTTTTTTTTATCTTTGTTACTTTCCTATAAGCAGTTTAAATACATGTAAGTCCCATAGACTCTTTATATTTATGACTTCCAGTAAGCCCTCTATATACATGCAAGTCCCATGAATGTTTCTGTATGCCCTCAATATAGTTCTAAGTCCAGTGCTGGAACTTGCAATTAAAACATTTTGATTAAAAAAAAAACAGACTGCATTTCCAAGTAGTTTTCTTTTCTTTTTTTTTTTTTACAATCCATTTCCTCAAACATACCCATTCATCTTTTTCAAAATTAAATCAGTCAGGGCACAAGAAACAATTTTTAGGTGCTATAAGTATGGTTGAAAGGCGACATCATTATCTCTTGTTTATTTTTTGGGAAGCAAAAAAGGAATATGGTTGATTTGGTTAGGACCTGCTTAGTCAATGTGAGTGATTATGCCAATTTGAAAGGGGGGGGGGGGGGATTTGAATTCAATCAAAATTTAGAGGCATTGTCATTTTTACTGTGTAACTTGTTTTATGAATAAAACATTTTCTGTTATGAATTTTTATGCATGTTAAATTTTACCGGTACTCAGATTTTTTGCATTTGCACATTTTCAAACAACCAAGTGTGTATTGCTCTATCTTACTTTGAAATTTGTTAAAAATAAACAATATAAAATTTGTTAGTTGTTTTATTCATCAATGCAAAAATCAAAGATAGATTTTTTTCACTTTGTCAAACAGTGTATACTAAATTAGTGGCCTATAATTAAGATATTGTCTCATGTTGAACAAAGTCCTCTGATCTTATTGATGACCTTAAAGGGGCCTGGACACAATTGCATTGTTTACATTTTAAGAAATCTGTATTCAAAAATAACTTCAGTTTAATAAAGGACAAGATAGGCTAAGACCCCTTTTGGCCCCTGGTTTGGGGTGTCTTTTAGAATGATGCCACAGTTTATCAATAAAAACCTGTTGTCACCCCTGTCTTTAAATGAGTACTGGTTCTAAATTATAGGATACACAGAGGTCACAGGAAGGTCAGAAAATATGTCAAATTCCGAATTTTCTCATTTTTACGTGAATTTCCATCGATTTTACACCACATTTTGTTTCAGAAAACATAGAGTACAAGCTTGCCTATCTACCAAATTGATATATTTCATACACTAGCATCAGATGCATCTTGTGTATAAAAATCTCAGATAGGCAAGCTTGTGCACTGTGTCCCGAAGTGAAAGGTATCTCAAATTTGACAAATTTCTAACAGAATTGAGGAAATTCGGGAAAATGTCCTACTTCTGCACCCTCTTGTGGCCTCTGTGTAAGTTTTGAATCAAAATTAGTGCTTGTTTTAAAACAAGCATCGTTTTGAGTTCTTAACTACAAACTATCACAATTTTAACAGCGTTCTGATTTTTACATCAAATAAGGGGCCTATTTGGCCGTTACCATACCTTGTCCTTTGAACTTACATGAATATTCTTAAAATTGAATGACACCAACATCTTTACATCACGTCAAACATTTGTGTTTGTAAACAGGGCACAAGTTCCATTATTGTTAATGTTTACATTTTACCGGGTATGTTCAATTTGTTTCATTGGTACACATCTCTCAACACAGATTGACAATACTGCTGAGTTGGTTTTCCTTTAACAAATTTCTACTCTTAATTTTTCTGGATTATAGTTTTAATATTTCTTATTAATACACAACAAAATTTTTACTTTTCTTAAGTATTAAGGATAAAGTTTACTTTGTGAAAGTGCCAGGATATGTGTCAATCAAACGTGTCCCGAAATTCATAGTTTTAAAATCATCAGATGAAAAGTTTCTGAACATGCATATATTATATTTAGGAGTGAAATGCTATAGCAGCATGTAAGTCATGATATTATCCTGAAAATTTTAGAAAATATTATCTTTAAATCTGTGTCCAAGCCCTTTTAAATATATTACAAGTTCACATAAAAAGTTCATCAGAAAGAGGATTTTAAGTATTGTTATAAGTTCTTGTGATGGTGAACCTTCAGTTTTCTGACGAAAAGTTCACCTGAAGGAGAACATCTGAAGGAGGATGTAACATGATGTTTGACACTAAGTGGATGTGGCGTGATGGATGATGTAAATTCAGAGGCATGATGGTTGGCCTTAATTGGATGTGGCATGATGGCATTCATGGATGCCATTAATTAGATGTGGTGTGATGGAGAGCTTCCTGTTCCTGCTGTATTTCGAGGAGACTCCTTTCTAGTGCTGTGATCCTTTGCTCCTGATCGGACACTTTTCTGACCAGTAGAAGGATGTGGTTATTTGCGGCCTCTCTGTAGTGATCAGTCATGTCACACCTCTTGTCCTACAGCAGAATTTCAACATGGAATTTTTTTTATTTTAGAAAATGTATACAATTATACTATTCTAGCTGCCTAGCAATTATATTATTTAATGTAGATTGCCAATCAGTATACCTTATTTTAGGAAGAGAGATAAGGAAGAAAAAATTTTCATAAATTTTGGTAATTGTGTATAATCTTTAATAATGCAATTACTAGAGCAGTTGGTGATGTATAACAATGTGAAAATAAAGTTCTCACAAATATAAAGTGATTTTAAAGTACAGGTACTATGCATTAATATTAAAAGAGATTAGTGTGAGGGAAAATTTAAAAAAAAAAAAGCATTCCCATATGAAAGGAATTTGTGGGGAAAATGATGCTGTGTCTATACCTGAAACTGGCAGCCAAAGGATGCATACTGACAGGGGATAACGGTAAGGGGACAGTCTCCCGTGGTGATGTCGATGTGAGCTGATATATCTTTTCTACAAATTCCAGTCTGACCACATAATGTACACTGCACTGGCAAATTCTGACAGACCAAAACCTGATGTTTCTGGAATGGAAACCAATATAATCAGCTAAAATATACAATGTAATTTATATTTCAAACTTTACTAATAAGGTTAAGTGTAAAAATATGTAACTTTCATTTGTTCACAATTTAACCAAATGTGACAGAGGTTGAATCTGTATGATGAACTTGATGCTGAAGAATTAGTAACTAGCCTCAGTTGACTGTTGTCTATTTGAAAAAGGCCCGTAGAAAACGGGAGGAGTGGTGTCCCAATATATAAAGGAAGCTGAATTACAGTTGTACCCCCTCAATAATTAATTTTGCCACTATGTATTATACAATATTTATATAAAATAGCAAAAGGAAGTTAATTTAAAGTCGTGCCACTCCAAAATAGCGCAAAGAGTGTACTATGATTTTTTTTTTTTTTTTTTTTTTTGCTTGTCAAGAATTTCTATATTTCTATTAGATTAAGCCCCCCCCCCCCAAACCTTGATATTGCGCATGCATCCTATGCGCCCCTGATACCGAGAGAGAATTGTCTTTGGGTGCATTAAATTACCGCAACATATTCATTACCAAGGTTTTGTTATATGTATACTGCGACAATGCCTCTCACGTTAGAAAGCGCCTAACTGGTTTATATGAAGAAATTCAAAAACAGGTCCTAAGGAAGCAATTTCAGTTGGGGGCATAATCTAGCAAAAATTCTTGGCAAGGAAGAAAAAAGAAAAGAAAAAAGGTCATCAGTCATTCAGTTTATGATATCTTAAAATTGATACACCTAACTTACAAAATATTTAAAAAAAAAAAAAAAGAAGAAGAAAACGATTACCGTGAGGTCAGTGAAGGGAATCAGTGAGTGACAGTGTTGACAGTTGACAGGGCGTCGTTCACAGGTTGTCGCGTGTTCTGTCAGGTTGTGTCGGGGGACAGAGATCCCGCAGCTGTTATCACATGGCACGGAGATGTAAAGACATGTGTTCTCGTGTTCCTGTCGACCAAACATAAGATTGTAATGATAAGCACAGATGAACAATGGGCAATCTTGCAGTATCACTTGCAGAAATTTGACTTGGAATTAAAATTAAAAAAAAATTACCTCATAAGACCTGAGTTCCCCCGTCCATGCACAACCTTTATCGTGGTTTCCGCATTTCACTGTCTGAGATAAAACCTCTCGCTGAAACGCTTTGTCTTCAAATAACTGAAAAAGAAACCATGATTTATAAATATAGTGCTCAAAAAGAACACAGGAACTGGCAGTCTTGTCTGTAAAAAAAAGTCAGTGAAAAAAGTTCGACAACTAAAACTGTCCCGATACACAGATTCAAAGGCGGATCCAGGGCGGGCGCGCCGGGCGGGCGCCCCCCCCCCCCCCATTTGATTGATTGTATTTTGTTTAACGTCCCTCTCGAGAATTTTTCACTCATATGGAGACGCCACCACTTGCCGGTGGAAAGCTGCAAATTTTGTCCTATACTCGGCATTTACGGCCATTGAGCAGTGAGGGATCTTTTTCGTGCCAGCACCCGCTGCGACACGGGACCTCGGTTTATACGGTCTCATCCGAAGGACCGGTCTCCACGTCCCACAGTGGGATTCGAACCCGCGACGTAAGGATCAACTCCTTACTTCGCGACTCTAGAGCAGACGCTCTAACCACTGCGCCACGCGGGCGACCCTCCATTTGAATTTTTTGTTTCTAGAACTTATATGTCGATTATCCTAATAATCAAGGAAAAAACAACTCTTATTTGTAAGAATTTGTCAGCTTCCGGGGGCACCAGGGCCTTGTCCTAGACCCACTGGCGGCTTCAATGCAGCCCCCAGACTCCCTGCCTTCTACTGCCCCCCCCCCCCCGTTACGAAATTCCTATATCCGCCTCTGAAATTATTCCAAGTGCAATGATTATGGCAACAATTCTGGCATATTCATTTATTGTATGATAATAAGATAAATATTGGAGGTTATCCCTAATCATTATATGATCTTTGACGGATCTACATGATCTTGTTCATAGACGGATTAAGAGGGATCCTAGAACCCATCCACCCACACCTCCTTTTTTTTATTTGCTACTTATAGTTTTCTAAATACTATGGTATTAAAAAGACTAAGTTTTTTTTTTTTAATAAAGATAGGGTTTTTTTTACTATTATTGTGGTCACCCTCTCCCCTATTAATAACAATTTTAAGTATATATCTGGAACCGTTGCTATTGTGAAGTATGAAAGTGAAAAAAGGGGATATTTACCTCATCGTTGCATTTAAATACCACATTATCTACTGGGCATTTGGCGTGGGTTCTTTCGCTAAAAATAATTCAAAATACAACATTTTAAGCAATATTGCAGTGTTTCACTTAGTAACATTCTGGATACAATGATTGTAACGCGACCACAAAACAGGAATTGCATATCCCACGTCAGTAATTATCTTTTTTGTGTAAATATAGACATGTTTGATAAATCGCCATAGAAATTGATTGACCTTGGTTCTTCTAAGATTCCAATATACAAAGCTTAAAAATTATCATTTCCAAGGACATGTGATACTAATAAGAATGTGTTATATATAAATTTGTAAATCAGTTTGTAGTGACTATTATTTTCCAAACACATATTTATCAGGAATTTTCCATTTCAAGCCCTCTTTATTCTATATAAGAATATATAGAAAGTACTTGTGAAGCACTGAATGATGCCCCTGTATGGCAGCTTATGACCAAGGTGATCATTTTTCAAAAGTAAGTCAAACTCCAAGTTAAAGGCCGTGAGTTAAAAAAAAAGTACCAAAACATTTTTTTTTTCATAAAAACACAAATTTTAAATATGAAAGCCCGGGTCAGAAGTTGTAGTCAAGGTTTTTCAAATAGGTCAAACTCCAAGGTCAAGGTTAGGAGGTCAAACATATTGGTATCCAAGAAAGGTGTTGCTACAAGGAACACTTATTAAATATGTAAAAAATGAAAGCCCTAGTACCAACAGTACAAAAGTTATTTTCAAGGTTAACGTTGGCTTAAGTTTTACAAAAAAAAAAGAACCTGTAGGTCAAGGTCACAAGGTCAAAAATGTTTGTACTTAAAGGTCTTGTCACAAGGAAAACTCAAGTAAAATATGACAGCTTGACAGACCAAAAACTACATGCCCCCGTATCTTTACGGGAGCATTAAAATACTTGAGGCATTGGATAATGTGTGACTTTTTCTGTGAATACACTAAATTCCAGTTAAACGTTACAGTCAACCAATGGCAAAATACAATTATATTGTTCGGGTATTTCCTTGCTTTTGTCATATTTCTCGGATATAAATTTAAAATATGGAACTTAGACTACTTGCAATTAACACTAAGATTGCAGAAGATGATCATTACCAGGTCCGGCACAATCTCTTGATTAAGCTATATAGCTTGATTTAGCTATATAGCTTTATTAAGCTATTCAGAATAGCTTGATTTAGCTATTTTATCACACTTTTTTCTCAAATGTGTTATTTTCCAAGTATGCACAAAAAGTCGCACCTTGGTGCAGTGATGATATTCAACCTTGAACTCTTATGAAAATAATGCATGTAAAAATCACTCATCAAAATTGCATCTCCTTCAGAGACTTTGTACTCAAAGTTCTAAAAGATTTGGGGCTATATAAAGCAATTGATACAGTTACTTCTTCAATGAAATTATAAAGGAGGCCAATTATGGTCAACAAGATAATTGATTGGTAATAATTCAGTACAATGAGAAGCAATCTTACTTATCCATGCCTCACCGCACACAAGGTAGTGTACAGTTACCCAAACAATGGAAATTCATCTTTTGCTTGAAAGTATTCAAATGCTGTAATGTTAGAACTATCTTTGATTTGGGTTGTTGATTTGATAACCCATATTACATATATGAATAGTCAAATACTTGCGACTTTTTGTCTATTTTGTACATATAACATTTTTGTGAAAACCTGCATATAAATAGCTTTATCAAGCTATTTTGAATAGCTTAATAAAGCTATATAGCTATTTCAAGCTATATAGCTTAATCAAGAGATTGTGCTGGACCTGATTACATACAATGATATGACTTAAGATTCCATTGCGAAAGAGATTATATGGTATACTGGTATATACGTACTTGATAACACCCAGAATGCAAGATTTACAGAATCGATGACCGCAAGACGTCTGCATTGGTTCGTGGAGAGCGGACAGACAGACGGGACATATATACTTCCGGTCCAGCTCGGAACAGAAGGCTGCATCGTAACTCCTCTGGTGCTCTGATCTTCTCTCCTTGGATAAATGGAAATGGTCAAAATTAATCTTCTACCAGCTGCTTACAATAACATTTGATATAATCCCGCTTTGTCAAAATTATCTGTACATATCAATAAAAACTTTTCAAAATTCCAATAAAAGCTTGTATATATACATGATAACATTTACAATGATGAATAATTTGTCAATTTTTAAACATGCCAGTCAAACAGGGGATATACCCTCATAATGAGATCACATGTTGTCAATAATATACAATTATAATATATGTGGGTATCAAAAATCACACAAAGGAAGGCCAGAACTGAAACATTTTGTACTTTATCAATGGGTTCTTTCATGTACTCGTCAAAAGAAAAGAATTTTTCAGAAACACTTTACATGTATAAATAAAATAGATTTTTTCTACAAGGATAAATACAAAAGCATATTTACTACTCATCTATATAATATGCATCACATTTACATGATTGATATGGATATTTCTTGAGATGTAGTCAGAAATTTATCCAAACTCTGCATGGTTTAAATTGAAACGTATACAGACATGCAATCGTACCGAGAGAAAGACAGACAGACTAACGAACACGGTTATTCCCAAGAAATATAAACAGTCGAGTATATCTTGAGCCAAAATTCTACGCATTTTTATGAAATGCAACTATACTCCTTGGTATGACCCGAGTCTCAAAACCAATCTGTGAATTGGGAACAGATTATAATTAGCATAACATGACAAATTTGAAAATGAAACAAACTTTATATCAATATTGAACATGTTTGTTTCATAATTATCAAGATATTCAATCAGTTATGTGGTATTGACTCATATTGATTGCTTTCAACAAAGCTTCCCTCACAGTGTGAGTTACTGCTTCAAGTTCAAGCACTTTTCGAACACGCGACCTGATATTTTTTTGACTTATTCTAGTTGCCATTGATTAAATGATAATAACTCATGGTAAACGAGACTTGTTTGGGAAATGTATAATATTACATTTACAAAGTAAATAAATTTCTTCATTATATCATTAACATATTACCTGTACTCTCCTTCGGGTGGCCATTATTTTGGAAACCAGTAAAACCACGGTACGGTATTTATGAGTGAATAGTTGTTACGACAGCTCACAATAAAAGGTGACAATTACTTGAAGTGACTCCTTAGAGTGACCCCTTTAATTAGTACTCATCATTAACCATAATGATACTCTTTCTCTGTAATTTTGAATATCAAAACATTATTAAACATCAAAACATTAACGATAAAAATCACAGAACATTGAATATCCCAATGTGCAGATAATATGTGGCTTATTCTTGACGGTTCTCCTGAATAACTTTTTATCCAGCATAAGAGACTATTTATTTTATTTTCAGGGCTACAAATATCCAGCTCAAAAACTGAAAATATTTGTACATGCTTTACATAAAAATATCTGATATTTTTTAACATTATTTTATGTAGAAACTTACCAGGGGTTCATCAACTTTCAATTTGGTATTTCGAGTATTACGAGATGAAGTAATTTATATAGGCTAAAGTTTAGTGTTTGAATTAAAAATTGAAAATTAGTGCAACAGAACAAGACCTCTCATTTCTCACTGGTTCTTAAATTTTTTTTCTATCAAAACTCAATCACTTTTTTATATCTCTATCAAATCTACGAAAAGTAATTTTATTGCTGAATAGCAAAATTGTCCATTTTTAGGAAAATCAAAATGTTACAAAAATCAAACAATAAATTGTCATTGAAGGTTTTTCATTAGGAGAATCCAAATCAAAGGAAGAAATTATTCAATTTTAGATAAGTATGGAAACTTATTTATTTATAAAAACTAAAATAAAGCTAAAAAATTAAATAATAATAATAATGATGAAAATAATAATAAATTAAACTAGAGGTACTGTGAGCACTGAGCTCACAAAATGAAACCCCCTTCCTGCCTCTCAAAGGATCATAATGGCAAAATCCATATTTTGCTACGGGAGATCCATAATAATAAAAATAATAACTCGTTAGTAATGATTAGCATTACGCACGAATCACCATCTATCACACTCATTCCGCCCACAAATAAATAAAATGGCAGTATCGACCAATTAAAAATCCATAGAAACTTTCATAAAGTTGCTTATATAAAATGTTATGGTTGGCTTGACAGAATATGAAATAATTCACTTAATCGAGAGAGAGAGAGAGAGAGAAAGAGAGAGAGAGAGAGAGATTTTTAAAAAGCAAGAAAGCGACAAATTATGAAAAACGACGATTGAAGTCCCAACTTTTCTTAGTATTTTAAGACTCGCACTTTAACTTCATCATTCAAGAGGAACTTTTAAAATTTCCATTTCCGTGGTTCGATAAAGTTTAATTAAATCCTAATTCACACATGTGACGTCTTTTAAATTTTTTTTTTGTTCGAGGGGTGAGGGGTTGGTGACAGAAAATAATTGACGACCCCCATGCAACCCCTCCCACACGAAAGAAAAGAAAAAAAGAAAATTCTGAATAATTTTTTTTAGAAAGCAAGCAAGCAAAAACAAGAAAAAAAATTTAATGTGAAGTTTCACAACGCGCATACGAAAGCCTATTAGGATCAAACTACGGTAAAAAAAAAATTTAAAAGGCGTGAAAAGGCGTTATAACGCGAAAAAAGGCGTAATAACGCCTTTTGAAAAGGCGTTATAACGCGGAAAAAGGCGTAATAACGCAAATAAAGGCGTAATTACGCCTTTCCAAAAGGCGTTATAACGCGAAAAAAGGCGTAATAACGCTTTTTGGAAAGGCGTAATTACGCCTTTATTTGCGTTATTATGCCTTTCTCCGCGTTATAACGCCTTTTCAAAAGGCGTTCTTACGCCTTTTTTCGCGTTATAACGCCTTTTGAAAAGGCGTTATAACGCCTTTTAATTTTTTTTTTACCGTAGTTTGATCCTCATAGGCTTTCGTACGCGCAAATATTGCCAGCATTGTAATTTAATTTTTGACAGGAAAAATATGCGACAGGACTCAATCATACTGCTTCAGAAAAAGTGTGGGAGCGGTCTCTTAATGAAAGTTTCCATTTAAAATTAACAGCAAAAGACTCTTCGAAGGAAAAAGTTAGCCCAACTACAGCCCTGTTCAGTCTGTCTTCAGTGCTAAGAAACCTTCAAGCGGTAATTACGACAACACATGTATAGCTTCTATCATGTCATACATTTGTTGGATACTTCTCATACAAGTGCTAATCTACAAAAGAAATGAGGGACACGAGGTCAAGACTCTTTATTTCATTTGCAGATATACAGTACCTATGGTATGATAAGTTGTCCAAGTTGTTTTGAGGCACACCCCTTTCCTCAGCTGCAGTTTGTGATATATTGGAAAATAAGTCGGCGTTTCGCTGAGAAATCTCAGAAACCTTGTCGACGTCAAGAGGCTCTAACATACAATCCTAAGTCCTGGTCACATCACTATGCTTAGAATATAAGAAAGTAAAACATGATGAACATAATGGTGAAATGTTGCAATTACGTTCTGCACCACCTCCAAGCTTTAGAATGTTACTGACAGAAATCTCATGCATTCAAATGTGAAAAAATTGCAAGCTTTTTTGAGATATACATGTATGTTTTTTTTTTTTTTGGGGGGGGGGGGTAAAATCTAAACATATGATATGTCTAGTAAATAGCAGCAAAATGACATCGATATAGTAGCAAAATAAATAGAAGATAGTCAATGTTTTGTGGTTGGATAGAAATTTATTTTATTTAATTAATTTGTTTGTTTTTTAAACGCGTACCAACACGAGTGAAATATAAAAACGAGAGACCTGTGGGCCAAGTGATCACCCGAGTCACTATGACCCTACTGTTCCTCATCCTCAAATTTCCCCCCTAGATATTCCTATGTAAAACTTACGTCACATACTGTGTCCCCCGCTACCCCAAAGGGTCATGGTTTGAACAAATTAGAATTTATGCTACCCGAGGATGCTTCCATAGAAATACATGTACATGTATGACTAATCATGGCTTTGCTGTTCGTGACAGGCCCGTAGCAACGGTTTCAAAAGTGGGTGGGGTGGCAACTTCCCCCCAAAAAAATCTGATAAGCAAAAAAAACAAAAACAAACAAACAAATAAACAAAAAAAACCTAAACTAACCAAAAGTGGGGGGGGGGGGCAACTTCCCAAAATTATCTAATAAGCAAAACAAACAAACAAACACCCCCCCCCCCAAAAAAAAACCCAAGAAACCCCCCCCCCCAAAAAAAAAAAAACCAAACCAAAAAAACAAAACAAAACAAAACAAAACAAACAAAACAAAAAAAAAAAAAAAATAAAAAAATAAAAAAAAATAAAACAACCATAAAACCAAGACCAGAAAAAGAAAACACAAAAAAAGCACAAAAAACCTTAACTGACCAAAAAAAAAAAAAAAAAAAAAAAAAAAAAAAAAAAAAAAAAAAAAAAGGTGAGGGGGTGAGGGCAACTTATCAAAATTATCTATCAAGCAATAAATAAATAAATAAATAAAATAAGATAAAATAAAATGAAATAGAATAAAAAGAACAAACCTAATTTACTGTCTAAAAACCTAATTTGCTGACCAAATCATGGAATCTGCCAGTGCTCAACCTTGCGACAACAAAAAGTTGGGGAAGGGGGCAACCAGCATCTAAAGGAAAAACTAGCAAAATGCTATACTCAGAAAAAAAGGGGCGGGCCTCTTTGGCCACCCGCCTTCTGCGAAGAAATTTTTTAAAGATTTTCGTATATATTCCTTTGAAATATTGTGATCGCCCCCATTGGGGCCCCTCCCTATTCCCAGTGGTAATTATTTGAACTTACTTGTATCTACACTACCTGCATGAGGATATTTCCATATAAATGTAACTAATCATGGCTTTGGTGTTCGTGAGATTATTTTTAAAGATTTCCTATATATTCCTATGTAAAACTTTGATCGCCCATTGTGGTCCCATCCTACCCAAAGGGAAGTTTACAACAACGACGAGAACAACAACGATAGAAAACTGACAAATTTCGACCAGAAAAGCTCAATTGAGTCTTCAGCTTAGATGAGCTAAAAATCATGTCTCACGAAAACACGTCTATGAAAATGTTACTTTTATTCAATGTATAATAGATAACAATATTTCACCGTTAAAAACTTACTAAAGGTAGCTATAACAATGCAACGACGCAACACCACCAGAACTAAATGTAACTACATAAGATCGATATAGCAACACCATGAACTTAGCTATACCAAGACAACGATATGACAACACCATAACTACATATAGCTACATCATAACATGACATCGATATTGCACCAAATAAAGGTAGCTAAAACAAGACAATGATATGACAACACCAATACTATATATGTAGCTACATGACATCGATAAAGCAACAACATAAAGGTAGCTTTAACAAGACGACGACATAACATCACCTTAACTACATGTATCCACATAACATCGATATATTAATAACATAAAGGTAGCTATAACAAGAAACGCTAAGACAACACCATAACTATATGTAACTACATGACATCAATAAAGCAACAACATAAAGGTAGCTACAAGAAGACAACGACATGACAACACTATATCCCGTTAAATGGCACTAATATAGCATCAAAATAGAGGTATCAGAACAAGACAACGACATGACAACACCATGACCAACTGCATGTCAACAATATAACAGTATCATAAGGCTGGTAATACAAGACAGCACTATACCTAACAGGATGACATGGATATAGTAACAACATAAAAGTAGCTACAACAAGACAACGACATGACAACACCATATTTACATGTAGGTACATGACATCGATATAGTAACAACATAAAATTAGCAACAAGACAAAGCTAAGACAACACCATAACTACATGTAAATACATGACATCGGTATAGCAACAACAAAAAGGCAGCTATATCAAGACAAAGACATGACAACACCATAACTACATGTACCTGTAGCTACATGGCATCGATACAACAGCAACATAAAGGACCGAACAAAAGTTAGGCCAAATTAAAACTTTTTTAAGATCATGTAGGTCAAACTTCTAGGTAAAGGTTATGGAGTAAAAAAAATTTTCTGAAAGGTCTTGTCACACTTAATGTACAAGTAAATTTAAAAGATATGCAAGTCTTTTCTTGAATATCTTCTCTCATTCAAAACTTATGACCAATGTAAACATTTTCAAAAGTACTGTAGGTTTCACTTCAAGATCAACGTCACTTAGTCCAAAACCATGGTACAGGGTGTCCCAGAATATATGATACCATTTCAAGATTCTGTAGAACCTAATGAAATGAATATTGAATTATAACAAATGCATTATTATAAACATTTCATATACTGTCCAATTTTATCCACATGATTTGACAGTCATTAAAAAGAAAACAACAAAATGAGTTCACTCTGAAAAATGCCATGGTTTTTAAATGATGCCCTCTAAATGACGTTCTATCTGTGTAATGATAATGTCTAGACATTGCACAAGATTCCTTAACTTGAGACAACAGTGCCTGTCTCGGTAGTAACTTCTGGATTTTCATCAAAGGTAAACCTTTTATATATGTTAAAGATTCTGGTTTGGGTTTAGCAGCAGTAACTTAAGACTATGATTGATAATAACAGTTTCAAAATGAGGGTAGCTAGCTCTTTTGATAATCCATTTTGATTAAGATTACATTTTTTTTTTTTTTTTGCAAAGGTTTGATGTAAATTTGTTATTGCAATTTCATACGTGTGAGGATTTTTTGGGAATATTTTGTTCCTATAAAATTGTACTTATTCAAATACTTTTAGAGACATATATCAAAGAAATTGGCCAAGGGATGTGATTGTGGCAGATATTTCAAATGGTATCATATATTTTGGGACACCCTGTACATTCGGAAAGGCCTTGTAACAGGTAATGCACATATCAAATATGATTTCCCTATATTCTCTCAATCAAAATTATCACCAATATTAAAGGGGATTGGACACAGATTTGAAGCAATTATTTTCTAATATTTCCGGTATAATATCATAAATTACATGTTGCTAGAGCATTTCATACCGAAATATTATAAAAGCGTGTTGAGAAACTACGTTTAACAGGAAATCATCAAAACTACGAATTTCGGGACGGGTTTGATTGACACGCATCCTTGCATTTCCACTAAGTAAACGTTGCCCTTAATATTTAAGAATAGTGGAACATTTATTGTATATTTATGAACAGTTTCAAAACTATAATCCAGAAAATTCAGAGTAAAAAAGTTAGAAAGCAAATCTAACTCACTAGCATTGTCAGTCCATGCTCACTGATGTGTGCAGAGTAACAAATTGAACGCACCCGGTAAAACGTAAACAGATCGTGCCCTGTTTACATACACAGATGTTTGATTGTTATGGAGAATATCTTTGTCATTGAATCTTAAGAATTAATTTTCATGCAAGTTCAATTCATTAAAATGAAATTATTTTTGAATAAAAATAGAAAATTAAAATTGTAAACAAATAGGCAATATGCAACTGGTCCAGGCTCCTTTAATACTTTTGAAAACTAAGTCAAACTTCAAGAACAAGGTCACAGGTTAAAAATCACAGTATATTTGGAAAGGACTTGTCACAGTAATGGACGTCAAATACATGTATTGACACTCTATTTTCTCTCATTCAAAAGCTATAACTAATGTTAAAATGTTTTAAAATGTAGGTCAAAGATCAAGGTCAAGGTCACAGGGTCAAAAATCATAGTACCGTTGAAAAGATCTTGTCACAGGTAATGTACATGTGAAACATGAAAGCCCTGTACTTTCTCATTCAAAAGTTATGAAGGGTTGAAGTTTTTGTGACAGACTGACAGAAAAATGAGATTCAATCCCCCCGCTTTTGCGAAAGCGAGGGACAATAAAGTTCAAATAAATATATGGCAACATATTGCTCAGCTATAAATGGACGACAGAAACAGGGCAACAATATAGAATTAGAAGTAGCTACACTGTGTAAGATAAATAGTTTTTCATCAGAAGAAAGCAATGAGCACTATGTAGGATTACTAAAAGAATCTGCTAACCTCCATAAAATGTTTTATCTGTATATCTTTACAAAAGATTTAGTACCACTATATTGGTCAATAAATATGAATGAACTATAGATGCAGAATGTCAAAGTATTTCATGTGCAGCAAGTGCTCGACCTAAGAAATGATAAAACATTAAAAACGTGATTTGCTTTGTTTTTATATGGATTGTTGCAGTCCATCATGGAGTCACATTGCAGAGGATGGCAGACTTGTTCAAGCTTTAATAAAACAGATCTGCTTTTGGAATACGGTTTTAAGCAATACCATTAATATCCTGACTTTATTCAGTAACATCTGTCGCTCATTACATCACTTGCAAATTACAATCAAAACCGCTGATAGCACGGGAACTAAAATAGTAGTAAGACTGCAATGATGAAACGCTGTTTGTCGATAATATACAGTGACTATTAAGCTACTGTCATTATTTCTACCTACATAGTCTGGTGTGAAGCTCATTATCTGTTGCACGGTTGGTACTTACTAAAACATTTACATATCCTGTTTAATTCAAATTCCATTTACGTTTTAAATAAATATGTAAGTTCCGCTCTCAGTGGTTTATTTTTGTTATTGTAATTGAACTGATTTGATTTTTTTTTTCTGGTAGAGCGGATTTGACTTTATTGTGATATTTTCTACGTCTTGATGTAGAGATGCATAACCTTACTTCCGACATCGGCGACCACGTAAAGGAGATAAGAGCGGAGTCACTCAAATAAAAGAAAGATATCGTGACTCGTGTTTCTTCAGGTAAAATTATTGATCGCATTTTGACGTCATACTATAGTTGAAGTTCAACGTGGATACTGTCAGAGCAGATAATGTAGGACAAAGGATGGGGGTGGTCGACATCCGGCCCACTGACGAGGGAGGGGGCACTACCCCCCATACCACTGCCCCAGGGCCAGGTCTGAGTACCGTGCCACCCTGGTACAAAGGTATGTAATACGTCTAAGTAATTATAGACCAAAGTGATTAGAATGAATTTTTTAAACATATTTACTGAAATTATGATTTATAATAACTCTTTATTATTTTATTTTTGTGAACTTAATAACCCTAAACATCATCCCTTTTCAAGCGACGCATTTTTTTTTAAATTGATATTTTGAAATCAATTTAAATTTCAAACACATTACCACTGGATGAAAAAGATCATAACAAACTAGTTGAACGCAGAGACGTCGCTTTAATTCATTAAAATGTTTAAACACTTCGTTATAGATTTCGATATAGGAGTGATTTTTTGGAGATATTGACCTCCTACGAACCATATCAACATACGTGTAAATTGTTTCGAAAATAAGCCAATTTTCTCTAAAGTTTTTGAAATTATAAAAATTTACCAGCTAGACAAAGCAAAAAAAAGTCTTTTCAATATTACTTAAATATTTAGGTAAATGTACACAAATTACACAGAAAATATTAATTATTTATCAGTTCATATCTTGTGTACTTTTCATTCCCCTGCTATTTTCCTTTATAATTAAAAATCATCACTGGACGGGAAAAATCCCCCTCATACAAATATTTCTAATCAGTTTTTAATGACCAACAGCACGGAAAATCGTGATCAAAAATAGTAGGCAATAGAAGGGACAAGTTTACCCAAAGTAATTGGTCAACGTAACATGTTTGACCTCTTCACTGTTGCTTTGAATCGGTAGAGAAACCGCTCCAGGACACGGGCATTTTAAATGACCAATTTAGTTTAATGAAAAGATAGGCTGTCGGGTTACTGATACGCGTAATAGTGTTGTTTTGTTTTGACAAAACACATTCACTGCTTTAAATTAAACTGAATTCAATTTCTTATCTCTCAAAATCTTTCCCGAAGTACTTCTTGAGAGGATAGAGTTTCCCGTCTGTCAGCCTGCAAATGACGTCATCATATTAAAGCTGGATAGAAACATTAATTTCCGGACAATGTTAATACGAAGAACATATGCCTGGGATAATTTCCTTACATCATTAGAATAAAGTAAAATAAAAAGTCCCCTCCAGCTATTTTGAACGCTTAATATCTCATTTTGTTCTCCAAAGTCAAAACATAGACATTTTTCATACACAGTCGACTGAATAGAATTAAACTATTAAAACAATCCCGTAGGAACCGGGCGGGGGTCTGCCCCTAATAGTTTTGCCAGTGTACACTTTACTTACTATAGAAAACAAAGCTAATTCTTTATAGTTGTACCCCGTCAATAAATTTGCCAGAATATATTATACATATAAAAATAGAGCTAATTTACAGTTTACTTACTTGTTTAAGCCTTTTACTCCAGGGAGGAGTTGGTGCCACTGATATCCTCTCCTCTCCGTTCTGCCACTACACTCCTTCGCCAGATGTCCTTTGCCCCCTCCCCCGGTCGTTTTCCCTGCGAGTTCCACTGAAGTGCCATTTCCTTTTTCGTACCTCAGATTCTGTTGGGATTTGGGTTGTTCTTTCCCATCCCAGAAGCCTTCATTTCGGATTTTCTCTTGTCATCTGATCGTCTGATGTTCAAAATTAGCCTAAGTAGACAGCTGTTAGGAACAGATGATACGTTCCTCAATAATATATAATTTTTTCTGAGATTTTTGTCATTGAAGTATTGCTACTTTAACATGTTTACTCGCAAAAAATTGAGGTACCTTACCAGGCATTTGTGCAAGATACCAGTGGATGGTGTTTCCTATAAAATCCTTTTGGAAAAAAATTAATTTGCCGATTTCACATTTTTTAGTGTTTCAATTTTTAAAAGAGAATTAGAAACCAGTTAAGAAATCAGAAGTTAATTAAAATTTTGAATATTTTTCATACAATACGAAGATATACAAAACAGATATTTGAGGAACGTATCGTGTGACCTTAATGAAGACTTATAGCTTTTTCATGAGCCCTGTAGCATGCAACCGCAAATGATAAAACGCCACTTAATGATAGAAATATAATTAAGCGTTGCAATTGCAACGCTTATTGTCATAAACTATTGCACTAATAGTTGACATTCTCAACCGCTAATGCTAAATTGCCGCTTAATGAAAATATTACATCATTAAGCGGTTGAGAATTTCAACTATTAATGCAATAATTTATTACATTGCAACGCTTAATGATATTTCTATCATTAATTAAGCGGCGTTTTATCATTAGCGGTTGCTACAGAGCCCTTTGGTTGTTCTCCAGGTGTCTGACCCCATATAGAGAAATATACTTTTTATGTTGGAATTAAAGAGTCTTATCTTGGTTAATACCCCTTAAAAACGTCTGATGACCCATTTTTTTAGTTGCTTGTCAAGATTTTCTGTTAGATTATGCCCCCCTCACCAATTAAAATATCTTTCCATAACCGGTTTAATTAAAACAAAATTACAAATTTCTTTTTTATGTTACTGTAATATTTCTTCCTTTAGACAACCAAGTTCTGGTAACTATTGGTTGCGTAAGTGGAGTCATTGTTTTCGTCATTTTCCTTATCATCTCGGTTCTCGTCTGCCGTTCCTGCAAAAAGCGACGAAAGTGGAAGAATGAGTGGGACGAGTCCAATCTCATCTTAGAATCAAAGTCAGCCCCCATCTCAAGGTACTGAAGATTGTTTATGTTTTGTGTATAATTTAAAAGGAAGTTAACATGTCTAATATGAGATATATTCATAGGTATTTATGTATCGTTAGGGAGGGGGCTACAATAGGCTGCTGCAAAATCCCATTAACTTTTGTGAATAAAATATTGTTTAAATAATAAAATATATTCAAATTCCAGAAATCCATCTCCGAAACCAACAAAACGGAAATCATGTCCAGATGTTTCGCCGGATGTGCGTGGGATCGTTGTCCGGTCCATGACTATCGACAACGTTCCGGATTTTTCTCTTCCGCCAGAGAGAGTCCAGCCCAGAAACAGTTATGACAGTATCCAGAGTCCGACCAAGCAACACACCACGCACAGTTTTGTGGGTCACGTGCAACCAGATCTTTATAAGTATGTTGACACTTTCAAAAAATTACATAATAAAGCACTGACATTACCAACTCAAGATTACCCTTGAATTTAATGCGTCACCTGAAATTACATGTAAATGGAACACTACTTTTCCAAGTGCGTAATAGTCTATATATATCTATTTAAACTGCGTTTGAATACAGTGAAAATAATTTTACATTAAAAAAAGAGATTTGCTAATTTCCAATATTAAAGCGAAAATACGGATTTTGTTTAGTAGCGTTACATAGCCACTGGTTCGATTTTGTAGTTTTATTTTAAGATGACGACTTGCAACTTTTTGTCCCAGCGGGTCCATAGCAACAGTTTTAAAAGAAATCTGACACGCCAAAAAACCTGAGCTGTCCAAAAAGTGGGGGGGGGGGGACTTCTCAAAATAATCTGACAAGCAAAAAAAACCTAAACTGTCCAAAATATCCTGGAATTTGCCAGTGCTCTACCTTACAGTAACAAAAAGTGGGGTGGGGAGGTAACCAGCATCTAAATGGAATTTTATTAGGTCAAAATAGTATACCAGAAAAAAGGGGGCTCTGCGTCTTACGGGCCTGCCTAGCACTAATAAAGAGGCAGAAACTACAACTTTGTTCTTATGCCAAAGCAAAACATTTTAGGTTAGTCAGAATCTCTCTATATAGCTTTATGGTTTTTTGAAACTACTGACAAGATTAAAAACTCTCAAAAAAATCTAAGCAAAATTAAAAAAAAACGGATTTATTTAAATCGGAAACACCAATATTTAAGGAAAAATACGGTATGAAGTTGATATTGTTATATATATTACTGTCTGTCATCTCCACAGATGCCCAAACTACTCGGACGAGGAGTCTCTGTACCTACAGCCCAGTGAACATGGCCGACTTTGGTTTTCTGTACTATGTGATGTGGCCGTAGAACAACTACATGTCACCCTGGTCAAAGTTCGAGAATTGCCAGGTAACAGGACTGTTCAAACCTTGGGCACTTTCTGACTAACATACTGACTTGTATTATATTTAAATTTTTTGTCCCCCGCTTTCACAGAAAGTGGGGGATATTAATTTCGGTCTGTCCGTCCATCTGTCATTCTGTCTGTGTGTAATACATGTACATGTACTTTCGTTTCCGAACGATATCTTAAAAATCGTTTGAACTTTTGCAATGAAATTTTATAGTACTACTCTCTATGACCTGAAGAAGACCCCTATTAATGTTGAGGTCAACAGGTAAAAGGTCAAGGTCAGAAATTCATACATTCTTTCTGTGTGCAACACTTTCATTTCCAGACAATATCTTAAAGGCCTTTGAGCTTTTTTGTGATATGAAATTTCATGAAAAATGGTTTCCAGATGATTAGTTTTCTTTGAGCTTTTTTAATAGAGTTAAATACATTACAATTCCTAATGTCTTAAAAAAGACTCCTATTTATTTTTGGGTCAAAGATCAAGGTAAGAAATTCATACAATGCAAAAAATAGTTACCTGATGAAAACTAGTTTTTCTTGAACGTTTTCTCTGAAATTTATTACAATTCCTTACTCCTTTTGAATTTTAAATCAAAGGGTCAAGGTGTAAAATTTATTCAAACGGTCAATGTGAAAAATTCAAACCTTGCATAAAATGGTTTCCTTGATAACTCTAGTTCTCTTTGGGGTTTTGCAATAAACTTTTACACTTTTAGTCAATATGACAAAAAAAAAAAAAGACTCATATTGACTTTGAGGTTAGATACCAAGATACTGCATACTTAGTTTTTAGATATCTTTAGTTCTGTAAGGTTTTGCAATGAAACTTAAGGTCATCAATTACTTTAACCCCAAAAGAGACCCCTATTGACTCAAAGTCCGAAAGCTGAAAGGTCAAGGTTGACCCTTTTCTCTATCTTCATCTGCATTTTTTTTCAGTTTTTCCACCCTTTTCTTTTTTCCTTAAGCCGGGGGACATAAATTCTCCGAATTAGCTTGCTTTTCTTGCAGGGCGAGGAAGAGACAACAGTCCCAGGGACCCCTTTGTTAAAATATTTCTTCTACCAGACGAACGTAATTGTAAAGTATCCAAAGTCCGCAGGAAAACGTTGGCCCCAGTGTACAATGAAAGTTTTACTTTTCAGGTAAGTTATGCCCCGTGTATGATGAAAGTTTAGCTTTTCAGGTAAATTATACATATACATGAATGTACAACGAAAATTTTACTTTTCTGGAGGTGTCTATTATTTGAGCTGGTATACGTTGACAGACCAAAGGAGAAAACGCCAAAAACTGATTCATCGTATTTCAATAGACACGTGTAGTTCTGACGCAGTTTAATAAATCGCCATAGTGCACGTGTCGTATCTGTTCAAGTCGTCACATTCTCTTCGTCCAATGACACGAGCTCGTTTGTAAGCTGTCAGTTTCCCCCCTCGCCTACGGCCTCGTGAACTTAAGCAGCTGGAAACTATCACCTTTTGTAATCTATGCTGATAACTGTTCAGGCTCGTCCTTCTTTTAAATGAAAATAAAATATTTCTATGATAGGCCTATTCATAATTGTATGACGACTTACTCTGCTCATAATCCAACGGTCAAATAAGTTAAATTAGGGGGTGTTACTTATGAATCATGATGCTCTTCTTTCGTTGTGCTTCATGTCTGCTCTATGTAGCGGAGGTACAAACTCTGCTTATATCAGTGTGTGTGTGTGATTATCCTGAATAAATTTCGTAACGAAGGAATTGCGAAATGACACATTTCTAATACATGTAAAGAGAAACCAAGGTCATTTAGACATGGGGAAGGTCACAAGTCGAAGTAGCAAAACTTTTCATACATAATAGTTAAACTTCGGTTCCACGAACTCGGACCTAACTTTGAAATATACAGGGATTCGAGATATGGAAGGTTAGACTATAATCCATGATAGAAGTACATGTAGCATTCGGTTTTTCTGACACCGTGTATTCATAAATACATGTATAATGACACATCAATACATTCGCGAGGATTCACTCTGACGCAGATTTTTCTTTATTTTTCAATATGCAATTGTAAACAAGAGTGTATTAAAATATTCATCACTCGCTCAGTTACAAAAAGTTGCAAATTAATTTTTAGAATAATATATACACAGGCTCAATATTATTAGTAGATCGTTTCTCGCATTAGTGGTTGTTTCATAATCGGATGAAAAAAAGCAGAAAAACCGATCAGTGATAATGAAGAAAAAAGTGAAGATTCAATATTCCTCTCAAATATTTATTGATTTCAGCAATATGTAAAAACATAATTATGCTTTAGATGTCCGAGTTACATAACAAGACCAAATATATGTGCGTTGTTTGCACGTATTTTCTAGGGTGTAAAAATTATGGCGTGAACACGATATTAGCCCTTTTGTATTTTTATTGTATATGTCGTGGCAAAGGGGTTGATTAGCCCAATATGAATTCAAATGTTCTTGTAAATGTATTATGAAATATCCAGATGGCTTTCTTAACTTGATTGGTACTGTTAGTGTGTACATATAAAGCAGAATAAAACAAATGGCACAGTTCAGCGATTATAAAATCGGCATTCTTTTTGCCCACCTTTAGTGGACGCTAACGAGTGAATGCACACAGTTCCATATTACACAAACTTTGAAGAATTTATACCAAGCAGACTGGAAAAAAGTTCAACAATTGAAAAATCCGCATTATTTTTTTTCTCCAATTAAATCTAAAATACGACAAGTGAGCATCTTACAGATCAGTGCAAAGTTTCAATGTTATCAATAGAAAGTTATTAAGACTGATGTAGGTTGCACAAACGATACCGCTACTACCCATACCAAGAAACAAAATATAAAGGTTTCAGCAATAGAAAAAATTGCATTAATTTCAGTGTTAAAAAGATGCACATCTCCAATATATTTACAATCGTGTGTTGAAGATTATAAATTACAGAAGAAGGTACCAACCCCCTTACAGCATGACGGACGGAGAGGAGAAATTAATGTACAATAATATCCATTTGTATGACCTACTCGTATTCATACGAGTAGGTACTACGACCTACTGGTATTCGACATATCAGTGTTCGAGATACTTGAGTTCAACTGTATTTTACTATACTGAGGGTGTAATTGTCCCATAACGAAAGCTTTAATTATGTTTTACACAAATGGAGACATTGTTTTGGGAAGATAGTCTGCATGTCTGTAAACAAAATGTTTGGACCATAACGTATCAACTTTTAACTAGAATGGATTGAAGCTTTTAAAGTTTGTTGTTGCCAATACTCTACTAGTAAATATTTCAAAAGAGGCATAGTCACTTGGTCATGTGAATGTGCTTCACCTTGGAATCCTCGTTAGGATCGAATTCTAAATTACGTTTACTAGAGACCATCAGCTGGTCATCATCTTGAAACCATTGGTTAATATGTACATGTATGACTGATCTAAAGTCAAATCTACGATCAAGGTAACTGGCATCGAGATACTGAAATTATATTAGAAATCTCAGGAATTCAACTCTTCAGTGAAAGTGCATGTATATTCAGTTCTTTACATGTTTAAAGTATTGAAAGAGGTGTTTTTTTAAAATACCGATCAATTCAAGGACTCTTTAATTACCACGGATATAATTAAGGAAGAAATGGGCAACGTCCTCCCCCTTTTTTCGCGAATAAATATACGTTTTCTGTATGACATATATATATAAATATATATATATATATATATATATATATATATATATATATATATATATATATTTCTTGCATTCATCATATACACAGACTATTGAGAACTTTTTTCCTTTGATGTTACCTACTGATATCAAAAAACCAGAAGTGTCGGGTTCTGCATCAGGTTGACTCTTTCTAACAGATAAAATATATATTTGTGACCCAGATTCTGCTATGTTTCTATTTTTTAGTTTTATGTAGACACTGAAAAATAATTATATATCGTTGTAGATATCACCTGATCAAATGAAAACCCGAGTGTTACGTTTTTCTGTTTATGACGTCGACAAGAGGCGAGTACGCCATTCCTTGGGTCATATTTTGGTTCCTCTTCAAGACATTGACCTCACTAAAGGCGATCTCATGTACCGAGATCTAGAACTTAATTCACAGGTAAAGGAGGTTAGGTTTTTCCACCTTCTATAGGTGATGAACCGATCTGCCTAATGATTCTGTAAAGTTTTTTTTAAGTGTTTTCTTTCACTCTTTCCAGGTTCATACAACAATGGGAGAAATAAATATAGGTCTAACTTATTTGCCTAGTGTTGAGAAAATTAAAGTGGTAATCATAAAGGCCAAAAATCTTAGACAGATCGACATCGATCAAAACAAACGTGAGTATGCAGTCAAGTGATGAATGAATAACACATTCATGAAAGACTCTCGCCTAAAGCAATTATATCTTATTTCAGATGTCTTTGTAAGGATACAGATGGTACATGGTCGTAAAGTGTGCAAGACAAAGAACACCATGCATCATCGAGCTTCGACAGAACCGACATTTAATGAATCCTTCTCCTTCTCCGTGTCGGGGAAGACAGTGGATACATGTAGCTTTGAAATTTCGTTGATGACGTCTACAAAGACACCGTTTAGCCATGACGAAATTTATGGAAAGACTGTGATTGGTTCGTTTATGTTCGCGCGCGGAAACGAACTTCTGCACTGGCAGGAGATGATAAACCACCCTCGGTCGTCTGTCGTTAAGTGGCATCAGCTGTCGGGAGTCACCCACCATACATAAACTATTGATCAATTCAAGACACGGTCACAAATAATACAATCAAAGGAGAAATATATATGAAGATATTCACTGTCTGTGTAGTAACAGTTCGTGTGTTGTGTACCACTGTGTCAAATCTTAACATAAATACGGTTCACAGAAATGGCAAGTCTGAACAATTCAGCTAAGTCTTAACTGGATTATTATTTTTTTTGGACCGAAACAACATAATATTTTCTATAACAAAATTAAAATTTCACTGTTTTGATTTGTGGCATTAAAATGTTATCATACAAATTTAATCTGACAAAGAAATTCTGGTATATAGTAGTTTTGTCAGTAATAAATATCTTATGGAATTTGTCCATTAAATTCAGTACGTTAATGTGATTCATTTGTTTACTTTACAGTTATCTTTATTCCAACAATTTCTTCACACACATGAATTTTTATGAATTAACCACATCTGAGCATCCTACAAAATGGAGCTGTTACATGACACCTAAAAAAACCGACAGTAATGCAGCTATATATGAAGATGTTTGAGTATTTCAGTTCATGTATAGAAAATCAAATTACACTTAAATTCCTAAAATATCCAAATGCTATATACACTATATGTAAGCAAAATAAGAAAAAAAATCATACAGAAACATATTGATTACAACAAACATATGATAGCACATTGTACAACATAAGTGTTGAGCAAAAGGAAATCAAACAATTTATAATCATTCAAGTTTGTTCACAGTAAGGCAAATAAAGGTATACCTTTAAATAAAACAAGATGTGTTTGTGAAACACTGATGCCACTGTATGGCAACTCATCACCAAGGTTAAAATTTTTCAAAAGTACCTCAAGATTATGAGGTCAAGGTCATGAGGTCAAAAGTGTTGGTATCCAAAGAAAGACCTTGTCACAAAAAATACCCCTATGGAATATGAATGGAATATGAAAGTCTTAGCACCAACTGTTTGAAAGTTTTTGTGGACAAAAGACAGACAGATGATTAAGGGGGCATAAATACCTTAAATCTTAGAGTATATACATGTACATTAATTCACAAACTAAAATTTCACTGTACAATCATAATAAATAAGAGGCACATCCTGCACTCAGCTGTTTCCTGTTAATGGTGGTGCATTGTCTAAAAACAAGTCACCTCATCCTCCTGTGCCTCATACTCTTCCACCACTGGGGGACCTGGTTTGAATGTGACAGATTTGGCCCCAGACAAGGGTTTATTTAGTTCTCCTGTTTCATCACATGCCTTATTGCTGATGAACTCTTCAGCCATGTCTGTCTCCTCTGCCCTGATTCCTCCATCCACTAAATCATCCTCAATGTCATTCATCCTTTGTTCACCTCCAGAAGCAGTGGATCCATCATAGCTAATCTCATCATCAGTTGTGTCCCCTGTCTCCATGGCAATGAAAATGCTCTTTCTCTCATTTACTGGTGATTTTGTCTGGAAGGAATCATCCTTTATCTCAATCCCTCCCTCAGCACCTTCTCCCGATGGCCCCCCTGAGGCTTCCATCTCGTTCTCTGTCTGTATGGAACCAGAGTGGCTGGAGTCAGACTCATTCTCAACTCCGCTGTCTGCATTACTGTGGTTAATTTGATGGTTGCCGTCATCATCAATATTGTCTTCCTGAAAATTCAGAACTACTTCTTGTGATTCATACGAGGTTGCTCTCTTCCGGGTGGTATTTTTTTCTGTGTTGCTCTGTTCCTCAACCTGAGCCTCAGCTGTGGGAGAAGTCCTGCAAAATATCATAAAATTGTTGCTGACCACAAGTTAACTTCAAATCATATTTCAAATATTTGAATAGTCTCAAAACACATAACTGGTAAAATAAAAATACAATAAACAATGTGTTTGAAACAATGATGCCGTTGTATGGCAGCTCATTATGAAGGTTGTATGGCAGCTCATTATGAAGGTTAAAGTTTTTTAAAAGTTGGTCAAACTCCGCACCAACCAACCATTCCATACTTATGGCCAAGGTTTGAATTTTTCAAAAGTAGGTCAAATTCCAAGGTCAAGAAATTCAAAAATGTTTGTACCCAAAGAAAGGTCATGACACAAGAAATATACTTGTGAAATATGAAAGCTTTAGCACCAACAGTTCAAAACTTATGGCCAAGGTTAAAGTTTGATTCAAGTTTTTAAAATTAGGTTAAACTTCAAGGTCAAAGATCATGAGCTCAAAAATGTTGAAACTCAAAGAAAGTCACAAAGAATACACATGTGAAATATTAAAGCCCTTACACCAACCATCCAGAGGATAAGGTTAAAGTTTTTCAGAAGAAGGCCAATCTCCAAGGTCAAGGTCAGGAGGCCAAAAATATATATACATGTGAAATATGAAAGCTCTACCTCAATCTGTTCAAAAGTTATGGCCAAGGTTAAAGTCTGATTAAAGTTTTTAAAAGTACATAGTCAAAGCCATGAGGTCAAAAATGTTGCTGCCCAAAGAAAAGTCTTGTTACAATGAATACACTTGGGAAATATGAAAGCTCTAGCATCAACTGTTCAAAAGTTATGACTTAAGGTTAAATATATTATTAAAGTTTTTGCAGCCCAACAGATGGACTAACCAAATACTATATGCCCCTTAGTCTTTGATTACGTGAGCATAAAAACCAGAGACAAACGTGCAAATTTTTTATGTTTGTGTGTATTGTTTTAAATTCAGATGGATAAAATAATCTTTTCGGTTAATCATATTATTCTCAAAATAAAGTATTTACAAATTTTTCAATGTGTCATGGAATCTGTTCCTATGTGTAATATTTTATATTTATAAACACTATGTAAACATGTCCCTGCAGCTGACAGCTTCCAGTAGAGTGGTAGTTTTAAATGGACTGATAATAGAAATAAAACAGGATGCCGTGAAAGTAGGTATTTATGACAGGACAAGCTGTTACAGCTTTGTGTGACTTGCGTGTATGAAGATGCAATGAAGATAGACTTAAGTTGTGACCTTTACACCAGTACAGTATTCATGAACTGCCAGATTAGCTGATTTCTCATCGATTACATTTTATAAATTTTAGTTTATTATCAGTGTGTACATCATATTCATGACAGCTTTCTCAGCCCTATAATCACATACTCAATCAATACAAACATTTCAGATGAAAAACCTCATTAAATCACCTTTAGATTTGTGTATTGCTGAAAGCTATCAACATATGTATGCTTTAATTTAATAAATGAAGTCAATGACTCTCATGCAACTTTGCATTAGGCCATAAATGAGTAAAGTTTAAAAGCATACATTATTAAAGCATACATAATTACAATTCATTCTGATAAATACTTTAATGCTGTTTTTTTTCAACATCATTTTATTTAGTCAAACAAGCCTAAATTTCATCAAATATTTATTTTCAACAGTGAAATACCTAATTTATTTTTTGAATAAAAGTGATATTTTTTCACAGTGTGAAAAAAATATCAGAAGTGTTGCACATCTCTTCCCTTCTCAAAGAGTGTTGTAAAAAAATACTTCCTTGCATGTTACAATATAACAATTAGCAAGAGTAAATAAACCATCCTAAAACTAAACTAAAACTGCCAAAGTTTCTCCAAATTGTTTTACAAATCCATGTTCACAATTTTCAATCTCACAATTGTTTAGCTATGACATTTCAACCACTTACTATGACATCACAGCCCACAACAAAGCAATACAAAAAGACAGAGGCAAAGGGAAAATCAAAGACAGGAGGCCCAAGGGCCTAGAAACACTCTTCTAAAAATTGTACAACCTATAATCTCATCTGTTTTAAGCCACCTGGTAAAACTTATATAAGGTTAAAGCCTTAAAATTCCAAAAGTAGGTCAGCATGGCAACAACTGACAAAGTTTGATAATTCCAAGCCAATTAGAACCTGAAATATTAAAATTTAGCCATGAAATTGCAAAAGTAGGTCAAGGTGACCTACTTTTTGGTTGACACACTCAAGACTCAAGATGCATCAACTGACAAAGTTTGATGATCCTATTCTTCAAAGTGTCCAAATGAAAGAAAAAGTGAGCAAGCTCACATACCCCACGCTCCCCCAAAACTCAACAATGCAACACGTAATGAATGGCACAGTGCATTTTAAATACACAGTATAATTCAAAAAGGGGCATAACTTATAAAAAATCATCACATCAAAACTTCTTGCATATAAGGACATTCAAATCTTGGTATGTTACAAATTTGATTCAGCTGAAGTTTCTAGATAAATAATGGAATCAAAATTTCTTGGTAATATACAAATCTATACATTATGTCTGAAATACCTACAAAGTTTCAGGAAATTCAGTGCAGAGTTATGCTGACAAACTGTTATTTAAAGTTATTTAAAGTGATTTTGATTTGTTAATGAGTGTAAGTCCATGTCCAACACATGACAATTTACACATTTAAATAATTGATGGAAACAAAATTATGATGTAGTCATATGAATTTGTTTAGATACTGTACTTATGAAATTATTTAAGGCAAAGTACCAATTTGAGGGTTTTGGGGGGTGAGAACTATCAAAGATTTTGTGTATGTGTGTGAAATCATTAATATTTTGATCTCAAAATCAATAGGGGTCTTTTAAGGTCATAAAATATTTCACATAAAATTTCATTACAAAAGCTGATTCCAGTGGATTTCCTTATTACCTAGCTGGAAAGTTTCTTTAATAATAGGCAAAACTCTTAAGGCAAAAATAATGGAATCAGAATTTCCTGGTAATATGCACATCTACACACTGTGTACTAAATATCTGCAAAGTTTAATCAAATTCTGTGCAGCGGTTTAAGAGGAGTTGCGCTGACAAACTGTTCATCTCTATATTCAAGATATGGCCAAAAATCTAAGTTGAAAAGTGCTGAAATTCCCAGAAAAAATAAAGGAATCGGAATTTTCTGGTAATATGCACATCTACACATTGTGTGCTAAATATCTGCAAAGTTTAATGAAATTCTGTGCAGCGGTTTATGAGGAGTTGCGCTGACAAAAATACAGGACTGACAGACTGACTGACACACTGACTGACTGACTGATTGGCGGACAGGTCAAAACATTATACCCCCCGCAACTTGTGTGGGGTATAAATATGCCTCTTAAACAATTTGAAAATGAATACCTGTAAATTTCCAAAAGTAAGCCACTGTAACCTATTTTTAATAAATCTGTCTGCCCCTAGGTGCATCAACTGACAAAGTTTGATGATTCTAAGCCTCTTAGTATCTGAAATAATGACCTTCAATGTTTAGAAAATGATTAGCCATAAAATTCAGAAAGTAGGTCAAGGTGACCTACTTTTTGGTTGACACACTTCAAGGTCCCATGATGTCAAGTTTTGATGATCATAGGCTTCAAAGAATCCAAGTTATGCATCAAAATGAAAATGAAAATGAATACCTGCAAAATTCAGAAAGTAGGTAACTGTGACCTACTTTTGAGTCAACATGATACGAGGTCCCAAGATGCATCAACTGACAAGATTTGATGATCCTAGGTCTTATAGTGGGCAAAATATCAAAGATTAAACAAAACGTAAATTTTGGTTAACTTTGAAGTGATCTTGAGACCATGCCCTTTGCTCCAGGGTAATGCCATAAACAATTTTTAATCTACAACAAATCCTCATCCTTGTATGTAAGTTTGGTGACAATCTGCCCAGTGGTACTTGAGAAGAAGATTTTTTAGCAACCAGTACTTTTGTTTTTATTTTCCTAATTATCTCCCCTTGTTTAAGGGTCCCATCCCTGTTTTTAGTAAAAATGAGAGCCCTTGGGCTAAGGATACTCTGTGACAAAACTGACAAAATTTGGTCAAGGGGTTCTTGAGTTATGGCCCATTTTCCAAAAAGTTGATGCACACCTCACAAATGGCCATAGCATTAGCTCTGTGAGCCTTTTGCTCAGAAGAGCTAAAAATGTAATAAACAGAAATTCAATGTTTTAATTGTAGTTGGCTATGGAATTGACATGACTTTTTAAACAAGAGGCCCAAGGGCCTTAACGGTCGCCTGAGTATAATACAAAAATTTAGAGGATCCATAGAGTATAAAATGAACTGAAAGGTGAAGCTTTGTTGCCCAAAAGCAAGAAAAATAGGGTGATCAGGATCAACAAAATAATTAGTCTACTGTTCATTAACAGTTCATAAATTAGGTTCTAATCTGTTCCCCATTTATCACTATCACCATACAGTATATGAACAAATTATCAGCGATTCTGTACTATTTCAATTCCTTGATGAAATCCCTTACATTGGACTCACAGGTACTTGTGGACAGGACCCCCCCCCCAACACAATTAATCCTTAAACAGCATTGCAGTCACTGCATTGAAAAATCCTTAGGTAAACGCAATGGAAGTGCATAGAGAATATATTACCTATTATGATAACACCCGAGAGAGATTATTACATCAGGCCAAAACTCTCTCGGACGTTATCGTATTAAGTGATACATTCTTGGTGTACTTCCGTTGCGTTTACCTAAGGATTTTTCAACACAGTGACTGCAATGCTGTTTAAGGATTAATTGTGGGATTCTTACGAGATGCAGAGTCAATCTGATAGCATGAACTAAGACAGAAATAGATGTAGAGACAGTGTGAACCGACATTTTAGGTTAAAATAAAATAAATACATGTTTTTAAACCCAGAAAGACCAGTGGTGGTACAACGGAAACAAACCGGAGTGGCATACCTTTCTCTCTTATAATGTATATAGTAGGGTATTTTTGTGTGGAACA